GGGCGGCAAGTGACGAGGACGTACAAGGTTATATACAGCGGGGGGGGGGGGGGGGGGGGTCGGGGGGGTTCGCAGTGAGGAAGGTCGGCTTGAGAGCGGCGCGGTAGCGAGTCTCACTAGAGCGAAGGTGAGTCATGAGGTCAGAAACAGTGTGAAAATCAGCTAGCTGAGGGAAGAGGTACGACAGCATGAGACGGCCTAGGGCAGTAGTAGCGGGGGAGGAGTAACGAGCGACAACGGCGTCATAGAGGGCTTTCGCCGTCTTCTGCTGGCTAAAGTGCGCCTTCTCTGCTACTGGAAGATGGTTGCGAACAGCAAGGCGGGCAATGGCATCACGCATGAGCCACTTCGAATGATCTGCGTGCGCTGTGTCAGCTGGGGCTAGGAGGGATCCCTCTGTGTGGGCGAACAAGGACACGCCATCCCTAGTCTCGCTCTGTAGGTACAGCTGGAGATCATCAAGCCAAACGTCAAAACTAATCGCACGACCCTCCGCATCGAAGCTAAGGACTGAGAAAGTAACCATAGGAGCAGTAGCAGCAGTAGCAGCAGTAGTAGCAGCTGCAGTAGCAGTAGCAGTAGCAGTAGCAGTAGCAGTAGTAGTAGCAGCAGTAGCAGCAGCATGGCAGTGCGGCTCAGTAGGGGCACGGCAGCGCGGCTCGGGCAAGGCGGCGCGGCTCGGCAGGGCGGAGCGGCTCGGCAGGGCGGCGTGGCGCAGGCTGGTCAGCGCGGCTCGGCAGGGCACAGCGCAGCAGCGCGTGTGGCAGCAGCAGCTCAGGCGCAGCAGCAGGAACACTTGCAGCAGCAGTAGCAGCAGCAGCGCGTTCTGCAGCAGTAGCCGCGCTCAGCAGCAGCAGCAGGTAGCAGCAGCAGCAGCAGCAGCAGCGCTTAGCAGCAGCAGCGTGTGTGGCAGCAGCAGCTCAGGCGCAGCAGCAGGAACACTTGCAGCAGCAGTAGCAGCAGCAGTGCGTTCAGCAGCAGCAGCCGCGCTCAGCAGCAGTAGCACATGCAGCAGGAGGGGCCGCGCAGGTGACAGCAGCAGCAGCGCACAGCAGCAATGACGAGCCGAGCGCAGGCAGGGCGTAGGCTGCTGGCGGGCAGCGCGAGCGGGCAGGGGCGCAGTGGCGCTCGCGGGCAGGGGCGCAGTGGCGCTCGCGGGCAGGGGCGCAGTGGCGCTTGCAGGCAGGCAGCGCGCTCGCGGGCGGGCAATGCGCTAGGCAGCAGGCAGCGCGATTGCGCGCAGGGCACGGCAGCGCGATCGCGGGCAGGGCAGGGCAGCACGATTGCGGGTAGGGCAGGACAGCTCGATCGCGCTAGAGGGGCAGCACGAAAAACAGCGCATTACACAGCACTAAGGGCACTCGTGGGGCAAAACGAACAGTGCGCTCTCAGGGCAGCGTGCTACGGGCAGTTATAACCTAGCGTGGTGGGCCCAAGAACACTAGGAACGGACTAGGAAGGTACCTAGACTCTGAAACCATGTTAAAAGTAGCGAGAAAGTGATGGTCGATTAGGTAAGGGGGAGGGTACAAGAGTGTTGAGAAAAGGGTTGTACCCCCTAGGGATAACCCCTACACAGCCTACAAGGCTATAAACATATAAAAATTTCTGACAAAAATCTTACTGACAAAGGTAATTGCTAATGCAGAATCTGTAAAATTGCTATTGCACGGCAGGAATATCATAGTAGATGCTTCAAATGTCTTGCACTGCATAGGGTGTCGCCAAACTGAAGTATCCCTGAAATATAATGGATAAATTTCTAACGCGTAGGTACTGTGGGAGTCAGCTATTTTCTCCACACACGTTGCGCTGACTCGTGCGACGTATGGAATTCGTTCGGACATTTTCAACACCTCGTTGGTGCGGCTTCCTTTACCGAGCCCGAACCAGACGGTTCAAAGGTGTGGCTAGCTGCAAAATCTGTCTGAACCAATCACATACCGATCTCAGGAAGCGATGTGTGGCACCGTACCTAAAGCCCAAACAGCTGCAGGTTTGACTAGTCGTCGCGTGCAAACAAGGCGAGGCGAGATGATAAATTGCCGTTGGTCTACGATTTCCGATCATCAGCTTCTAGTTCAACCTCCCTCACAAAGACTGCAGTAATCTCTCTTCGCTAGATACACCGTGTTTCGTCCCGCACTCGAATTACGTTTCTTCTACACTTGCAACTCCCAGCCATGGCCTCCAAGGCACTGCTTATCGTCTGCTTCACGTTCCTCGCAGTGACGTCCGCCTTCGCGCAGCGCGGCCCGCCTGGCGGAGGCCCGCCCGGCGGTCAGGGGCCGCCAGGGGGACCGCGCGGCGGAGGTCCTGGTGGGCGCGGCGGACCTGGCGGCGGCCCTGGCGGGGAGCCGCGCGGTCCTCCGCTTAACCTGACGGCCGTCGGCAATCTGACGGCGGACGTTGGCGCGCAGCTGAAAAACTGCTCGGCGGACCTGACCTTCGTTGACGGCCGCTTCCACCTCACCGTCTTCAAGTAAGGATCGCCTCCACCCCAGTCCCGCTCTTCTCGCGAAACCTGAGAAGATCGCACACCAATCATGAGCTCGTCTGAGGCAATGTGTCGCAAACGCTTATACGAGGCGGTACTTTTCCTTAGCTTTCTTGGCCTGCGAGTTTTAACAAAATCCCATCTCTCTGCCTCCCGTGCCCTCCCCCCCGCCCCGCTCGTCCCCGCAGGAACTCCACGGGCAACTACAACATCCTCGTCGATGCGCTTCTCGTCGGAACCGACGCCGCCGCCGCCCCGCCCGATTCGATCGCGATCGTGCAGGGCGCCGTGTGCGACTCGGCCGCGTCCGCCGCGGCGGTGCTCTCTCTGCCCTTCGCCGCCTCCGATTGGCTGCAGCGCGCCGGCTGGTGGCTGCTGCACGCGGAGGCGCGCCTCGACGCGTTTCTCGAGAACGCCGACGCGACCACCGTTGAGGCGCTGCTCGCTCTCCTCTCCAACGCGTCGCTTCCGCGCAGCAACGGCGGCGGCCGCGGCGGGCGTAACGGCGGAGGCAGTTCCGGGGGCGCGGGGGGCGCGGGAGGCGCGCGGAACGGGCAGGGCAGCAGGCGCATGGGGCTGGACGTGGGGAGGGTGGGGAGGATGCTGATGCGCGCAATGGCCCGCGGCCCCGCCAAGCAGGGTGGGCAGCAGCAGGGCGGGCAGCAGCAGGGGGGCAGCGGCGTGAACAGCACGGTGAGCGGATATGCTGTGCTGGCTGGGAACAGTGGTTCGGGCGTCATCTGGGGCGGGCAGCTCATGGGCGTCAAAATCCCCTCTGCTGCTGCTGCATAATGCGAAAACAGTGAAATCCCATCTGCTGCTGCTGCAGTGTGATGTGAAAGCAGTGAAACCCCCTCTGCTGCAGCTGTAGCAGCGTAATATGGTGGTGCTGCCTTGGCGTGGTAGCAGTGGGAGAGATGGTGCTGCCGTCATAGCCACTGAAATGGGTAGTGAGTAGTGGTGGTGATGTGCATGTGTAAGGTGCTGAGCGTGGGGGCAGGAATGTTGGCAAGCGGCAATGACCTGCCTTGCCATTGCCAGCATTCCTGCCTCTGACAGCTCATGAGCACATCTCGTATTTGGTTTGTGTGGTCCCTGTAGCTATGAAAAGAACTTCTTACCGTAACAGCTTTACAGCAGACTCATCTGGCCCAACTTGAACTCGTTACGGTACTTCAGGAATTAGACAGGCTACAGGGTGGTATAATGAACTGAGGCAGGCTTGGCCCTCATACAAGAAGCACACAGGAGAATCTAGCCTTCCCCATGTACAGTTAAATTTGAGCATCAAAACCAGGAATATACAGAATCTTGTCTGAACAAACCCCAGCTATACGCATTATTGCAGGAATATGGTTGTCAGATGGCCAGGATTCTGTAACTAGGTGTAGTGTCAGGACTCAGGCAGCATGGACACTGCAGCCGGATCAGGAAACGCTTAGGTATTGAACATGCATGGCAGCACTTGAACCAAATGCATCCAACATGGCAACTTGTTGATCCTTCAACCAGAACAATGCCGCACACTTTCATTGGTGTAAATCTAACGCCCTCAACACATGCATCCAATGCAACACTCATTCATGCACAACCAATCTCCACAGCAGCAACCTGTCGATCCCAGGCCAACCCACAAGCCACAACCGAAGTATGGGAACACGGCTGCCAGTGTGTGGCAAGGGGACTACAGGTTATCAAAACATGGCACTCCCAGGCCGGCACAGTATGACTGACTTAGACAGGGAGGCTGGTGAGTGACCGTGGAATTACGGTTGTTAGTAGGTCAGATGAGGCTGACTAGAATCCGACTTGGTGGCGCGATGGCATTACCAAGGTAACAAGGCAATACACTTCCAGAACGGACACTTCGTTTCAACGCTCCTATGATACCATACGTGGTGATAGGAGGTGACACTAGGTGCCCGGCGGTGCAACAGGGTGGTAGGGGTGATGCCGAGCCAGGGTACAAGTTGACTAAGTATCCCATATAAGGGCGCAGCAGCAGGGCGCTTATGGGAGTGAGGTGCAACGTGCATGTTCGCAAGATGGAATATTTCCAACGGAAGAAAGGGAGGGGGGGAGGATTGGGGGGTGGGGATGTTGTGGGGGTATGGAACGAGGAGGGGTCACACGAGCTAAGAAAAATCGGATCGCCTAATTAGTGGTCGATTCAGAGGTCGATGCAGTACAGTCAGTGGCAGAACGGCGCAACATAATCAGCAGGCGCACACAAAATCGCTACGACTTCGCAAAACATGGCCTTCGTCCAGAATCGCGGAATCACTAACACGTCTACAACACCCACGACTGCTACAACTACAAATCACCATGAGCGGCTGCAAAGCGACGATCCACGTCCAAAATTGCTACCGCGCCACACTTAAAACAGCCCTTCAGCAATCAGTGCCCGTCGCGCGAAACGGGGGCCAAATCGCCACGTCGAACAGCACTAGCATTACGCGGATCAACGGCAGGCACTACACAGCGTCCAAAGCACTAAGAATCAGCGGCGGGGGCGGAAGGGGGGCCCTCCGGCACCGCCTCCGCGGCCAAAGTCGCGGTCGTCGCGGCGGAAGTCGTCGCGCGGGTGGCTGCGCGGGCCCTGGCGGGCGAAATCGATTCGCAGGTTCGGCGACGTGTAATCGTTCTCGTCGAAACGGTACCCTGCAGAGTTTACGAGGCCGGGGGAAACGTGCACGGGTCGCCAGGGGGGAGGGACTAGATTCGTGGGATCGATCGAACATGTAACTTGTAAACGTCTCGTGAAAACAATAGCCTGCACAAATCGTCGGAAAGACAAGTGGGCACGGACGCACGCGCGCAACGCACCGGCGGGAACAGGAGCAGCTGGCGGAATCTGCTGGACGGAAGCGCGTGTTAGATCAGTGGGAATAATCGACACTACGATAGATCGAGGTAGGCTAGAACGAGGTGCGCACAATCTGGATCAAAATACCATGATACCTGGTGGGAAACATGCTGCGTCGGAACCAGCTACTAGTCGAGCGTGATCGAATCGGACTCAAACCACAACTCGTCCACTTGAAACCTCGTGGGATCACCATTTCGCACCCATGACTCGCCTGTCCTGTCTCGGCCTACTGGATCGAATTCGATTCAAAACTGTCACCATTCTTCGTAACTTCGTCCACGGCCATCTGCCTGCTTCGCTGACGCGCCTCAACTGCTGAACGATACCGCTACTCTGATGCTGAGCTGAATCCGAAACCCTTCTCTGCTTTTCTGAGCTCAACCCATCTCGGGAATTCAGTGCTTACCCTCTCAAGAAGAAAAGCCTTACCGTCTCAGCAGCAACCCTCACCGCCCTACCTTGCAGGGCCTCTAGCGCCGTGGCGGCGCAGCGCGCGTCGGCGAAGTCGACGAAGCAGAGGATGAGCTTCTCCGGCTCGCCGCCCTGCACCACGCAGCACGCAGCACGCACCACGCACCACGCAGCAGTTAAAGCCAAACGAAATTATAACGTCTTGGCTCGACTGGAAAGCAAAAGCGGGTAATTGGGTTGGGTGTAAGTGCAGAGCAGTGGGGGACCGCAGGGGGTGGGGGGCAGCAGTGGGAACAACAGGCGAGGGCAGGGCCTGAGGGGCCAGCGACGTACCCGGCGCACTTCCTTGGGCACGAGGCGCACCTCCTTAAAGCCGATGAACGGCCGGAATATGTCTGCGGGGTTGGGACGGACAGGGCGCAGGAGGACGGAGGAGAGGGAACGATAAGGGGAAAGTACGGGAGGAGATTGACGGACACGGGGGAGCGGAAGGCACGCCAAGGGCGACGGCGACGTACGGCAGGCCTCGCGGCGGGAGCAGTCGGGCGGCAGGTTGTCGACGTAGAGCGTGGGGGGGCGGAGGATAGGGAAGATACGGGTAAAAAGGGGTTGGAGATTGAAAGACAAGGGAGAGTGGACGTCACGGCAAGGGCAACGGCGGCGACGTACGGCAGGCCTCGCGGCGCGAGCAGTCAGGCGGCAGGTTGTCGATGTACAGCGTGGGGGACGCGTCGTGCGGGATCGGCATGTCCCCCGGATGCATGTCCATCGGCGGCATCCCCCCCGGACCCACCCCCGGCGCGCCCATCCCGCCAGGCATGGGCATCGGCGGACCCCCCGGCCCGCGCGGCATGGGCGGACCCGCCAGGTCCATTCCGCCGAGGCTGCGCATGCCCGATCCGGGGGGAGGCGGGCCCAGATGGTCGTCCGCCATGCCGCCCATCCCAAGCGTGCCAGGTGGCGCCATACCGGGTGGTGCCATGGAGCTCTGCCGATAAGGACGGGGAAGAAACGGGTGAAAAAAAAAACAATTCAAAAACTTGCAGTTACGACTTATAAAAGCCTCGTGGAACGAAATTGCCAGTCAACGGGACGCATCCGATCGCCTAAGCGTGCGACGCATCCGATCGCCTAAGTGTGCAAAGCATCCGATAGCCTAGCAGTGCGACGCACCAGATCGCCTCGTCTCAGCCCCGCAGGGTCGGCGTCCCGCCACCCGCCAGGAGCGCCGTAGCCCGGAGCTCCAGACCCCCTTGGGGGACCGCCGATTCCGCCGTACATTGCGGAACCAGGGGGCGGCGCGTCGTACTCTGGATAAGGGGGGGAACACAATAGTAATGCGACGCGGAAAGAGGCAGGAGTTTGATTGAGGAATTTAGGATAAAATATATGTATGTCCGCAAAAGTGTACTACGATGTGAACGAACAGAAGTGCATCAGAAAAAAATAAAAATGTTAACACGAACCGTAGTCTCGTCGGCGTTTGACACTGTTTGGCGGTGTCCCAGCACCCCGCCCGCGATCGGCGGCGTATCTATCGCCGTACCGATCGCCTGCGTCATACCTCCAGTCAGCCATTCCAGAAGACGCTCAGAGCGGCAGAGCACAAAAAGAAGCGAGCAGGAACAATCCTAAAAGTCACGAACAGAAAGGACTGGCGCAAGGACTGACTGGCTTGTGAGGACAAAACTGAAGGGTGTAAACTGATGGCTTGAAGCCTGGGAGGGAGAGGCAAAGCTAGAGGCAAGATGAGAGCAAAGAGGCACGGAAACAATTAGAGCTTGAAAGAAACCTCTCAGACGACACAAACCTCATCAGCTGAGGGTTTCAAAACATCAGGGGTTGCAAGAAGGTATATATGCTGTACGAGTGGTCCGATACGGTGAAGCGGTGTTCTCGAGGCTGGAGCAGCTGCTGGCAGCTTGGAGCGTGGAACACCCCCCACGAACGACCGCGACTTATGGGTGTATTATTTTGTTGCACTAAGTCTTAATAAGGTGAATTATTGATCACTCTCCTAGGGCAGACCAAATTGGCGAACACAAGCAGAAAAGGTGAAATCACAGGATGTAAAATGAATTGAAGTGATGAAGTCCAGCAAACTAGTCAGACTATGTAATCATAAATTACAGTTTTACTCTAAGCAAATAATGGGCGATGTTCTGGATGTATTTTCACAATGAGAATCATAACGAGGACCAAGAGGGAGGCTCATATCATAATGATGATAATATATAACTGTTTTACAAAAGACATCAATAAATATAAGGGTTGTTCTTTGCCCAGTGCGCTGTACCAGCGACAGTCCTTGCTCTTGGGTTTTCCACTCCACCCCCCGCAAATCTCACCACCCCCCCCCATGCCAACAGATGCTGCGGCGATTCACCAATCAGCAGCGACGGAGCGTCAAATGTAGGGGATCTCATGGGGAATTGCTCGCCAGTCACTAGGGAATTGCTGATTAGCGAGGCAGCGAGGAATTAGTTGGTCCATGCTACTAGTTAGTTGGCAGCGGCACTCCGTTCACCCTCGCACTCGAAGCGTGCGGGATCGCAGCGCTGTTAGCCAGCTTCGTTTGTTCGTTAATCTATGCCTTTGATCGGGCGAGATCTGGCTGCGTGTTCTTGAAATTAAGAAAAAATCACATTCTTGTCATATCCCCTCTGATCCGTCAGAAACCAGACAAATCATCGTTAGACCTCCAAAAGCGGCGATCGCATTAAGTCGCCAAGATGGCGTTGTGCGAGGTGCATCGATCGGCCACCGTGGCCTTCGCGCCGACGGAGCCGCTTATAGCGATGGGGACTATGGCGGGGGCCATCGATCTCTCCTTCTCCTCCTCCGCCGCCCTTGAAATCTTCCGCCTCGAGTTCGCATCCACCACCGCATCCGCCGACAATCCCGCCGCATCTGCCGCCTCCTCCGGTGCTGGTGTCAGCCCGGCCGGAACCTTCGGAAACGCTGCTGACGTGTCACCGGACGATTTTTTCGGCGGGCTGGGCAGCCCTGACCAATCCGGAGGCAAGGCGGCTGGCGGAGTGCCGGGAAGCGCGGGAGCGGGGGGCGGGCGATCGGATCTGCCGTCGCTGGGGGCGGCGACGGCGAGCGATCGGTTCAATCGGCTGTCGTGGGGATCGTGCGGCGTGGAGCAGTCGGAGGCGTTCAGCCACGGCATCATCGCGGGCGGCCTGATCGATGGCACCGTCGCTCTCTGGAACCCCGCGCGCATCATTAGGTATGGCGCGTGCGGGCATTAGCATGCAGGACGCAGCGCATGCGATGCGTGGTGCCTCGAATCGTGGCGCCGCGTGGAATCAGACCGGTTTTTGAGTCGATTGAAATGCGTGTGAGGCGTGGTGCCCGCGTGACTTATCAGGCATGTGTCCTGGCATCGTTGAGTCTGATGATGCGAGAAATTTGAAGTGTGGTCCGTGCACGCAAATTGCGGCATTTCGTGCAAAGTTTGAGGCGCTATACCGCTCGAAATGTTTTGTATTATTTGCAGCGATGCTTTAGGTGATACAGAAGGCTATGCTGGGTAGAAATCGGAAAAGATTCTTACTCGTTTCTGCTGACAAGCTATTGTGTGTCATTGTCGTTTCGATGGTTGTGGTTTCTGGAGTGGCAGCGGCAAGACGGGCGAGGGAGAGGGAGCTCTCGTCGCCAAGATGTCCAAACACAAGGGCGCGGTGAGTGACGATCGCGAAGGAGGTTGAGGAATGAGCGCGAAAGGGCGGTAAGTTGAGAAGGTAATGTGCAGTGTTGGGGAACGAGGACTGGTTCGCTCTGCACAGGGCAGGAGTGGCGAACACAAGGGAAGTCACACGACACACGCAGGCTGAAAAGAGTGGTAGAGAGTGGTTCTGTGAGGTGCGAATGATACGGACAGTCGAACCAGCGCCTTTACCTATTCTGTCCCTCGTTCTTTTAAGAAAAAACCACGTCCTTTGCATGAGCTATCCATCCCGCTCATTTACAACCTGTGCTCGCAGTTCTCATCTTTCGAGACGTCTCAAAAGTCATCCCGCATCACCTCAGATGCAACCTGTGCTGTGACCGCACTCCTGATCACTCCAACCATCACGTCATCTCGATTATTCCCGTCGCATGCACTCACTGTACCATTCACAAAATGCTCACTGTACCCTGTCCTATCTACCGCACGTATTCCTGCACTGTCGCCCGGCACGGCTTGGCACGGCTTGGTTGGCACGTTTTGGCACGGCGTGGAAAGGGTTGACACGACTTGACACCTCTTGATGCGGCCTGGCATGGTGTGGCATGGCTTGGCTCGGCATGGCATGGCATGGCGTGGCGTGGCTTGCCTTGCCTTGGCTCGGCATGGCAGGTGCGAGGGTTGGAGTTCAATCCAGCAGCGCCCAACCTGCTGGCGTCAGGCGCGGAGGATGGCGAGCTGTGCATCTGGGACCTCGCCAACCCCTCCGCGCCCTCGCTCTACCCCTCGCTCAAGGTGCGTGTGTGCCTCGAGGGGCGTGTCTGCCGCACTTACTACCCGCTCTATGTATACCCCCTTGCTAAGAGGACGGAGAGCTGGGGGACCTCGCCAACCCCTCCAACCCCTCGCTCTACCCCTCGCTCAAGGTCCGTGTTCCCTGCTTACTACCTTCCACTCGCCCTTATATCCACCCGCCGCCCAAGGAAGCGCAAGGCGTGACTCATGCTCAGCAGCTACCAGCCATGTGCTCTTTGATCGACCTGTCGTTGGCTTTCGCTCGTCTCGTCAGGATGGCATCGCTCCGTTGTAGCCGCCGCACATGAGTGGGATGCTCATGGTGATTGCTATGTGCATCCCTGTGTTTCGTTTGAGAATCACGAAGTGTGAATCAAGGTCAGCAGCTTCCAGTCCTGTGCTCTGAGACCGAACCAACGTTGGCTTTCGCTCGTCAGGATGGCATCGCTCCGTTGTAACCGCCGCACAGGAATGGGATGCTCATGCATGATCTGTATGCCCTTCCCGCTGTCTGCTGTGCTGCGTCGGTGGGCGTGGTTGGAGCAGGGAGCGGGGGGAGGCCCACAGGGGGAGATATCGTGTCTGGCGTGGAACCGCAAGGTGCAGCACATAGTTGCCACCACCTCTTACAGCGGCCTCTCCGGTGCGTGCTGGCTGTGGGGTTGGTTGGTAGTAATATGGTAGTAATATGCGCTGTAAGTCTCCCCTCTTGTTGCCACCACCTCGTACAGCGGCCTCTCTGGTGCGTGCTGGCGATGGGAGTGTCATCTCTGCCTGCCATTGTGACCTCTCCCTCCCATCCCCCCGCCCCCAACCTCCCTTTTGCACACATACATATGAGCTTGCCTTGCCTACCGCGTTCCCACTCAAACTCCACCGCATTCAAGTGGCCATGCACACCCCTGACATCTCCTCATTGAGAATTCCTAGAAGTGACATCTCCTCACCTCCTCCACACTCCTCCCATTGATCCCTCTCATGCCTCGCTTCCCTGCAGTCGTGTGGGATCTCCGCAAGCAAAAGCAGGTCATCAGGTGCGCCCCGCTCTCGCTCCTATCACATCCTTTATCCCTCTATTGGTCTCTCCCCTCTCCCCGCCCGCCCTTCCCTTCATCTCTTCCTCCCATGATCCCATCTCCTCCCTCCTCTCTTTCCCCATCCGTTCCCTCCTCTCCTCCCCCCTATTTCCGCCCCTTACTCTGCATCATCCCGTTTGCTCTCCTCCTGCCTTCCACCTGCCGCCCTCAATCCGCCCTCTGCCCACACTCTCCCCATGCCCACGTTCCATCGTCCCCTTCCCCGGCACCCGCCACGTCAGTTTTGCGGATCCAGTGAGCAGGAGGCGGTGCTCGTGTCTGCAGTGGAACCCCGAGATCGCCACGCAGCTCATCGTTGCCTCCGATGACGACCGCTCGCCCTCCCTCCAGGTAGGTACCCCTTCCACTCGCCTGCTCGCCCTCCCTCCAGGTACCCTTTCACACTCACCTGCTCTGCTTCCTGCTGCTATCCACCGTCTATTATGTGTGACTGTTGATTGCTCTCGTGCTTATCCGCTGCCGCCGCCACTTCTCTCCTCTCTTTTTCTCCCCCCCCCCTTCACCCCCCGCGCCCCCCTGTTAGTGTTAGCCCTCAATCTCACACTTTGTATTTGTACTTTCTATATCCTAGCGTAGTGTAGTTCGCACTTTGTGTTTGGTTGGGTGTACACCCACATCCCAACCAAACCCAAATGTGATCTCCAAGCAATCTCCAACCCACCAATTGGAGATTGCCTTGGGATTACCCCCAATCCCTAGAGATTGCCCCCGATTCCCTTCCCCATATTTTCCTTGTCCATCCTGGATGTACTTAAAGAGCTTCGAGCTCATTACTAATGCATGGATTCTAAGCTCAAGTTCTGAAACCCCCTCCCCCTCTTCTTCCCCCCCTGCATGCAGGTGTGGGATCTGCGCAACGCCATGTCGCCAGTCAAGGAGCTCACCTCGCACACCAAAGGTGCGACTTGCTGTAGCTAAAACGGGCGGGTGGGCAGGTGAGCAAAAATGCCATGCTCTGTGCGGGTGTTGCAGCGCGGGGCGGGACGGATGCGCTTTTGGCTCGACTCCAAACATATTTTGTGGCAGTGCAACGGAAATTGAGTGGGCAGATGACTCACGGTGCTGTCTCCCCCCCTGTCCACCCGCGCTGCCCCACAGGAGTGTTGGCAATGGCGTGGTGTCCCAGTGACAGCGGGCTGCTGCTCTCATGCGCCAAGGACAATCGCACCCTCTGCTGGGACACGTCCGTGGGGGAGGTGAGAGCTGGGTGTGGGCTGTGGAATGTGATTGAAGGGGTATAAACGGACTCATAAGCGGCTGTGTTGTGCTGCTCTCGTGTGCCAAGGACAACCGCACTCTCTGCTGGGACACGTCCGTGGGGGAGGTGAGACCTGCCCATGGGCTGTAAAATGTGGGACGCGTCCGTTGGGGAGGTGAGAGCTGAGCGTGTCGTGTCGAGTGTGGAGGTATACAAACCGACTGTTTAGCGACTGTGCTCTGCTACTCTCATGTGCCAAGGACAACCGCACTCTCTGCTGGGACACGTCCGTTGGGGAGGTGAGACCTGGGCGTGGTCTGTCGAATGTGGCTGAAAGGGTATGAACCGGCTCGTAAACTACAGCTTTGATGCCCTCGTGTGCCAAGTTCAACCACACTCGCTGCTCGAAGTTTCAAAGCTTTTCCTCCTTCATCCCCTTTCCTCCCCTCTCCCTTCTTCCCTTTCCTTCTCTTCCTCCCCTGTTCTCTCCTTCCCTTTTCCTCTCCTTCTCACCCCTTCCCACCCCCCCTTCTCCCCCACCTCAGGTCCTATGCGAGCTACCAGCGGGCACCAACTGGAACTTCGACCTGCAGTGGTCGCCACGCGTGCCGGGGCTGCTCTCCGCCTCCTGCTTCGACGGCCACGTGTCCCTCTACAACATCGAGGTGCGGCATGCTTGTTGCTCCGCGTTTCTCTGTTTTTTTTGGGACTTTTGAGTCGACTCAAAAGTCGCCTCCTGCTTCGACGGCCACGTCTCCCTCTACAACATCGAGGTGTGTCGCCCTACCTACACCATTGCCGTGTGAGCCTCTTTGTTTTGTTCTCCATGCCTTCTCCATTCTCGCCCGCTCAATCTTTTCGTTCTCGCCTATTTTGTTCTCGCCTGCCCGATATTCCGCTTTCGCCTGCCCGTTGTGAAGTTGCCCTTATCTTTCTTCCAGCCGTTCTTCCCTGCCCGTCATACCCCCCTGGCTACCTTCTATCCCTGATTCTGCTCTGCCGCTATCCTCATTCCTCTGTCCATTCCTCCCTCACTCTCCCCCTTGCGCGCTGCTTCTCCGCCCCACGCCCACGTGCCTGCCTCTGCCAGTCGGCCAGCAGCAAGGAGTCGGACTTTGGGGCGTCGCTCGCAAACAGAACGCCCATGGGTACGTTTCTCGTTTTGACTGTGCCATGCCATGCCGTTGTCATGTGCCGTGCCACATTGATAAATCTCTATCCGCGATGTGCCATGCAGCCACTCTTTGCCCTGTTTCACTGCATTGGAAACCCCCTCTGCCACTTCCCGCTCCTCCTCCTTCCACCCCCTTCTCCCCCCCCCCCCCCCCCCCCCCCCCCAAATTCCCCCAGCCACATCCCGTGCGCCCAAGTGGTTGAAGCGGCCGTGTGGAGCAACCTTTGGCTTTGGCGGGCGGCTGCTGTGCTTCGGAAGCAAGGCGGGGCAGGCGGGGGCGCAGGTGGCGGTGCACAGCGTGGTGACGGAGGAGGGCGTGGTGGCCCGTGCTGACGAGTTTGAAGCGGCTGTGGCGGGCGGCGACAGGGAGAATCTGAAGGCCTTCTGCCAACACAAGGCGCAGCTCGCCTCGTGAGTGGCACTTTGGGTGGTGGGGGCTGTGATCATGGGGTGGTTGTTGTGCTTTGGGGGACGGCGGGGCAGGGAGCGGGGGTCAGGTGGGGGCGCATGAGTGGGCGCAGGGGGGGGGCGCAGGTGGCAGGGCAGGTGGCGGTGCACAGGGTGGTGACGGAGGAGGGCATGGTGGCCCGCGCTGACGAGTTTGAGGCCGCCGTGGCGGGCGGTGACAGGGAGAATCTCAAAGCCTTCTGCCAACACAAGGCGCAGCTCGCCTCGTGAGTGCTGCTGGCGCTATGGTTGATTGTGGTGGTGGTTTTGATGCTGGTGCTGGTGGCGATGATTTGCTGGTTGCTCCCTAGCATAAAGACTCGAATGTTTTTCACGTCCGTGCGTGACACACTTCTTTGAGTCTCGCCCATTGGACAGCAAGGTGTGAGTCTCACACTACCTGTTACCCCTTTCCGTTACCCTCTCCCACTACCCTCTCCCACTACCCTCTCCCACTACCCTCTCCCACTACCCTCTCCTCTCCCACTACCCTCTCCCACTACCCTCTCCCACTACCCTCTCCCACTAACCTCTCCCACTACTCTCTCTCCCACTACTCTCTCTCCCACTACTCTCACTCCCACTACTCTCACTCCCACTACTCTCACTCCCACTACTCTCACTCCCACTACTCTCTTTCTCCCCTACCCCAGTGCCCCGAAGGACAGGGAGACATGGGACTTCTTGACAGTCCTCTTTGAAGACGATGCACGCCGCAAGCTGCTGGCACACCTCGACTTCCGAGGTGACTTTGAGTGGAATCAAAAGGCAACAAGGCGTGAGTCTCAAACACTCCGTTTCCCTCTCTCTCTGCTCTTTACCACGACTCTCTCTCCTCCCCCCAGTGCACCGGAGGACAGGGAGACGTGGGACTTCCTCACGGTCCTCTTTGAAGACGATGCACGCCGCAAGCTGCTCGCGCACCTCGACTTCCCCCCCATCCACATCCCCCACCCCACCCTGCCCCCCGCCGAAGACCCCGCCGCTGCTGCCGCCGCTGCTGAAGCCGAAGCAGCTGCAGCAGCAGAGGCCGCGGCGGGAGAGGCAGGAGCAGAGGCAGCGGCAGCAGGAATGGGAGGTCTGTCTCTTGACGGTGCTGCTGCTGCTGCTGGTGGTGGTGCGGAGGGAGGGGGGGTTGTGGGAGGGGTAGGGCTGGATGGAATTCCGTCCGCCACTGGCGACGTTGACTTCTTTGACAATCTCGCTGGAAGCACCACTCCTAACGCTGCTGCCGCCGCCGCTGCAGCCGCAACAGGGGAAGCAGAAGGAGAAGCTCCGGGGGAGAACGGGGAGATCACCGGGGAAGCAGCAGGGGAGGGCGACGCGGACGAGGAGGAGGAGGAAGAGGAGGAGGACGGAGGGGAGGAGGAGGAGGGAGCGGGGGAGTGGGAGGGCGAGGTGCAGCGGGCGTTGGTGGTGGGGAACTATGAGGCGGCGGTGGAGAGGTGTCTGGCGGCGGGCAGGGTGGCGGATGCACTGGTGCTGGCGGCAGTAGCGGGGTTCAATTCCGACCTCTGGGCGCGCACCCAGCGCTGGTACCTCCGCCGCAACCGCCGCCGCTCCTTCCTCAAGGTGCGTGTGTGGGCTGCTGGGGGTGGGGGCGCGCCTTGTGTGCTCTGTGCTCTGAGAGGTTGCTGTGTGTTGTGTGTGGTGGCTGTGAGGCGGTGTAGTGGCTGTGAGTAAGCGCGGTGGAGAGGTGTCTAGCGGCGGGCAGGGTGGCGGATGCGCTGGTGCTGGCGGCGGTGGCGGGGTTTAACTCCGACCTCTGGGCGCGGACGCAGCGCTGGTACCTGCGCCGCAACCGCCGCCGCTTTTTTCTCAAGGTGGGTGGGCTGGCTTCTGTGGGTTCCCTGTGTGCTCCGAGAGGTTGCCATGTGGTCTGTGTGGACCTCTGGGCGCGCACCCAGCGCTGGTACCTCCACCGCAACCGCCGCCGCTCTTTTCTCAAGGTGGGCGGGTGCCTCGTGATTTTCAACTAGTGTTTGGAGTCGACTCAAAACAGCGCTGGTACCTCCTCCGCCACCGCCACCGCTCCTTCCTCAAGGTGGGCCCACACTGTGTGACTTTTGAGTGAGCAAGGGGAAGTTGGCTATGATGCCTTCAACCTTAGTCCTGCACAAGACCCCCCCGCTCGATTTGTCACCCTAGTTTCACTCGCTCCGGCCTGCCTTGTGGTTTCAGTTCTGCTAGATGCAGTGCGCAAGGCCTACAGACGGTTGCTCCGTTTGTGCCTCCTCCTCCGCCCCTGGCACCCCGGCTCCTCAATCCCTTCTTCCCCTTCTTTAATCCCTCAGTCCCTCCCCAACTTCCCTTTGCTCACCCACTTTTCTCCTCCCCTCCACACACCTGAGCCTCCACATGCCCATCCCTGGCGGGAATCTCTCTCGGCGCGCAGCTGCTGGGCGCAGTGGTGGCGAGTGACATCAGAGGGCTCGTGGCGTCACAGCCCTAATCCCTCCTTCCTATTCGTTAACCCTCCATCTCTCTTTTCCCCCCCCTCCCCCCTTCCATCACTTCCCTTCTCACTCGGCCAACAGCTGCTGGGAGCGGTGGTGGCGAGTGACATCAGAGGGCTCGTGGCATCACAGCCGCTCCCCGACTGGCGGGAAACACTCGCCATGCTCTGCACTGTAAGCCCCTTTTACCCTTCTTGCTTCTTGATTCTTGACCTTCATAGTGCTCTTTCATTTACCGACTACTTGGCTCGCAGCGGATGTCTCTCCAGTTATCCCCTTCTCATTCACCCACTCTCCTCGTTCCCCCTCCCCTGCCAGTACGCGCCGAGCCACGAGTGGTCGGTGTTGTGTGACGAGCTGGCAGCACGGCTGGAAGCGGCGGGGCAGTGGCAGGCGGCGACGCTGTGCTTCATGTGTGCGGGCTCCATCGACCGTGTGGTCGACATCTGGGCCTCCCGCCTGCAGCCCTCCCAGGGGTCCCCGCCCCTGCCGCACCTGCAAGTGAGTCCAGTCAAGAGACTCGAGTACATGAATTGGTGTTGTGTCAGCAGTGGCAGGCAGCGACGCTGTGCTTCATGTGTGCGGGCTCCATTGACCGTGTGGTGGACATCTGGGCCTCCCGCCTGCAGCCCTCCCAGGGGTCCCCGCCCCTGCCGCACCTGCAAGTGAGTCCAGTGTAGAGACTGCTGTGCATGGATGGGTTTTGAGTCGCCTCAAAAGGCGACGCTGTGCTTCATGTGTGCGGGCTCCATCGATCGAGTGGTGGACATCTGGGCCTCCCGCCTGCTGCACCAACAACCCTCCTCCCAGGCCTCCCCGCCCCTGCCGCACCTGCAAGTGAGTCCAGTGTAATGACCGACATGGATGGATGTTCTGTCAATTGTGGCAGTCAAAGGGCTCAAACGCCGACTGGTTGACGTTTTGGGCACACGCTGGTTGCTAGCACTATCACTCCATCTCCGCCGCACCTTCAGATAAGTTTTAGGCTGAAGTGCGGAGAGAAGCAGCTGATCGGTATTAAAAGAGCCTCACTTCAAGCACAAGGAGTTGTTGATCTTGAACACTCTTTTTGCCTCCGTTTCCCCCCCCTCTCCGCCACGTGAAACTAGTAGATTTTTTAGACGTCTCAAGAGCCTCACTTCAAGCACAAGGAGTTGTTGATCCTGAACACTCTTGTTGCCTCCGTTTTTCTCCCCTCTCCGCCCCGTTCTCCCTCTCCATTTGTTTGTGTGTGCGTTTTTTTTTTTTTTTTTTTTTTGCAGGATCTTATTGAGAAGGCAGTGGTGCTGGGCCTGGCTACAGGACAAAGCAGAGTTGGCGGCAGGTGGGCGGCATCGCTCGTCTCAGAGTACGCGACTGTGCTGGCAGCGCAGGGCCGGGCGGCGGCGGCACAGCATCTGTTGTCTCTTCTGCCGCCGTGGGAGGAGAGTGTGAATGACCCGAGTGTGGCCGAGGCGGCCACGGCTGCCGCTGCCTTGAAGGAGCGAATCTACCGCAGCGGACTCGGTGGGTTGTTGCTCGGGGCGTGTGTGTGTGTGTGTGGGTGGGTGGTTGAGTGGGTGGGTGAGTGTGAGTGGCCGAGGCTGCTACGGCTGCTGCTGCCTTGAAGGAGCGCATCTACCGCAGCGGACTAGGTGGGTTGTTGCTCGGGGCGTGTGGGTGTGTGGTGGGGTGGGGTGGGTGGTTGGGTGGGTGGGTGAATGGGTGTGTGTGTGTGTTTGTGTGTGGCTGAGGCTGCCACGGCTGCTGCTGCCCTGAAAGAACGCATCTACCGCAGCGGACTCGGTGGGTTGTTGTTGTGTGTGGGGGGAAGGGGGGTGTGTGGTGTGGATGGTTTCATGTGTGTCTGTGTGTGTGGCATGGGATGGGCCTGAGGGCACTGTTTATCTGTGCGTGTGTCTTACGAGGGGGATGGGGAGGTCAAATCGCTTCAGATTAGAGGGAGACCAGGATCCCGTCTTGCATTTGCTACAACCAGAGCGCCGCATTTGCATTGCATCCTTGCCTGCATTCAGCTAACTCAGCAAACACCTTTCCTTGTCCCTCCCATCCCATTCACCGCAGCTGCAGTTGCCGTGGACCCCTCACAGCCAGCCCGCCCCTTCCCCTTTACGCCTGTCGACTTTCGAGGCGCCTCAAAAGCCGTGCATTCAGCCAACTCAGCAAACATCTTTCCTTGTCCGTCCCATCCCATTCACCACAGTTGCCGTGGACCCTTCACAGCCGGCCCCTCCCTTCCCCTTCACGCCCGTCGATGTGCCTGTTGGCTCCTCTTCCTCCGCCACCACCGCTGCTGCTAACGCTGCTGCCAAGTCGTATGCCGCACAGCAATCAGCATATGCTGCTGCTCCTGCTCAGCCTTCCTACTACCAGGCACGTACCTGCCTCATCTCCTGCCCCGCATTTGCTGTTGGCCACAATGCTGCTGCTGCTGCTGCCGTCTGTTCGTCACCATATACTGCTGTTTATGCTCACTCTTTTTTAGTACCAGCTCTGCACCCCTAGTAAGCTGTTAGCCTTTTCTTTTTGCTGTCCGACTTCCTTCCTCCCATTTCCGATTTCCGTTCTCCCCTCACCCTTCTCCGTTCTCCCAATTCCGTGTTCCATTTTCTCCTCTCCCCTCCCCCTTCTCCCATTTCCATGTCTAAATCACACCTCTCCCTTTTCCATCCACAGTCACCGGCACCTGCCCAGGCTGCCCCACAGCAGCCACAGCAGCAGGTCGCACACACCCCACCTCGCCAGCAGCAGCAGCAGCAGCAACGGCATCCGCAAAGCTCCTATGCCTCCACGTACCAACCCCAGCCCGTCGCTCCTCCTGCTCAGTCCTATGCACAGCAGCAGCAGCAGCAGCAACAGCAACAGCAACAGCAGCAGCAGCAGCAGCAGTATCAACAGCAGCAGCAGCAGCAGCAGCAGGTGCAGCAGCAGCAGTATCAACAGCAGCAGCAGCAGCAGCAGCAGCAGCAGCAGCAGCAGCAGCAGCAGCAGCAGCAAGGAGCAAGGCCACACATGTTCATGCCCACTGCACCGCCCCCGGGTGTGACCATGCCCCAGCACCCCCCACCCATGCAACCCATGGCAGCAGGGCACGCAGCAGCAGGCGCACAGGTGAGCTCTTGTCACCGCAACACATGCATGTGCGGTGCTGTGCTCTGCTGTGCTTCTGCCCTCTGCTCTACTGCTCTTGCTGCTGCTTCTCCTTCTGCTGCCGGGGCAGCAGCGCAGGGAGTGTGTGAGAGCTGCAGCTGTAGCCTGCAGGTGCTTTGCTGGATGGAATGTCAGTAATCCTTTTCAGCTCAGGGGTCTGGGCAGCTCGATCTCTGCTCATGCATTTCCTTTCCTCAGCTCGATCCCTTCTCATGCACTTCGTTTCCTCCGTTTCTTCTCCCTCTTGCCACCCCTGTCGACCTGCTTGCTTCTGTTCTTATCCTTCCCACCCCTCCCCCAGCCGTCCTTCATGCCTGTTGCCCCCCCTCCTGTGGCCGCCCCCCCTCCATCCGCGCATCACATGCCCTCTGGCCCTCCAGTAAGTCCCTCTGTCCCACTCCATTTGTACCCCTTGTCACCGCACTTAACCAGTTCCTTGTATTTTCTCTCATCCTTCACGCCCTCCATCCCAACCCAACACTCCTCCCAACCCCTTCCAACCTCCGTCATTCCCGTCCATCAGCCGGGGATGATGATGCCCACGCAGCCGCCACCAGCAGCACGGGCAGCACAGGGCCCGCGTGCCGTGGCCTTCACCCCCTTCTGTCCAACCAACACTTCTTCCAACCCCTCTCCCCGCCCCCCCCAACCACCACCCCACCTCCCCATCAGCCGGGGATGATGATGCCCACGCAGCCGCCACCAGCAGCACGGGCAGCACAGGGCCCGCGTGCCGTGGCCTTCACCCCCTTCTGTCCAACCAACACTTCTTCCAACCCCTCTCCCCGCCCCCCCCAACCACCACCCCACCTCCCCATCAGCCGGGGATGATGATGCCCACGCAGCCGCCACCAGCAGCACGGGCAGCACAGGGCCCTCGTCCCGTGGCCTTCACCCCTGTGGCTCCCCCTCCCACGCACCGCATGCCCACCGGTCCCCCTCCCGGCATGGGCCCCACCGCTCCTCCCCCCGGGGTCTTCCCCCCTGGCGCGCCCCCCCCTGGGGTGCTTCCCCCCGGAGTCCCCCCCCCTGGCGCTGCCCCCATGATGCGCCCCACTGGTCCTCCTCCCGGCGTGCGCCCACCTGGTGCTGCTGCGGGTGCGCCTGGGGCTGCTGCTCCTGCAGCTGCGCCCGCCCCCGCTGCTCCCGAGGCTGCGCCGCCCGCTCCGCCGCCCACGGTGCAAACAGCCGACACCTCCAACGTGGCCCGTGAGTGTGCTTCCCTGAGACAAGCTGTGTGCTTCCCTGAGACAAGCTGTGTGCTTCCCTGAGACAAGCTGTGTGCTTCCCTGAGACAAGCTGTGTGCTTCCCTGAGACAAGCTGTGTGCTTCCCTGAGACAAGCTGTGTGCTTCCCTGAGACAAGCTGTGTGCTTCCCTGAGACAAGCTGTGTGCTTCCCTGAGACAAGCTGTGTGCTTCCCTGAGACAAGCTGTGTGCTTCCCTGAGACAAGCTGTGTGCTTCCCTGAGACAAGCTGTGTGCTTCCCTGAGACAAGCTGTGTGCTTCCCTGAGACAAGCTGTGTGCTTCCCTGAGACAAGCTGTGTGCTTCCCTGAGACAAGCTGTGTGCTTCCCTGAGACAAGCTGTGTGCTTCCCTGAGACAAGCTGTGTGCTTCCCTGAGACAAGCTGTGTGCTTCCCTGAGACAAGCTGTGTGCTTCCCTGAGACAAGCTGTGTGCTTCCCTGAGACAAGCTGTGTCCTTCCCTGAGACAAGCTGTGTGCTTCCCTGAGACAAGCTGTGTGCTTCCCTGAGACAAGCTGTGTGCTTCCCTGAGACAAGCTGTGTGCTTCCCTGAGACAAGCTGTGTGCTTCCCTGAGACAAGCTGTGTGCTTCCCTGAGACAAGCTGTGTGCTTCCCTGAGACAAGCTGTGTGCTTCCCTGAGACAAGCTGTGTGCTTCCCTGAGACAAGCTGTGTGCTTCCCTGAGACAAGCTGTGTGCTTCCCTGAGACAAGCTGTGTGCTTCCCTGAGACAAGCTGTGTGCTTCCCTGAGACAAGCTGTGTGCTTCCCTCCTGCTCCCCCTAACCTTGTCTTCACCTGCTCCCCCTGACCTTGTCTTCACCTGCTCCCATCATCTTCCCCACCCCACCTGCTTCTTAGCAGCTGAGATGTGGCCAGGGGCAGTGAAACGTGTGAGATGTGGCCAGGGGCAGTGAAACGTGTGAGATGTGGCCAGGGGCAGTGAAACGTGTGAGATGTGGCCAGGGGCAGTGAAACGTGTGAGATGTGGCCAGGGGCAGTGAAACGTGTGCGATGTGGCCAGGGGCAGTGAAACGTGTGAGATGTGGCCAGGGGCAGTGAAACGTGTGCGATGTGGCCAGGGGCAGTGAAACGTGTGAGATGTGGCCAGGGGCAGTGAAACGTGTGAGATGTGGCCAGGGGCAGTGAAACGTGTGAGATGTGGCCAGGGGCAGTGAAACGTGTGAGATGTGGCCAGGGGCAGTGAAACGTGTGAGATGTGGCCAGGGGCAGTGAAACGTGTGAGATGTGGCCAGGGGCAGTGAAACGTGTGCGATGTGGCCAGGGGCAGTGAAACGTGTGCGATGTGGCCAGGGGCAGTGAAACGTGTGAGATGTGGCCAGGGGCAGTGAAACGTGTGCGATGTGGCCAGGGGCAGTGAAACGTGTGCGATGTGGCCAGGGGCAGTGAAACGTGTGCGATGTGGCCAGGGGCAGTGAAACGTGTGCGATGTGGCCAGGGGCAGTGAATTGTGTGCGATGTGGCCAGGGGCAGTGAAACGTGTGCGATGTGGCCAGGGGCAGTGAAACGTGTGCGATGTGGCCAGGGGCAGTGAAACGTGTGCGATGTGGCCAGGGGCAGTGAAACGTGTGCGATGTGGCCAGGGGCAGTGAAACGTGTGAGATGTGGCCAGGGGCAGTGAAACGTGTGCGATGTGGCCAGGGGCAGTGAAACGTGTGAGATGTGGCCAGGGGCAGTGAAACGTGTGAGATGTGGCCAGGGGCAGTGAAACGTGTGCGATGTGGCCAGGGGCAGTGAAACGTGTGCGATGTGGCCAGGGGCAGTGAAACGTGTGCGATGTGGCCAGGGGCAGTGAATTGTGTGCGATGTGGCCAGGGGCAGTGAAACGTGTGCGATGTGGCCAGGGGCAGTGAAACGTGTGCGATGTGGCCAGGGGCAGTGAAACGTGTGCGATGTGGCCAGGGGCAGTGAAACGTGTGCGATGTGGCCAGGGGCAGTGAAACGTGTGCGATGTGGCCAGGGGCAGTGAAACGTGTGCGATGTGGCCAGGGGCAGTGAAACGTGTGCGATGTGGCCAGGGGCAGTGAAACGTGTGCGAGTGCAAGCAGGTTGTGCCAGCACTGAACGCTCCACTGCTCCTCCCTTGGCTGCTTCCCCTCGCACACTTGTCACTTGCCCGTTTCCCCCAGCTGAGCTGCTCCCGTTGCCCCGCTAAACCCAATTACCCTCCCTCTCTCCCTCTCTCCCTCTCCCTCTCTCCCTCTCTCCATCTCCCCCTCTCCTGCTCTCCCCCGCTGAGCTGCGCCCGGTGGCGGGCACGCTGGGGAGGGTGTTCAAGGAGGCCTATGGATGCTGCTGTTTCTGAACTTCCTATGTCCCTCCCTCTCTCCCTCTCTCTCCCCAGCTGAGTTGCGCCCGGTGGCGGGCACGCTAGTGAGGGTGTTCAAGGAGGCCTATGGATGCTGCTGTTTCTGAACTTCCTAGTCCCTCCCTCTCTCCCTCTCTCTCCCCAGCTGAGTTGCGCCCGGTGGCGGGCACGCTAGTGAGGGTGTTCAAGGAGGCCTATGGATGCTGCTGTTTCTGAACTTCCTATGTCCCTCCCTCTCTCCCTCTCTCCCCAGCTGAGTTGCGCCCGGTGGCGGGCACGCTAGTGAGGGTGTTCAAGGATGCCTATGGATGCTGCTGTTTCTGAACTTCCTATGTCCCTCCCTCTCTCCCTCTCTCCCTCTCCCCCTCTCCCTCTCCCTCTCTCTCCCTCTCTCTCTCCTGCTCTCCCCAGCTGAGCTGCGCCCGGTGGCGGGCACGCTGGGGAGGGTGTTCAAGGAGGCGGCAGCGGCGGTGGCGGCGCAGGGCAATGCGGGGAAGAGGAGGGAGATGGACGCCAACAGCAGGAAGCTCGGGCTGCTGCTGCAGCGCCTGAACCAGCGCGATGTGTCGCCCTCTGTTGCCGCCAAGCTGGGGCCACTCTGTGCTGCGCTGGACGCTGGGGACTATGCCACTGCTCTGCATATTCAGGTGGGTTCTTGAGTCAACAGTCGACTCATCAATGCGGGCAAGAGGAGGGAGATGGACGCCAACAGCAGGAAGCTGGGGCTGGCAAGCTGGGGCTACTCTGTGGCAGCGCCTCAACCAGCGCGATGTGTCGCCCTCCGTGGCCGGCAAGCTGCTGCCCCTCTGTGCTGCGCTGGACGCTGGGGACTATGCCACTGCTCTGCACATCCAGGTGGGTGGAGAGCGGTGGTGAGAGATGACTTTCGAATCTACTCAAATGTCACCTCGCCAGCAGCGATGTGTCGGCCTCCGTGGCTGGCAAGCTGCTGCCACTCTGTGCTGCGCTGGACGCCGGGGACTAAGCCACTGCTCTGCACATCCAGGTGGGTGGAAATGCCACTGCTCTGCACATCCAGGTGGGTGGAGAGCGGTGGTGAGAGATGACTTCTGAGTCAACTCAAAAGCCACCTTGCCAACAGCAGGAAGCTCGGGCTGCTGCTGCAGCGCCTGAACCAGCGCGATGTGTCGCCCTCTGTTGCTGGCAAGCTGCTGCCACTCTGTGCTGCACTGGACGCCGGGGACTATGCCACTGCTCTGCACATCCAGGTGGGTGGAGATGCCACTGCTCTGCACATCCAGGTGGGTGGAGAGCGGTGGTAAGAGATGGGTGTATGTGATGTGTTTCACTTTGACACAGACGCTCACATTTCTCCCCCAGCGCGCACACACAGACACATACACACACACACACACACACACACACACACACACACACACACATACACATAACCCCTCCCACCAACATAATAAAGCATACACACACGCATGCTGTCCCGTCCCTTACCGCTCTCTGTACCACTCACCTTCCCCTCTCACATCCCCCCACTCTCTCACTCTTTCGTTCTCTCTCCCTCCCCTCACCTGCTCACCTGCTCACTCATCTGTAGGTGGATCTGACGACCAAGGACTGGGAGGAGTGTGGCGTGTGGCTCACAGCGCTAAAGAGCACCCTTCCCCCCCCCACCCACTCTCTCTCTCCCTCTCCCTCCCCTCATCTTCTCACTCACTGGCAGGTGGATCTGACCACCAAGGACTGGGAGGAGTGTGGCGTGTGGCTCACAACGCTAAAGAGCACCCTTCCCCCCCCCACCCACTCTCTCTCTCCCTCTCCCTCCCCTCATCTTCTCACTCACTGGCAGGTGGATCTGACCACCAAGGACTGGGAGGAGTGTGGCGTGTGGCTCACGGCACTCAAAAGCGTCATCAAGACGAGACAACAGATCGGATGAGAGGGCTGCTGGGAAGACTTCGAGAATTCTCAAAAGTGATTCTTAAATGACTGGGAGGGGTGTGGCGTGTGGCTCACGGCGCTAAAGGGCGTCATCAAGGCGAGACAACAGATCGGATGAGAGGGATGCTGGGAAGAGGGTTTCGATGCGATGATGGTTACCAACTTACCAGCATGGTTATGCATGCGGGTTGACTAGATTACTGGAGCGTGCAGGTTACAGGTACAGGAGACAGTACAGGTGATTAGAAAGTGATGATGCTTGCAGCTGCACCAATCATGGGGCGAACCATGAAGTGTTGTGCCTCCGCGGCAGACATTAGACTGCCGTTACTGTTGCTGGAACTGAGCTGTCATCTACCCTAGAGAAGTGATGATACTGTTACTGCAGCTGCACCAATCATGGGGCGAACAATGCTGTTTTGTGCCACAGTGGCAGACAGGAGAACTGCTGTGTTGTGCTGTCAGTCACTGTTGATGGGACTCAGCTGTCATCTAGCTGTCTTTTGTGGCTTGGGAAGGTAAACACTTGAATGATAGAAACAGGACAGTACCGTGTGTTTTGGAAACTTCTCCCACTATCATTTCATGCTTTCTGTGTGCTAATTAATTGGTATGCCTCGATCCTTACAGCTCTATTTCAGGAAAACGGGTTTATAACGTGTTTACCAATATCGCACTAATGGTAAGCCATACTCAACGGGTGCCATCTGTATTCTCCAACGGGTTGTAGGGCTGCTTTCCAACGGGTACAGACATAGTATCTACTACGCCATATTCTAATACTCAATTACTACCGCACTACCGGTACCTATATCCATCGCATGGGAGCACCCCCTCTAACTAGCGAGCGCGTGGTGGCTATCCCCATTACCAGACTATCCAGAACGTGTCTGTCTGTCCTCGTGAGACGTCTCAAAAACACCCCCTCTCTAACTAACGAGCGCGTGGTGGTGGCTATCCCCATTACCAGACTATCCAGAACCAGAACGTGTCTGTCTGTCCTCGTGACTGCCCCCCCTAACTATCCAGCACTTGGCTCAAGAGCAAGGCAACATTCGCTCTCGCTCGGCCCGTCCTCTCAGAATCACCATCCTCGCTACTGACTGCTCCATTCTTCCTATAAGCCAACGGCTCTATCATTGCTGTTGGCCGCTTCTCAAGCTCCCCAACCAAATGATCAACCCGTGTATCCACTCCCTGTGAAGCCAGTCCCAATTCAACCATCCCCACAGGGCGCTCCTGCTGCTCCTCCCCTTCCTCCTCCTCTTCCTCTTCCTCCCCCTCCTCGTCTTTGCCATGCTTCCAAGAGTAAGGATCATGCCCTGCCTTATCCCCCCCTGCTGCACCCATATACCCCGTGCTGCTGTATCTGGGTACACTCGCCCCTCCAGCATAATCAGCCGCATATGGGACCCTCGCCCCATCTCCTGCTCGCTCCCCATCTCCAGCGTAGTCAGGAGCATACAGGGCTCTCCCCCCATCTCTCTCCAGATCTCGCTCCCCATCTGCTGCATAGTCAGGCGTATATCGAGGGCCACCCCCCCCCCCCCGCCTCCCCAATATACTCCATATTGCCATACATCGGCGCATCCCCCTCGCCTCCCGTCCCCCCATCAGCAAAGAACTCTGCTGCCCGCGCCAGAAAGTCGTGCACTGATGCCGCCGATCCTGCTGCTCCTGGCCCTCCTGCATCCGCACCATACAGGTCTGCATCACCCGCGCTAGTCCCGTATGGGCCTGTGATGCCCGCATGAACCTCATATGAGTCTGTGTCGCCCCCATGCACCCCATATGGGTGCGTGCCTGGCCCTGACCCAGCAGCACCATAGGGATCCGGAGCACTGCCTTCGTCCTCCTCCTCCTCACCCACCCTGCTGCCCAAGACAGCACCCAATCCGCCCTCCTTCCCTCTCCCCTCGCCATCCCAGTGACCCACGCTGTTCTCGCCTTCTTTCCGCCCATCTCCATCCATGCCCCCTTTCTTCCGCCCATCTTGGCCCATGCCCCCATCCTTCCGCGCATCTCCCCCCATGCCCCCCGCCTTCCGCCCATCTGACCCCATCCCGCCTGTCCTCTCCCCCCTGTCCGCGCTGCCCTCAACCTTAACCACCCACGTTCCCCTCCCTCCCCCACCTCCGACAAGAGGAGCAGCAGCAGCACCAACAGCACCAGGACCACCAGCACCACTAACGGCACTAACGCCGCCACCCCCCACATTGCCACCAGCACCAGCCATCCTTCTCCCTCCCCCTCCCCCAACCCCATCCCTGAACCCCTCTTTCCCCCTCTCCACCTCTCTGAACCCCTGCCTCTCCCCAGCCGCGCCCCACGGCCTGTCCCTCTGCCAAATCTCTCTCAACCGCACCAACTCCCTCTCCTCCGCATTCCCATGGGAGAATCTGCACCTCTCCCCGTCCAAGCACCCTGTGCCCACGTGGAAGTACTTGCAGGGGAAGCGCGCCAAGTCGTGGGAGAAGGGGCAGTCATCCCCTTTAAGGCACGAATTCGTTACATGGAACTTGCAGGGCTCGTTCTTGGTCCGCGGAACGCCTGTGTGGGGGAAGGGGCAAGACGCGCCCTTGCTGCAGCGCCCACCCAGGTAGAACTTGCAGGGGACGGACACGCGCGAGGGTCCCGCTTCCATGCGCCGCCTATGCCCCCCCCCTCCGCCTCCGCCACCCCCTCCGCCTCTTCCTCTCCCGCGCCAGTCGTCCCGCCCGCCCCTTCCGCCGCCCCTGCCCCCCCGCCCGCGATACGCCCCCTCGTGTCGTCCCCCGCTCGTTTCGTCCTGCTCCCACTCGTGCCTTCTCCTCTTCCCCGCCCATCCTTCCCCTCCGTCCTGCCCTCCCCCTTCCCCATCCCCACCCTCTCCCATTTCCCCATTGCCCTCCCCACCATCACCTGCCGTCTCTCCAATGCCTGTTCTTCGCCTTACTCTCGCTCCTCCATTCTCCCCCTCCCCCGCCCCCACCTCCTCTTCCTCCTCCTCCTCTTCCTCCGCTCCCCAAAACCCTCCGCTTGCCAGCAGCGCCGACAGCTGCCCCTTCTCCCCGCTACCGCGCGCATCTCCCTTCCGCTCCGCCCTCTTCCCCCCTCTTCCAGCCTCCTCCGCGCCTGCTCTCTCCGCCTCTTCCCCTTCCCCCGGTCTCTCCCTGAACCCTCCCCCCCCCTTGCCTACAACCCCAACCCCGCCTTCTGAACCATCCGCGGCCGCATCAGCAGCACTAGCAACGCTATCACCGCCCCCAGCACCAATGCCGCCCGCCGTAGCAGCCACAGCAGCATCAGCCATGCTACCAGCGCCGCCCGAACGCATAGCAGCAGCAGCAGCAGCAACGGTAACTCCCGCCTTGCCGCCTTCGTGCGCCTTGCCCTTGTGATGGTGCCGGCTCCGGTGGTGGTGCGCGTGGTGATGGGGGTGATGGTGGGGGTGATGCGGATAATTGCCGTGGGGATGCGTCTGGGCATGGGGATGGGCATGGGCATGGGGAAGGGCATGGGCATGAGGACGAGGTTCCGAGTGCGGGTGCTGCTGGCGAGGATGGTAGGGCCGATGATGCTGATGCTTGGCTCTCTTAAACCCCAAGCCGTCAACCCCATCATCGTCGCCATAACCAGCAGAATCGCCACCAGCATCACCCTTACTGTCAGCAGCAGCATGAGCATCCGCATCCGTATCCGCATCCGCATGCGCAGCATCATGATCATGGGGGTGAGAAGTCATGGTCCACCCACGAGGCTTCACAGGGGACCCGCTCCCCGCGCCGATCCCTGCCATCTCCCCAAGCGCGTCGATCATCTGTCGCCCGTGCCCCCTCTGATGGTGCCCGTGCAACCCACGCCCGTGCGAACCACGACCGTGCGAACCACGGCCGTGCGATCCACGGCCGTGCGAACCATGCCCGTGCGAACCAAACCCGTGCGACCATCCTGCGACTGGATCGCCTGCGAGACTGGCGGGGTGACCGGACGAGGGGGGGAAAGATCCGAGCGCGGGTGCATGGCCAGACGTGTGCCCGGCCCACAGCTTGGCAACTTCGCTGAACATCGCATCTTCATCCTCCTCTAGATCAACTCCTGGAACGGCGAGCACAGATCCGAAATCACTTTCCACTTTTTTGTTCCTGTCTGGTTTCGATCCCGCGTCTCTCGCTCTGTCTGCCTGATCCGGCCTTTCCTGGTCCTTCGAGTCTCTGGGAGCAGGAGGGGTCTGCGTTTCGTATGACGATCCTGCTCTTAACGTGGATCTTTCAGCGATCGGACCTCGCTGCTCTTCCGTGTGTGGCACGGCGGAGTTGTCCAAATCGTTGCCACGTGGCAACGAGCTGGCCGAGTTAGTGACATTCGGATCGTCTGGCGCGACAAACTCGCCTTCTTCGGATTCTGATTGGCCATCCTCTTTCATGTTGATTGGAGCCGCCAAAAGCGGCAATCGGAAGCAATGCGAGATTATCGTAAGTGTTTTCGGTAGTGTGGCGCATCGCACATGGCTGGATGCACTACGAGACACAAAGCGGAACTGCGAGATGACTTTCTAGTCGACTTCAATACGGCAACTGCGGAAAGCGAAAGAGTTGATTAAATTTGGTACTCTTGAGAAACCTCCCGAACTATGGCTCCCAACGAGAGTGACACAAGTTCAGATCGAGGACTATTACGACGATCGATAATCTGTCCTGGATTTTTCCTCACAACTGCGGGATTTTGAGGCCAGAATCTCGGACGACTTCAGCCCTATGTTCATGCTCCTATGATCGCAGTTGCTGCTGATCCAGTGCATGCAGGCAGATACGGTACTGCACTGTTCTGTACCCATCTCATCTCCCTTTTCATCCCAACTACCTCTCCTCCATGGCCATGAGCCGCGGCCGCCGAACGCGTGGAGGAGAAGCAAGATGGCTGGTTTTTGGCGTCATCACATCACATCACGGGCCAATTGTACCATCCGTCGAGGTCTGTAACAGAATTAATCGAACGGTTGTGACATGTTGAAGCGGGAGATCCGCATCTGCTAATGACGTTCAACGGTAAAATCGCTTGGTTTCGTGGAAATTGGATTACGAAGTCACGTTGATAGCATAATGTACAGTGCTTCTCAAAGTCTTAAATTAAATATATCAACGGCTAATGTGCTGACATTGTATGAGATGCATTTCCTCCAGCATATCTTAGACTTGACAACTTAATAGAATGATTGATGCTGTTTTTCGAGTTTAAAATGGTTATTATGACCTCATGGAATCATGAATAAATGACAATAAGTTATGAACGCAAAGTACATTATTTGGAAACACTGCAGTATATAATCTTTATGATGGACTTGAGCCGACCATTCTTCATTTGAAACCTGACAGCTCTTTACGAGGCATCCTCATCTCGCTCGCACCCAGATGCAGTGGTGATGCTTGAACCTTGAAAATGTCTTCCTTCTGACGCTGAGAGAGTTGCTTGTTTGCCAGACCTACAATATAAGGAGAATACGGAAGAGCGTTTGCGGAAAACGCGCCGCGCTCAAGTTCTGGGAGTGTGTACGCGGTCGAACGCTTCCATTTCTTCGAGTTGTGCTGGGCAATGTCTCGAAACAGCCTTATTATCTTATGAAAAACAACCATTCAGTTCTCTCAGCGTCGTTACTTCCCATCCCAGCATAGCTTTCTTTACTCTCCAACCTGCTAGAAAGGATTTTGTTCCGTTGCCTCCGCCGCGTGTCTCCCAGAGATCTTCTTCTATTCGCCAGCCAGCTCTTTAGATCTGTCAGAGGGTTCGCACCTTGTGGTTCAGCCGCTATGCCGTCTGAGCCGTCGGATTCTAGCCAGCCGTCAGATCGCAGCCGTTCCCCTAATCCCACTCATTCTGGCGGGGTGGGTCCCCACCGCTGCAACGACCGTCTTGAAGACGTCATCCAGGCACGACATCCTCGTTATCAACCCGTTATGAAGATGATCCCATAGTTGTTGTCCCCTCTTATCGTAAATATCGTCTGGAAGACGCTATCCAGGCACGACATCCTCTTTATTGGTCTGCTATTGGCATTATCTCTTCGTTATTATCCCTCGTCTCGTTGCTGGAAGCCGTCATCCTGGCACGGCCTCGTTCCTCTCTTTGCTCATTCCGGCCCTGATCAGGGTTTATTCGAGGGCAACTGGAGCTCCAACCTTAAGAAGCCTCTGCAGCTGTTCTTTGAGTGTATCCGCTCCAAACCAGGGTATGAGCGCATGGCGGTGCTGTGCTACAGGGTACTGAATCTAGCAACACTTAGCAACGATATTCATTTCATATATTTCTATGGTAGTCACGCTAGCAGCTGTTGCATGCTCGGATTTGCCTCATTTTGCCATCCGTGGTTTTCCATTGTCTGTATTCACATGACTTGCCCCCTACGTCTCCTACACCCGTACTCGAATATTCCCCTCATCCTGTTTCACACAAGAGCAGGTCCGAACCAACAGAGCCGTACACCTTTCTCAAGGCAGCTCCCCCCAAGCCACATTCGAATACCAGCTGCCAGCAATAGCGTGGCATACACCCCCACCTGCTCTCACTGGTCTATCAGGTCAACGGGATCAACCAGGTCCATCAGGTCAACCAGGTCCATCAGGTCAACCAGGTCCATCAGGTCCGCCAGGACTGCAGATTTTACCAGGTTCGGAAGCTGAAGCAAGCCGTGTTGTGCTGGTGTCACAGCGGTTGTGCCAGCGTGGTGTGGTGTGGTGTGTTTGTGCCACTGGGAGCAACGTGCTGTGCTGGGAGGACCGTGTTGGGAGCACTGTGCTGTGTGTTGTGTGCTGTGTGCACTGAGCATTGTGCACTGTTCCCGTGCAGTGTGCTGTGCTGTGCACTGTGCACTCTGCACGTTTCACTGTGCAGTGTGCTGTGTGCTGTGCTGTGCTGTGCACTGTGTGCACATGCAGTGGAAGTTGCACCTTGGTCTAAAAAATGCCTTCTTCTGCAGAGGGGCTGTGGCTGCTGTCAGGACGGTTTGTCTGAGAGCAAATGGTGGTGCTGTAGCTGCTGCCGGCAGTGCTGGTCATTCCTCCTTCACTGCAGCTGCGTTTCCCTCTACACTTGCTACGGCTGCTGCTGCTGCTGCTGCTTTTCCTTCTGCACGCGGCAAAGCTGTTTCAGGCTCTCATTGCATGCTGCTGACTTCATCTGCACGTGCCGGGTACTCACAACTCTTGACGGTTCACTCACAACTCCCGACGGGCTGTTTGCTCCTTTCAACACGCTGCTGCTCTTCCAAAATGGCGTCTGCATCACCACCAGTCCGCCAATCAGCTTCGCTTCTAGTCAAACCTCAATCCAGCTCCCCCACTCCCACCCTCCGCCCTGCCAGCCACACCACACCAACACTTTACTCCGTATCACGAACCACCTGCTGCAGCACCCACAGTCACAACCGTAGCCATAGGGACAGCCACAGCCACAGCCACAGCCACAGGGACAGCCACAGCCAGAGGGACAGGGACTCCCTGTCTCCTGGACTCACAGACTTAGGATTCCGCAGTCCCATGATTCCGTTTCTCGGCAGGCGATTGGTCCGGCCTGCTAGCCTGGGTGTGCTTCTGGAAAATGGCGTATCAAGTAAAGCGGTGGGAAAGGCAGCTAGAAGAGCAGCAACCCCTATAGTTAGAGGAGAACCAGGAGGTAGAGGAGCCGTTGCAGCTTCTGTGCCTATTGCTGCTGGCGGTGCACGATTCAAACCGTCCTTGGGAGGAAGGCCCTCCTCTCTGCTGCTTGCCTGCAGCATGCGGGGGAGAGAGGCAGAACTGAGGGGGAGTTGTAGTAGCTACAGAGGGAATGGCACTGTGGCGTGTGCCATTGGTCGAGGCAGGGCTGCTAAAAAGGAGGTGTTGGCTTGGGGGAGTACGGAGGAGGTGACTGTAGGGGACGTGAGTGGAGCAGAGGTGATTGTAGGGGACGTGAGTGGAGCAGAGTTAGCTATAAGGGACGTGAGTGCAGAAGAGACAGTCGAGGGTGTGAGTGTAGGGGACGTGACTACAGAGAAGACAGTCAAAGGGGTGACTGTTGGGGACGTGGGTGCGGAATGGACAGTTGAAGAGGTGACTGTAGGGGACGTGAATGCAGAAAAGACAGCTGAAAAGGTGACTGTAGGGGATGTGAGCGAAGAGAGTAGCAGCAGTAGCCTAACAGAGGGCAGTCGAGCTCCAGAATTTACTGTTTGGGAAGAGGATGCACAAGCACTGGTGGTCGATGAGAGAGCATGGGAGAAGCATCAGGCAGCAGTCGAGGAAGCGTCGATTGGTCTGCACGACGCTGATGCCAATCGATTGGTCTTTGGAGTCAGCGGTCTCCACGACACCGAAGAGGCCGTCGAGTCGACTCACACACCGATAAGCTCACACCAGCCTTTCAAATCGACTCAAACACCACGTGCGGCTGAGGCAGCTTTGGTGGGTCAGCAGCAGGGCATTCAGGGTCCGTCTGAGCTGTCTCAAACATGGAAGGAGGGGCAGCAGCCCTGGCAACCGCAGCAGAAGCAGCAGCAGCTGAAGAAGCAGTGGCAAGGGCAAGGAGAGCAGCAAGAGCAGAAGGTGGGAGCGGAGGCAGTGGTGTTTGATATGAGTGAGCAGGGAGGGAATAAGGGGGGAGCAGAGGCAGCAGTGTCTGATGTGAGTGAGCAGCAAGAGCAGAAGGGGGGAGCGGAGGCAGCGGTGTTTGATGTGAGTGAGCTCGTTCAAGCTGTGGCGGTTGAAGCAGCTTCGGATTTCTCGAATGTCCAAGGCTTCAGGAGCAGGTGAGGCCTCGCCTCGCCCAGAGTTGACTTCTGAGTCGACTCAAAAGTCAGATTTCTCGAATGTCCAAGGCTTCAGGAGCAGGTGAGGCCTCGCGTCGCCCAGAGATGCTCGCTGAGAGATGCAGAGCGTGAGAAGGAGCGTCAAGCTTGAAACACTTCTGGATCAAGCTTTTACCAACTTAAAATCAAGCTTGCCTCGAGGTTGATTGAACCAAGCTCGAGTCAAGTGTGAGTCAAGTCAAGCTTGGTGAAATGAAGCTCCAAACTTTCCCACCTGGATTACAGCATCTCCTCTGCTCTCTTTTCATCCCTCCTGCTCAGCTCACCCTGTTTGTTCCCTTTCCTAAAACCAATCAGCTTTCACCAGTATCTTGAGTCGGTGCACGAGAGGATGACACGTCAGCAGCTGAGTGCCTCGCTGGAAGTGCAGCAGGTGGTGGGATGGGCAGGAGTGAACTACGACATTCTGCCACGTGCCGTGCGCATGCAGCGATTGGAACCGGTGAGATGTGTTTTGACTCTCCATGTTTGTGCCACGACATGACTTCATCTCACTCTGCAGCCTCAAGAGTGAACAACGACGGTTTCTGTTAACAAACAGCCACTCACAGCTGTTGCAATTCCGCTGCCCGTACTTCCCTCGCTCCCTTGCGCAATCGCAATGGCAGATCTCCCGGGCTCTTGGGTACTCGGACACGCAGCACCTGCTGGAGCACTACACGGCCGTTGATGACGCGATGAGCGGATTGGAGAGTTTCGGGCATAGCGGAGGAGAGGAGAGCGTGAGCTTTGAGTTGACTCATCTGGGGGAGCACCACAGGGCCACTGTGGAGGCACTGGGATGGGAGAGTGAGGAGATGGTGGGGCATAGTGGACGAGACAGTATGGAGCGTGGAGGGAAGGAGAGGGTGGTACACGAGTGCAAGGAGAGGGTGGCAGCAGATGATGGATGGCGTGCTCATGCTGTTGCTGATCTCAGCCACTCTTCCCAGGTCACGGGTCATCCTCGCCCACCTTCTGGATCTAACAAAGCAACAGGCGAACTCCTTTCCTCGCTGCCTCAAGCACCACTGCCATCACCTTCCATGCAAACCCCATCCCCATCCTCATCCCCATCACCCATATCCCCGTGGCATAAGTCTCCCCCTTACTCTCGCCCTTCCCAAGCGTCCGCTCATCCTTCCCACGCATCTCCTCGCACCAGCACACCCTCTCAAGCACCAGCCCGCAGTCCTCAGGTTGTACGGCCCCCAGGCACAAAGGCACAGTGGGAAGCCAGGGCCGCAGCTGACAGCAGGGTTGACTCTTTAGATTCGGGCAGCAAGGCAGCGAGGCAAGGCAGGGTGACAGGTGGCAGTGCAGCTGAGTCGTTGGATCCAGGCATTGGCTCCTTGTGGGCACGGGGAACCACAGTAGGAAAATCAGAACCAGCAGCAGCACCGGCAGGACCAGCAGCAGCACCGGCAGGACCAGCAGCAGCAGCAGCAGAAGGTGCGGGATGGAAGGGGTCTAGAGAGAGAGGGTGGGGGGAGGCAGCAGACGGACATTCCCCAAACCAGCAGCAGTCTGGATCCACTGTGGAGCCACACTCGGGTCAGACTCTGGCCAAGCCACACTCCCCTCAACGCTTCCACTCCACTCTCACTTCCTCTTCCTCTTCGCCTTTTAAGACGTCTCCAAACTTGGAGCCCCACTGGAGTGAAACAGCAGCCAAGCCACACTCCCCTCAGCGTTCCCAGTCCACCCCCACTTCCCTTTCCTCTTCGTCTGCTCCTGCTGTCCGTTCTTCTCCTTCTTCCGCTCCTTCTGCTCCGTCTGCTCCGTCTGCTGCTTCTGCTGCCACGCTTTTGGAGAGGAAGTCATGGGCCATGCGTGCTGCTGCTGCTGTTGCCCGTGCTGCCTCACCTCCCACCCCCACCACCACACCTGCCCCCACCACCACCACACCCGCCCCCACCTCAACCACCACCAACACCACCACTCCCACACCTCTCACCACCAGCACCCCCACAACACACGCCACCTCGGCCACTCCTCCCTATCCCTCAACTCGCCTTCCAGTCCCTCGTTCCACACCTCCTTCCTCTGCTGCCCCTTCTGCTGACCCTCCCACGTCTCTCTCTAACCCTCCCAGTCCTCCCCATTCCCACCCACAAGCACCGTCTGCACCCTCTTGGTCTGCAGACAGGCACAGCCCGTGGTCCCCCTGGGACCATCGAGGCACTACCTCTCAACAAGAAACACCTCAAGTCTTCACTGAGAGGCGAGGCACAATCCGAGCTAGGAGTGTCGTTGAGTCGACTAAAACGAATCAAGAAACGCCTCTTGTCTCCAGCACCACTGTGAGGGAGGACGTTATCCGAGCCAGCAGTGTGGTGCAGGGAGCAGGCCACGTGTCAGCACAGCAGGTAGAGTGGTTATCCCTGGAAGAGAGTGACAGGGTGGGTCGTCAAGAAGCAACGCATCCTGCCGTGGCTGCCCTGCTGGCTCGGTGGCGCCAGACCCAGTTTGGCTCGGTCTGCTTCGAGGACCGGCCGGAGCTGAAGCTTCCAGGCCTGATTCGAGATGTGGTTGGAGCTGAGGCTCGGGAAGCAGGTCCGGGAGTTGTGGATCCGGTGCAGGGAGTAGAGGGGGGGAGGATGGGAGAGGAAGGTGGAGGTGTGAGTGGTTTGAGGGGGTTTGGAGGGGCTGATTTGGAGGACGATGATTGGGTAGAAGGAGGGGAGGATGGGGAGGAGGTGGAGGAAGAGGAAGGAGAAGAGGAGGAAGGAGGGTTTGAAGATTTGGATGCGGTAGGCGAGGAGGAGGAGGAGGAGGAGGAGGAGGAGGAGGAGGAGGAGGAGGAGGAGGAGGAGGAGAACGAAGAAATGATTGACGCATTTTTACAGGAGCAGGGGGGTTTAGGCTTTAGAATGGTAGAAAAGGAAGAGGAGGAGCGGAGTGGTGTTGCAGTGGTAGCTGTGGAAGCATGGGAGGCAGACAGCCTGGCGACAGGCACAGGCACAGGCAGGGCGAAGAGGGGACGGAGAAAGAAGACAATAGAAGCCAGTGGGGGGTGGCAGGAGGGCAGGGGGGAGAGCAGCGGTGTTGCAGTGGTAGCTGTGGAAGCATGGGAGGGAGGCAGCATTGCAACAGGCACAGGCACGGCAAAGAGGGGACGGAGGAAGAAGACAATAGAAGAAGATGGAACTGTGGCTTGGGATACACAGAATGCAGAAGAAGGGCTGGTCATGCCGTCAGGTAGAAGCACAAAAGGTGGGGATGCAGCGGCGGGTGGGGATGCAGCCGACCGTGCGGCAGCAGAGATGGTCTGGCTGGATGCGACACTAGGGAGCACAGACGGAGCAGCTGATGCACCAGCCTCACACGGCGGGGCAGCAGCAATAGAGGAGCACGTGAGCTGGCTGGAGACGCCACTGAGGAGCCTGGCTCGGCGGAGTGGGGGTGTGCTGACGCCCGGGCAGCTGGGGAAGCTGGAGAAGGCGGGGATGTGGACGGTGCGGCACCTGCTGGAGCATTATCCGCACACGTACCGGGACCTCACGTGTAGCAGAGAGGATGTGATGAGGGACGGGCAGGTGGCTGCTGTGGGCGTGGTGGAGTTCGTCAGGTGAGCGGTTGGGATGGGTGGGGCGGTGATTGAATGGGTGCGACGTGGTTGGTTGGGCAAGCCTGCTTGTGGAGAAGTGAGACCAAGTGACAAGCCTGTTTGTGCATGCGCGTCTTGAGTCAACTCAAACAGACCAAGTGTGAAGTCTGTCTGCTGTGCAAACAATGGCGATGGGTCTGAACAAGAAAATTTGCGAGTCGTCTGGAACCATACCTTCCTTATTTCTTGCACCCATCGCCATTCGCTGCTTCACATGTATCCATGATCCATGGACGTACTGCCCCTCTCCTGCCTCTCTCCTGCCTCTCTTTTGAGTCGACTCATTGTGAGTCACTGCTTCACATGTATCCATAATCCACGTACGTACTGCCCCTCTCCTGCCTCTCTTGCATGTGTCTGTGTCTACCGATCTGCACTGCGCCTCCCCGCTTTTCATCTCTCTACGCCCGTCTGCACATCCCCGCACCCATCCTCACCGCAGTGTAAATGCAGCCAGAGGTGGGTCGTGTGCGGTGGCTGAGCTTCGAATCCGGTGCAGCCCACCTGACAACGCCGCCACCGCAGGCACCACCAATTCCCCAACCAGCACCACAACCAGCCGACCCGGATATTTCATCCCGGGATTCACCAGCAGAAGTAGCAGTAGCAGTAGCAGCAGCAGTGGCAGCAATGGCAACAGTGGTGGTGGGTTCGTGGTGACAGCGAAGCAGTTCCGTCCTGGGAGCTGGGCTCGGAAAGCTCTTTACTCCGCCTACCCTAAGGGCTGCCTCGTCTCTGTCACTGGCCAGGTGGGTGGTGGGTGGGCCGTAACTGGCCAGGTGTGACCTGGTGCTCTGGGGCACGAGGATATGGGCAGGTGTGTGGGTGGATGGGGCCGGGTAGGGGAGTGTGGATGGATGGGGGGCGTGGTAAGTTGCTATAATTGACCTCGAATGCTTGTAAGGGCTCTCTCGTTTCAATCACTGGCAAGGTGTGACCTGGCTCTTGGGGGCACGAAGGCAGGGACAGTGCAGGTGGGGCCAGGTGGGCCCAGGTGGGCCCAGGTGGGGCCAGGTGGAGGCAGGTGGGGGCAGGTGGGGCCAGGGGGGTGGGAGCACGTGGGTGGGGGTGTGGGGGCGGGTGGGTGTGCCATTCGTCATGCCTGTCTTGGATTGTATCTGCTGTGCTGGGATGGGATCAGAGCAGCGATAAGCAGCAACCCTCAACATCCTCCTCCTCCCCTTTCCCTGCACCCAACCACTACTCCCTCCGCGCTATGCACCCTTCACCCCCTCAGGTAAGGGCTATGCATGGGGATTGAAACATCTAGACGCCTCATTAGTTCCTCAACCCTCCGCTCAGCCTTCCCCTTCAGATGAAGGCAGTGGATGGCGATGATGGGACGTTCGAACCGTCTCTATAAATCGCTCCCCTTATCCTACCCCCTCCCCTCGCCCCTCCCAGCTGAAGGCTGTACACGGGGATAGGGCCTTTAAGCTGGACATGAACAGCGACAAGCAGGGAGCCTCAACACCCTCCTCCCTTACCCCACGCCCATCCGCTCCTCATCCCCTTCCCTTCACCCCTTCAGGTGAAGGCAGTGCAGGGCGATGGGAGCTTCGAGCTGGACATGAACAGCGACATTGTGAAGGTGGATGCAGGCGGTAGCAGAGGGGATGGTGACCCTGTCCCTATTCCCCAGCATCTATTCCCTTCTCCTTCCCCCCCTCTTCATTCGCTCAGGTGAAATCTGTGCACGGCGATGGGACGATTGAGCTGGACATGAACAGGCGCCAGCAGGGTGAGGGCAGTGCAGGGCGATGGGAGCTTCGAGCTGGACATGAACAGTGACACAGTGAAGGTGGGGAGGGGATGCAGGCTGTATCAGAGGGGATGGCGGCCCTGTGCCTATTCCCCAGCACCTATTCCCTCCTCCTCCCGTCCCCCTTCACTCCTTCAGGTGAAGGCACTGCATGGTGATGGGACGGACCTTCGAGGTGCATTGCATATGAACAGTGACACGCAAGGAGCCTCAACACCCCCTACCCCGCTCCCATCCGCTCCTCATCCCCCTCCCCTCGCCCCCCTCAGGTGAGGGCAGTGCATGGCGACGGGGCCTTCGAGCTGGGCTGCACAAGAACAGTGACACGCAGGGAGCGTCAACTCCATCTGAGACAATTTTTTAGGCGCCTCAAAAATAGAACAGCAACAAGTAGGGAGCGTCAACTCCATCTGCTCCTCGTTCCCCCCCCCCCCCCCCTCTTCTCTTCCTCCCTTCACCCGCTCAGGTGAGGACCGTGCACGGGGATGGGGCGTTCGAGCTGGACATGAACAGTGACATAGTGAAGGTGGATGCAGGCCGTGGCAGAGGGGAGGGTGGCCCTGTGCCTATTCCCCGGCACCTATTCCCTCCTCCTTCCCCCCCACGTCACCTCCTCAGGTGAAATCTGTGCACGGGGATGGGACGATCGAGCTGGACATGAACAGCGACATTGTGAAGGTGGATGCTGGCCGCAGCAGAGCGTCTCAATTCTATCTGCTCCTAATTCTCCCCTCCTCCCCACGTCAACCCCCCAGGTGAGGGCTGTGTGCAGGGCGATGAGGCCTTTGAGCTGGACATGAACAGTGACATTGTGAAGGCAGCAACAGGGGGGACGGCGGCCCTGTGCCTATTCCCCACCACCTATTCCCTCCTCCTTCCCCCCCACATCACCTCCTCAGGTGAAGGCAGCGCAGGGCGATGGGACGATCGAGCTGGACATGAACAGCGACATTGTGAAGGTGGAGAGGGGATGCAGGCTGTATCAGAGGGGATGGTGGCCCTGTGCCTATTCCCCACCACCTATTCCTACCTCCTTCCCCCCCTCTTCATTCGCTCATGAACACGGGGATGGGACGTTCGAGCTGGACATGAACAGCGACATAGTGAAGGTGGATGCAGGCGCTAGCAGGGCGCCTCAATTCTATCTGCCCCTCCTTCCCCCCCTCCTCTCTCCCTCCCTTCACCCGCTAAGGTAAAGGCTGTGCAGGGCGATGGCACGTTTGAGCTGGACATGAACAGCGACATTGTGAAGGTGGATGCAGGCGCCAGCAGGGGGGACGGTGGTGCTGTGCCGGTGTATTCAGCCAGGAAGGACATGGATCCTCTCTCCCTGCGCGTCATCCTGGAAAGGTGCGACTCACCTGTTCCTGTGGTCTCTCCATTGCATACCGCTGCTGCTGGGTGTGCATGTAGTGAGTGTGGATGGGGGATGGTAGCAGAGGGGAGGGTAGCAGAGAGGAGGGTGCTGTGCCGGTGTATTCAGCCAGGAAGGACATGGACTCCCTCTCCCTGCGCGTCATCCTGGAAATGTGGGGCCTTTGTATCACTGCTGCCGGGGGATAAATGAGCATGCTGCTGCTGCCCCCTGCGCTACTGGAAATGTGGGCCTTTTTATCATCGCCCCTGGAAATAGCGCTGCTGCTGGGTGTTCATGCAGTGTGCTCAACCCCCCACTTACTCCCGTCCCCCCTCTTCCCCCTCTCACCACAGTCTAATCAAGCTCATTCCTCAGGACATGGAATACCATTCCCCCTCCCTCCGCGCGCGCTACAACCTCCTCCCCCTCCCTCTCGCCCTCGCCACCATCCACTGCCCGTCCGACCGCGCTCTAGTTCCCCGTGCCCGGCGCCGCCTCTTGCCTTCCCCACTTACCCCGTCCCCTCCTCTTTTCCCCCTCCCACCACAGTTTAATCAAGCTTATCCCTCCAGACATGGAATATCATTCCCCCGCCCTCCGCGCACGCTACAGCCTCCTCCCCCTCCCTCTCGCCCTCGCCACCATCCACTGCCCGTCCGACCGCGCTCTCGTTCCCCTTGCCCAGCGCCGCCTCTTGCCTTCCCCACTTATCCCGTCCCCTCCCCTTTTCCCCCTCCCACCGCAGTCTAATCAAGCTCATCCCTCCAGACATGGAATTTCATTCCCCCGCCCTCCTTGTTCCCCTTGCGCGGCGCACCACCCCCTTCAGTTTTTCCACCACCCCCTCTTGCCTTCCCCACTCCTCTTTTCCCCCTCCCACCGCAGTTTAATCAATCTTATCCCTCCAGACATGGAATACCGCAGTTTAAAAAAAAAAGAGTTAACGGTGGGCCCACTAGGAAATTAGGTCCTAAGACCTAAGTGCTCTTAATACCATGTTAAAGTAGGATGATGACTATCGAGAAGGTTTTGGTACAAAAGTGGAACCTAAGGGGTTGTACCCCACAGTGAGTACCACACTAAAGCCTACCTAAACTATAACATATAAACATACGTTTGACATGAAGCGCGGCGGAAGACTTTGGCGAAAGAACTATTGGCGAAATAGGCGAAGATGTTACTGAGTAATTGAAGAGTTGAATGAGAATTGATTGATATTGGGGAATACAAGCAAGGTTGATATAGCATGCAAAGTCGAATGTCGGAAAGTACTTCGTGGGACTAGAATTGTAAGGCAAGAAGAGTAGAGTGCCACGTGGCACTAGGAAATCTGGAAAGATAGGATGATGATAAGGTTGGGAAGTACTGTTCTGGATGAACAGTAAAACCCCCTGTAACACTACCCCCCTCCCAAGGAGGCGACGTCCGCGGCGCCTGCAGACTGAAGGTACGCTTGGAGGTAAGCGTTGTCATGAGACAGTGAGGACGAAGGAACCCAGCTGTCGTCTGCTGCGTCGTAACCACGCCAACGAACCAAGAAGTCGATGAAGGAGACACCCCCCTGGAGACGGCGTCGGTGCCTGAGGATGCGCTGGATCTGGTAGTCGGGCTCGTCGGTGTCAACAGCTACCGGCAGTGGATTGCGATCACGGCCCGAGAATGCGGTGTTAGGATCGGTGTAAGGCCGAAGAAGAGACACGTGGAATGACGGGTGCATGCGGAAATGAGCGGGAAGGCGAAGGCGGTATGCGACTGGACCAAGTGCGCGCTCAATGACAAATGGACCAATGAAGCGTGGGCGGAGCTTGCTGCCCTGTGGCAGTCGGAGGTTGCGGCTATCCAAAAGAACACGGTCGCCGACTGAAAACGACACCTCACGACGACTGCGGTTGGTGGTGCGTGCCATGCGTGCATTTGCGAGCTCAAGGTGCTTCCTCACGTGATCATGAATGAAGGTGAGATGCTGGTGGAAGTTGTCCGCACGAGGGACTGTGGGTGTGAGATCGACACGAGTGGGGACATTGGGGTGCTGACCGTACAGTGCGAAGAACGGTGATATGCCTGTGGACGAGTGGTGCGTGTTGTTGTAGGCGAACTCGGCCATGCTCAGCTTCTTGTCCCATGCGGCTGCGTCGTGCAACGTGATGCTGCGAAGAATCTGCTCCAAGGTCTGGTTCACACGCTCGGTCTGTCCGTCTGTCTCTGGATGGTACGCAGACGACATGGCTAAGCGAGTCCCAAACAGTGCGAAAAGCTGCTTCCAGAACTTCGAAGTGAAACGAGGGTCGCGGTCTGAGATGATGGAATCTGGAACCCCGTGCAGTCGGACTACGTTATCTACGAACAGCGTCGCGGCTTCCTCTGCTGTGACCTTGCCGTGCGTGGGGATGAAGTGTGCTGCTCGAGAAAACTTATCCACTACCACGAAGATGGCGTCGTGACCCCTAACTGTGCGCGGTAAAGCCATGATGAAGTCCATCGTAACTACCTGCCAAGGGCGGTCGGGTGGTGGAATCGGCTGCAAAAGTCCCGCCTTGCGCTGGCGAGAGGACTTCGTACGCTGACACGTGTCGCACGAGCGAATGTAATCCTCTACGTCTGCTGGAAGCCCTGGCCAGAAGTACGTGCGACTAAGCGACTTAGCCGTCTTATCTGCTCCGAAGTGACCTGCACTAACGACATCGTGCGCCTCGGAAAGAAGGAGCTGTCGAAGAGGGCGGTAGGCGGGAACCCAAATCCGTGCTGTACCCTTCCGAATGTAGACACTACCCTGCACCTCTGCTCCTGCGGGCAGTTGCGGTGTGAAGTCGGGATCTACTGTGTAACCGTGCTCGAAGAGTGCTGTGAGAAGTGGATGGCCGGCAGTGACTGTGAGACTAGCAAGCTGGCAACTAGGGCGGGTGAGTGGATCTGCTGGGTTGCGAACGCCTGGCTTGTACTCTATCCTGTAGTGGAAACTCCCCTCCATTAACTCCATCCATCTAGCCTGGCGACGACTCAGCTGCGGCTGCGATTTGAGGAAGCGAAGCGAGCAATGGTCCGTGCGTATAACACTATCTGCCCCCTCTAGGTAGCACCTCCACACCTTATACGCATGGATGATCGCGAGCGCCTCCTTGTCGTGAATCGGATAGTTCAGCTCGGCCCCCCTCAGCTTACGCGACTCGTACGCGATCGGCTGCAACCCGCGCCCCTAGTCCTGAAGAAGCACTGCTCCAATGGCTCAATCTGATGCGTCGGTCACTACAACGTACGGGCGATTGGGATCTGGGTACGACAGTGTCGGTGAAGACGTGAGCGACTGCTTCATCTGCTCGAACGCCTGCTGCTGCGCTGGACCCCAATCGAAATCTACGCCCTTCCGAAGTAGGTCGGTGAGTGGACTAGCGATCGATGCGTAACCCTGAACGAAACGACGGTAGTAATTCGCGAATCCGAGAAAGCTCTGCAACTCCTTGACTGAGGTCGGAGCTATCCAGTCCTGTACTGCTGCGATCTTCTTCGGGTCGGTCCTAATGCCACTAGCAGATACTACGTGACCTAGAAACTCGACTTCGGGGAGAAAGAACTCGCACTTCGACTGCTTAGCGTACAACTGCTCCTTCCGCAAGACCTCGAAGACCTTCTGCAAGTGCTGCACGTGCTCCTCTTTTGTCTTGGAGAAGATCAGGATGTCGTCTAGGTAGACTACTACGAACGAACCTAGGAACTCGGAGAGGACGGTGTTCATGAGCGTCTGAAACGTCGCTGGGGCGTTGGTCAAACCGAATGGTAGAACCCTAAACTCGTACAACCCTTGCTTCGTACGAAATGCCGTCTTGTCCTGATCCTCCGAAACTACTCGAATCTGGTGATATCCTGAACGAAGGTCGATCTTTGAGAAGACTCTAGCGCCCTGCACTGCATCTAGGAGATCTTCTACTCTCGGTACTGGGAATCTGTTCTTGACGGTGGCGGCGTTCAGTGCGCGGTAATCTATGCACATCCGTAACCCTCCGTCTTTCTTAGGCGCGAAAAGGATCGGTGCTGCCCAAGGCGATCTAGATGGCTGTATGAACCCCTGCGCTAGAAAGTGCCTAACCTGCTGCGTCATCTCCTCTGTCTCTGCTGGACTTAACCTCCACTGCGGCTTCGCTACTGGCCTGCTCCCCGGCTCCAACTCTATTCGATGGTCGACTGCTCGGCTAGGAGGTAACCCTGGGGGCAACTCGTCGGGGAAGACGTCTGCGAACTCTGCTAACAGTGCACTCACCTCAGCAGGAAGAGTCGCCTTCTCACCAACTGCTGCACTCCCTCCTTTCCCCTCCTCAGCTTCCACCTCCTCAAGGAAAACCGCGAAGATCCGTGCCGCACGCTTCACCAGCTGCAGCACACGAACAGCATTGATGATAGCTGTGGATGATGTGGCCCCATCACTCCACTGTGGCAGCTCCCGGAACTCCCCGTCTACCTTGACGCTGCAGCTTCCCTGAGCCCAATCGAACTGAGTACTAACCGTCCGTAGCCAATCCCTACCGAAGATGAAGTCATAACCGTCCAGCGTCGCAGAGTCGAAGTCACGCCTAACCGTGATTGGTCCTAGCACTACGCGCAACTTGCGGATGACAGGTCCTATGTGGAGAGGCGTCCCATCTACCATGCGAGCGTCTTTGAAGTTGACTGCCGAATCTGCCTCGATATGGAGATGACTAACTAGTGAAGACAAAACGAACGAGTAGCTAGCTCCGCTATCGATGAGAATCTTGACTGGAACACCGTGAAGCTTCCCTAGAAGCACGACTGGACGATCAACAGTGTCTACCTCGTTCGGCGTAGATGATTGGTCTAAGGCCGTCTCCTCTACGTTGGTAGACGTGGCGGGTTCGGAAGCGTCCACACCAGCTAGCGACCCGCTATCTACTGGCGGTTTCCGTTTCCCTGCTGCCGCTCCTTAAGCTGTGGGCAGTCCCGCTTCATGTGTCCCGGCTTTTTGCAGTAGTGACAGTTCCCCCTAAATCCCGTTTTCTGTGAGCTGTCACTGTTAACTGCACCAATCTCCATGGGCGATGGTCCGTCCCTCGATCGAGTGTCGGTGATCGGTTTGTATCCCCTATCGCGATCGTCACGACCCCGTCGGCTTCGTACTGCGTCGACGCGTTCTGCTGCTGCGACTACCGACTCGAAGGTGGACAATCCGTGAATCGCTATGATCTCCGCTATGTCCGGCTTCAACCCTTCGAGGTAGCGATCGCGCATCTCTGCTTCCGTGATATCGTCTATCTCGTTGCTGATGCTGAAGAACCGTCGTGTGTACTCCTGGACGTTTCCTATCTGTCGGAAATGACGCAGACGCTTCCTAGTAGCTTCGGAGGCATTCACCAAGTCGAACCTACTCTTCAGCGCCGCTTCAAATCCTTCCCATGTCGTCGGAACCGTGGTAACACCCAAAGCTAAACTCCCTAAGCACGAAGTTGCAGCTGCATGCCCCACGCCCTGTTGATGCCCGCCTGTCTGAGCCCTTCTTACAGCAGTTTGCGTGAGTTGGCGCCACCACTCCAAGGCCGGGCCCCTCAGCAGCGTAACGGAGTACTCGATCCGCTGCTGCGCGTCCGCCTCTTGCACCCCGCTCGCGGCGAAGTAGTTGTTCAGCATGAAGATCCACGTCCGCACGTTCGCGTCGCGTTGACTTGGGTCGAACGGCTCGGGCTTCTGCGGCTTGAGCGCGCTTCGACGTTCCGGCAGCGCTTCCGCGCCAGTTGACGTGTTGGGTGCAGGAGATGGTGCGGCATGACCATGAGAAATTGACGCGAATTCACGAAGCTGTTGCATTTCAGCCCGTACCTGACGATTTTCCAGCGTCAACGTTTCGAGTTGGCGCATGAGCTGAGCAAGCGTGTTGCCCATGTCGTTGGGGAGAGCGGTCATGGTTTCATCCATGTCGGCTCGACGACTCCAAGTCTGCAAGTCGGCACCGCGGGACGATGACGTCATAGTCTCGTCGTCGACGGTCGCTCGTTGGAAGTCGCTCCCCGCGAAGGCTCCTGATACCAAGTGTTAGGCCCCTTGGCCTAAATCCGCTAAAGATTAGCGGGGTCGACTAAGTCGAGGATGAAGCGCGGCGGAAGACTTTGGCGAAAGAAATATTGGCGAAATAGGCGAAGATGTTACTGAGTAATTGAAGAGTTGAATGAGAATTGATTGATATTGGGGAATACAAGCAAGGTTGATATAGCATGCAAAGTCGAATGTCGGAAAGTACTTCGTCGGACTAGAATTGTAAGGCAAGAAGAGTAGAGTGCCACGTGGCACTAGGAAATCTGGAAAGATAGGATGATGATAAGGTTGGGAAGTACTGTTCTGGATGAACAGTAAAACCCCCTGTAACATGTGTTGTGTCCTGTTGTAGATCAGGAGACTAAATGTTCAGGATATGTAAAATTACTCTCATGTAGACAGTGACAAGTGTGTAGGCTAGGCAGTAATTGATGAATATGAGAACCACATGTTCGTCTTACCTAATCGGAAACCCAGTCAACTGATTTCACGTGATCTCTGATCTAAACCGCGTTACTGGTCAGCGACGCTTCCGCGTTCTCCTTGACTGCACGATTTTGCTGCAGTCAACCATGGTTGCCCGTGCGGCTGGAAAACTTCGGCCCCCGCAAACTTCGGCCTCCTGACCCAGACCGGAGCGGATGCCTCACGCAATCGTGCTGCAATTGGGGGGAACAGCTCGCCCGCGTTTGGGGTGGGCAGGGCAGCTCTCCCGCGTTTCCTTCCAGGCCTCACGCGTGCTTGAGTTGACCTCAAAGTTGACGAGAAGGGAAGGTCCAAGCGACGGGGGGTGAAATATTTTCTGTTCACTGTCTGCGACATGTGGCGAAAAGAAGTGAGTTTGGATTTCGACAGTGAGCGCAACGAGATCTTCAGATAGGACGTATCGGCGAAACGGCGAAGAAATCGCTAGTCATCCACAGTGAGCGAAGGAGTGAAAGGACCAGATCATCCGTACTGTGCGAATAGGCGAAACGTCGGACGAGATTTACGCAGCATGAGACCAACACAACACAAAGGACACACCACCAAATTTCCACAGCTGCCAAGAAATCGGCGAAAATGCTCGGCCCTCGGATTTTCGCAGTCTACCATTTTCAGCCCTTCGCAGCATGATCCAGTCAAAATGCCATCGCCCGTGCAAGCGCCAAGCGCGTACGCGTGTAACCAAATCCGCATGCGCTTTTTGCTGTTGGAATTTACGCATGTTCAGCCGTTCCACGCGGTTCTCTGCTCTGCTTTGCGCATGCTGCTCTTATTCGTGTACAGTAAACTCAGGACTGTTGCCCCCAAGCCATCAGTATCTTGGGTACCGTCAAAGATCCGCAAAGCGGCAGTCTCTACTATTCGACCTAAGCGCCACGCCTTCTGCTTTCTGCACTACATTATCCGCTGTCGTGAAGTTCCATTTCCATTCTGAAATCGCAAAGCCTCCATTACTCACCTGCGCAAGTGATCAACTTACCAAAGTTAGTAGTAGTTGTGTGATACTCGCTCGCAGAAGCGCCCGTTATGGCGCAACCCCCCTGCAGTCCCCACATGATAGCTCCGCAATTCACAGCGTTGCAACAGCCGCACGAAGCCCCTTTGCTCCGTCTCCCATCCGCCAAAAGGCTGCGACTGTTCGGGCAGCAGATCGACGCTTCGGAAGCGTCGCCCGGCGACGTTACTAGGTCGTCGCTCACATCGCCCATGTCGCCCACATCGCAGACGCCTTCCGGATCGAGCAGCTCGAGCTCCAGTGAACGGTTACCACCCCCTCTTTTTCCGCTTTCCGATCCGTTGATGCCAGACCCAACGACAGCCGCGCGTTACCATGCTTCCGATCCTTGCCACGTGTCATCATCTACGCCGTCGCTTCCGGATCTCGGCGACGACATCCTTCGTCAGATTCTCCAGGCGATGCGACCGACGGCGTGGGATCTCTGCCGCCTTGCTTGCGTCAACATGACGTGGAAGAACCTCTGCTACAGCCGGCAATTCTGGACGAAGCTTCGCATCGGCCCCGGTGCCATGCACCCCGGTATGGCAAAGCTCGCGCCGCGCTGCAGGAGCCTCACGGACCTCTTCATTGACGACCCACGGTGCGAGCTCCACGTTCTTAATCCCATCATCGTCGCGTGCGCCTCGTCGCTGCGCCGCGTCGTCCTAGACTGCGACTCGATCGCCGCGGCGGCGATAGCTGCTCCAGGACCCGCCGCCGCCCCCGCCGCCGCCGGAAACGTCGCGCCTCGCGGGAACGCGGAATCGTCGATTTGCAACCTCCTATGGCTCATCTCGCTCCACTGCCGCAACGTCTCGAGAATAGAGCTTCTTTCCTCGCGCGCTTCCGCAGCCGCCACGGCTGCAAACTCCGCGAGACACGACGTAAGAAACGGCGCAGCCAACGGCGCAGGAAACGGCGCAGGTAACGGCACGGGCAACGGCGCAACCAACGGCGCAGCGAACGGCGTCGTCATTACCCCTCCTGGGACGAGCACGGGGTCCGCGTTCGCGAGCCTCTTAGAGTCGCGACTCATGTGGTTCCTCACGACCGCGTTCCGTGGGATCCGGCACTTCTCGTGCGTGCTCCCGAACAGCATGACGACGCAGACGACGTGCCTGATGGCGATCGCATGGCGTCGCCTGTCCTCCCTGCGACTCCACTGCGGCGCGCTCCAGTTCGCCGACCTTCTGGCGCTGCGGAAATGCGGCGCACTCAGAAGCCTCGAGCTTGTGGGCGGCAAATTGGAGGATACGTCCAAAACGGCTGCTGGATCCCTAGAGTTGGGTTCGCAGGGGCAGCCGGAGGAAGGGGAGAGATTAGCTAGTCTGGAGGTGCTTGTATTGAACGGGTGTGACTATGACCCTGTGACTGTGGCGAACCTTGCCTGGCACGCGCCGAAGCTGCAGCGGATTGTAATGAAGGGTGGGAGTCGAGACATCATTGCGGCACAGAGCAATTTGGTAATGGGAACCAATGTATCATTTAGCCGAAGCAACAGCAACGGAAGCAGCAGCAGCCATGGGTCTTCTACCGTCGGCGAGAGCAGATCACTTGGTGCTGTTCCTTCTGCCACAGACACAGCCGGTCTCCCTGTCACTCCCATCCTCTCTCCCTTGCATGCACGTGCCATGGTTGCAGCGGCTGCAGCAGCGGCGATTATGGCGAGGACAGGCAACCAGACAGCAGGAGAATCAGAATGGCTGGCCGGGATTGTTGATGCATTGACTCGCCAAAATCGCACGGGTACCATGTCAGTACCTGGCAGCACGGGGACAAATCTAGTGTCTTCTGATCCCTTCGCTCGACTAAGATCGAGCCTTGGCGAGGTGGGAAGGGGCCACGTGAGAGTTGTTTCGCCCCACGCACCAGCCCCCATTAAGTAGACAATGGTTCGTAGCTTGGCCCAGTTCATCTGGATATGAAGGTGTCCAACTCCATGTAGAGCTAACTTGTGTATGTTTCATAACATGATTCATATTTCAGGCTATCTCAATTGAACTAGGAAGCTGGCCCAGAGAATGGAGCATGATAAAAGGTTTCAGCTAGGCAGAATGAAGCAGGATAAACTTGTAACTACGGTAACAGGTCGCCAGAAAAAAAACCCGAAAACCAGAGTAGTGAAAAGTGAAAAATAGGTATAGGTCAAAGAGGGACCCCAAAAATGACTTATAGTTGGTTACAGAAATGCATTGCTCGCAGCCTTAGTGAGATTGGAGGAACCAAGACATTGCAGAACAGAATACTGTGCTAGTAATACATAGTTTTTTGCTGGTACACAAGGGAAGCTTTATAGGATAAGTTTTGTGCAATGTACGGTATATTGTCAAATTATCGGCTCATAACCTGTTATCAGTCCCCTTCGTCCATGCAGATTTATTATTGACACACCCACCGTCACCGAATGTTTTGCCTGCATTGGTTGGTTGGAAGGAAGAAGGTTTCGTCTGCTGTTGCTCATTTTATGGTGTGTTGGCATGTGATGAACTGTTGATCATGTGACAGTGCACAGCACTACACAGCTGGTGTGTGTGTGTGGGGGTTGTTGGGTTGGCTTGGACCACTGGGGAAAGCTCGTTCGACACATGCCGCAGCTTTTGATTCGTGTTGAGAACTCGAGATTCGAATACAACAACTCGATCCAAAAGTCCTCAGAAAAGTGCACCTCGCGGATCCAACCAGCTCTCTAGATCCTCGCTGGGGCTTTGCTCCTGGTGACGTGGCTGTGCTGACAAGTTCGCGAAACTATTCGTCAACTGTAAGCTTGCGGCCAGTGAGTTTCGCCTGCGTAGGGTAACTTAGGCCAGTCTGGATATTTTACAGCGCATGTACTGTTCATATCCAGAAACCCTTGCAAGCAACACATAACCGCGTCTCGACTCGATTCTGCTTTCCTTGCCACCCGCATCATCCTCTGCCCTGCTACAGAACCCGCACCATGTGTGCTGCTGCTGCTCTGCCCCCAAAACGAGCAGCTCACACAGACACTCCCTCTGAAATGCGCGTCAAATGTTTTCCACTTGCCCCACACAGCCTCCTCCAGGCCTCGTCTTTCCCCTTTCTTCGAGTTTCCTCCCTCCCTCCCTCCCTCCCTCCCTCCCTCCCTCCCTCCCTCCCTCCCTCCCTCCCTCCCTCCCTCCCTCCCTCCCTCCCTCCCTCCCTCCCTCCCTCCCTCCCTCCCTCCCTCCCTCCCTCCCTCCCTCCCTCCCTCCCTCCCTCCCTCCCTCCCTCCCTCCCTCCCTCCCTCCCTCCCTCCCTCCCTCCCTCCCTCCCTCCCTCCCTCCCTCCCTCCCTCCCTCCCCTCCTCCCACTCCCCAAACGGATTCCCCCCAAACATCTCCAGCTGGCGCTTCTACCCTATCCGATTCCCCACGAATGTGTGTTGCCGTTACTCTACCGATCTACGTATTTGAAGTGGCGTCAGAGTTTGAACTGCCAGCTTCAAGCTTTCACTCATTTGGAACTTCCGTCATTTTCTTCTAGATAATCTACTTCTTCCCGTGCACGCCTTTGCACTATAGATTGAGAACTCTGCTCTCGGCCTTTCTTAGCGAGCAATTGACAAAGCACACATAACTTTCAGCCATGGATTACTCTGCTTTCTCGTACACCACGCCAAATGATTTAAATATGGCCGAGACATCCTCAAAAGCCTCGGAGCTTCCTCGAGACATACTGCTCTCGATTTTCTCCCGTCTGGACATGCCCTCACGGGCCCGCAGTCTCTGTGTCAACAAGGAGTGGTATCGAACGGGGAGCGACTTCTCCCTATGGCAGTCCATTGACATTCCTCGGAAGATGGCTCACCGGGTTTGGGACTATGAGCTCGGCGTCATGCTGCGACGCGCGGGTGCAGGAAACATCGATTCTCTTCAGCTCTCTGGTTCCGGAATTACCGGAAAGTCGCTCATCAACATCATTCGTGTAAGTTCACCGAATTCCACATGTCCCTCTTTTTGTTACCACATAACGGGACAATTTGTGGCAATCCAATGGCAATGAAAATAGTTAGAATTGTGAAATTATGGAGCATCTAAACCAAAAAAATCTGACGTTATGCTCCGCGTTCCGTCCTGCTGTCCTTCTCAATCTGCAGACCAAGGCACTGGCTCCCAGAGTCACCGAGATTTCGGTCGACCATTGCTGCAACCTGAAAGGCTGCGACATCTTGGCCTTCCTTCAGGCTATTACGCCATCACAACCATCCACCTCCACCTCGTCGGCACCAGCACCAGTAGTAGCTTATAATGGGTATGGTTACCAACGATCTGCAGCACCAGTTTCAGCACCAGCTTCAGCACCAGCTTCATCTCTCATCCAGAGCTTCCGAATGGACGGCTGTAAATGCGCTACGGTGGCAGAGGTGGACGCAATCCGGTCGCACGTGCGACAACTCGATGTGTCGCAGTGCGGGTGCGGTCGCATAGCCTGCTTGAAGCACTGCGAGCAGCCGCGGTGCCCGGGCCTCTGCCCGCGCTGCTCGGACGTGTTCGACGATTCCGGCCTGAAGTGCGGAGCCTGCACGCGTCCTCGAAACCCCCGCCAGGTAATTATACCTAAATTATACCACGTGTTCGACGATTCCCGCGCTGAAGCCCTATTTCTATCAGACTTGCCGCTCGTTTCGAAGGGTTTTCGCATGGAATACCGACTAACTCCATCCTCGCTTTCCGTCTTTTTCCAATGTTATTTATTCAGGCGATGCGAGTCCAGATTCAGCGGATTCATGCGATCTTGGGTGGTGGCGAGGCGGCGCGTACCAGGTGGACCGACGTGCGGTCTGGCGTTGTCACTGTCAGGATGTAAAAAGCTGATAAATGAATTAGAACGTATCCCATAGCTAGATCAACTAGGCCAGGCGGTCTTCAATAGTGTCTTGTGTATGTTTATCGTCAAGTTGGTCAGAATACTTGGTGTTTAATTTTCATTTTAGCGATTTCTTGAGGGGTTTTGAAATTGAGAATATTGCTTCCCGTCATCACATGGAGGGAACAAAACTTGTACAGTAAATCGATTATCTACCTGTATTTGCTCAACGTCGAACAGCGTCGCAACCCTAGAGTTTGTCGAACCCAGTGGCCATGGCACTTCTTATGCCAGAGTGCGTTGTGTGCGTGTCAGAATTCGACGACGACTCCGCCGTGCCGCGTGTCCTCACATCCTGCGGCCACTCTCTCTGCGCCACGTGTATAGCCGCGCTCGCCGCGCCGTGGACCCTCCCCGCGTCCGCCTCCGCTAGTTCTTCCGCTCCTCCCGCGAACGCCTTGATTCCTCCTTCGGGCCCGGCCTCCGCTTTCCCCTCCGCGTATCCCTCCGCTCACGCTGCTTCCGCACCTCCCGCAGCCGCGGCTAGTGCCACGTCATTAATTGTGCGGTGCCCAGAATGCTCCGTGCGGTCGCGCTCCGCGAACGGACGCGTGGACGGATTTCCCAAGAATATTGAGCTGTTAAGATTGCTTCACGCGATCCGCAGCTCGAGTCGCACCGAAACGACCGCCATTTCTGACGAAGGCATTAAGAAGCAAGCGGAAAGCGGTAGTGACGTTAGCGGCGTTAGGCAGAACAGCAGGCTTCGAAGCATCAGCAGGAGGGGTAGTTTCTGGCACGCGAAATTAGGGTTGGCTACGGGGCGCGAAAGCAGTCGCAGTGGCGACGCGTCTACACCGCATCAGGCACGAGATTCTGAAAACATCGCGGGTAGCAGGTATAGAAGATATCAGTCGGAGCGAGAGTGGCTGCTGGGAAGGATTGCAGGCACCGACCACGGGGCAGCTATTAATGAAGCGCGTAATAAGGAAGGACTTTGTGACAATAAGGAAGCGGGTGACACCCATAACGGAGGGGCTGAAAATGAAGGAAGGGTTGAGCACGAAGGGGGTGCAGCAGGTAATACAGGGGGTGATAGTAACGAAGCAGATGCCCAGCAGGGAGGAAATAAGGAGAGTGACAATAGTGAAGGGGGCGAGGCACACAGGGATGAGAGCAAGGATGGGCGAAAGAGATCCGAATTGGAAGATAAAGAATCAGGTTCCGTTGACGAGCGGTCAGGATCTAATGTTGCGAGATCGGAGTTGGATGGTGCGAGAGAGATGGTGCTGCTGCATGAGGTGGTGGCACATCGTGACAATGTAACGGCTGTTGCGGTTACCAGCGACTCATCTCTGCTCTTCACCGCCTCATTTGACAAGACTGTGCGCATGTGGTCCCTCCCGGTATGTGTTTGTCATTCCATGCGCATGTTTGTCATTCCATGCGCATGTTTGTCATTCCATGCGCATGTTTGTCATTCCATGCGCATGTTTGTCATTCCATGCGCATGTTTGTCATTCCATGCGCATGTTTGTCATTCCATGCGCATGTTTGTCATTCCATGCGCATGTTTGTCATTCCATGCGCATGTTTGTCATTCCATGCGCATGTTTGTCATTCCATGCGCATGTTTGTCATTCCATGCGCATGTTTGTCATTCCATGCGCATGTTTGTCATTCCATGCGCATGTTTGTCATTCCATGCGCATGTTTGTCATTCCATGCGCATGTTTGTCATTCCATGCGCATGTTTGTCATTCCATGCGCATGTTTGTCATTCCATGCGCATGTTTGTCATTCCATGCGCATGTTTGTCATTCCATGCGCATGTTTGTCATTCCATGCGCATGTTTGTCATTCCATGCGCATGTTTGTCATTCCATGCGCATGTTTGTCATTCCATGCGCATGTTTGTCATTCCATGCGCATGTTTGTCATTCCATGCGCATGTTTGTCATTCCATGCGCATGTTTGTCATTCCATGCGCATGTTTGTCATTCCATGCGCATGTTTGTCATTCCATGCGCATGTTTGTCATTCCATGCGCATGTTTGTCATTCCATGCGCATGTTTGTCATTCCATGCGCATGTTTGTCATTCCATGCGCATGTTTGTCATTCCATGCGCATGTTTGTCATTCCATGCGCATGTTTGTCATTCCATGCGCATGTTTGTCATTCCATGCGCATGTTTGTCATTCCATGCGCATGTTTGTCATTCCATGCGCATGTTTGTCATTCCATGCGCATGTTTGTCATTCCATGCGCATGTTTGTCATTCCATGCGCATGTTTGTCATTCCATGCGCATGTTTGTCATTCCATGCGCATGTTTGTCATTCCATGCGCATGTTTGTCATTCCATGCGCATGTTTGTCATTCCATGCGCATGTTTGTCATTCCATGCGCATGTTTGTCATTCCATGCGCATGTTTGTCATTCCATGCGCATGTTTGTCATTCCATGCGCATGTTTGTCATTCCATGCGCATGTTTGTCATTCCATGCGCATGTTTGTCATTCCATGCGCATGTTTGTCATTCCATGCGCATGTTTGTCATTCCATGCGCATGTTTGTCATTCCATGCGCATGTTTGTCATTCCATGCGCATGTTTGTCATTCCATGCGCATGTTTGTCATTCCATGCGCATGTTTGTCATTCCATGCGCATGTTTGTCATTCCATGCGCATGTTTGTCATTCCATGCGCATGTTTGTCATTCCATTCCATGCGCATGTTTGTCATTCCATGCGCATGTTTGTCATTCCATGCGCATGTTTGTCATTCCAGGCGCATGTTTGTCATTCCATGCGCATGTTTGTCATTCCATGCGCATGTTTGTCATTCCATGCGCATGTTTGTCATTCCATGCGCATGTTTGTCATTCCATGCGCATGTTTGTCATTCCATGCGCATGTTTGTCATTCCATGCGCATGTTTGTCATTCCATGCGCATGTTTGTCATTCCATGCGCATGTTTGTCATTCCATGCGCATGTTTGTCATTCCATGCGCATGTTTGTCATTCCATGCGCATGTTTGTCATTCCATGCGCATGTTTGTCATTCCATGCGCATGTTTGTCATTCCATGCGCATGTTTGTCATTCCATGCGCATGTTTGTCATTCCATGCGCATGTTTGTCATTCCATGCGCATGTTTGTCATTCCATGCGCATGTTTGTCATTCCATGCGCATGTTTGTCATTCCATGCGCATGTTTGTCATTCCATGCGCATGTTTGTCATTCCATGCGCATGTTTGTCATTCCATGCGCATGTTTGTCATTCCATGCGCATGTTTGTCATTCCATGCGCATGTTTGTCATTCCATGCGCATGTTTGTCATTCCATGCGCATGTTTGTCATTCCATGCGCATGTTTGTCATTCCATGCGCATGTTTGTCATTCCATGCGCATGTTTGTCATTCCATGCGCATGTTTGTCATTCCATGCGCATGTTTGTCATTCCATGCGCATGTTTGTCATTCCATGCGCATGTTTGTCATTCCATGCGCATGTTTGTCATTCCATGCGCATGTTTGTCATTCCATGCGCATGTTTGTCATTCCATGCGCATGTTTGTCATTCCATGCGCATGTTTGTCATTCCATGCGCATGTTTGTCATTCCATGCGCATGTTTGTCATTCCATGCGCATGTTTGTCATTCCATGCGCATGTTTGTCATTCCCGGCGCATGTTTGTCATTCCATGCGCATGTTTGTCATTCCATGCGCATGTTTGTCATTCCATGCGCATGTTTGTCATTCCATGCGCATGTTTGTCATTCCATGCGCATGTTTGTCATTCCATGCGCATGTTTGTCATTCCATGCGCATGTTTGTCATTCCATGCGCATGTTTGTCATTCCATGCGCATGTTTGTCATTCCATGCGCATGTTTGTCATTCCATGCGCATGTTTGTCATTCCATGCGCATGTTTGTCATTCCATGCGCATGTTTGTCATTCCATGCGCATGTTTGTCATTCCATGCGCATGTTTGTCATTCCATGCGCATGTTTGTCATTCCATGCGCATGTTTGTCATTCCATGCGCATGTTTGTCATTCCATGCGCATGTTTGTCATTCCATGCGCATGTTTGTCATTCCATGCGCATGTTTGTCATTCCATGCGCATGTTTGTCATTCCATGCGCATGTTTGTCATTCCATGCGCATGTTTGTCATTCCATGCGCATGTTTGTCATTCCATGCGCATGTTTGTCATTCCATGCGCATGTTTGTCATTCCATGCGCATGTTTGTCATTCCATGCGCATGTTTGTCATTCCATGCGCATGTTTGTCATTCCATGCGCATGTTTGTCATTCCATGCGCATTCTGGTTTGTGTTTGTATTGGATTCCATTTCACATTCTCATGTGGCCCCTCACGGTACAAGCATGCATGGTGGTTTGTCCCGCTATGTGCATGCATGGTGGTTTGTCCCACTATGTACATGCATGGGGGTATCTGCCAGTATGTGTTGTCATTCCATGCTACGTATGCGCATGTGGGACACTTCATTTGCTCCCTCGCATTACGAGCATGTATGGTGATCCTCCCTAGTTTGTGTTGTCATTCCATGTGCATTCCCCCCTTCCCACCCCCCTCCTCCGCCCCCCTGCTCCCCCTCTTCCCTGTCCCGTCTGTGCACCTTCCAGGATGCTTCTCTTCTCCACACGCTCTCAGGCCCGGCCCATCGCATCACCGCCCTCACTCTCGCCAACACCTCAGCGCCACGTGGCGCCAGCACAGCCATCAACTACGGCCATTTGCTTGTGTGCGGGGACTATGGAGGGTCCTTCCACGCCTGGGACCTCTCTCACTCTCTTCCTCCTCCTCCCCCCCCTCCTCCTTTGGCTTCCACCCACCCTTTCCTCCCACCTACTGTCTCCTCGGCCCTTCCTTCTGCCCCTCCTCTCCCCTCCTGCCCCTCGTTTCTCGTTCCCTCAGCGCCTGCCCTCCCCACCAACCCAAGCCATCCCACATCCACCCCCCACCTAGCCACCACATCAACCACTCCACCTGTCTTTGCGACACGTCTGGTTACCACATCGGTTACACTTCCCGTACCTGCCCCGCGTCTGGTTACCACATGGAGCGAGGAGAAGGACTGGCGATACTCGGGTGTGCTTTCATTGGCTGCGCCGCAACCGGGTGATTATAGTGACGATGGCGCAGCGGCAGCAGCTGGTGATTGTAATGAGTATGTGGTGTACAGTGGGAGTGGTGACCGCACTGTCAAGGCCTGGGCTCCCAATGCTGATGTGAGTCCCTTGAATCCCGTATTTTCTTTATCCAATTTCCATCATTCTTCTTTCCTTCGCCCTTTCTTCCTTGACCCTCGCTTCCTTCGCTCTTTTTTTGTTCATCCCTTCCCATCCTTCCCCTTCTCCACCTCCGCTCCCCCCTCTCATCTCCTCCGCCCATCGTTGCATCTTTTGCTGGCAAATAATCTTGTCCCCCGCTTTCCCCTTCCCCACTTCCCCTCGCCCCGCTTCCCCGTTCCTCACCTCCCACTAACAATCCCACTTCTTCCCTTCCCCTCCCCTCTTTCCCCCTTTCCCTCCCCCTTCCCTCCCCCATCTCCCCGCCAGGGATCCTACTCCCTACTAGCACGCATGGAGGGGCACACTGCGTCTGTCTCCTCCCTTCAGGTGGATTCTCAGGTGGTTGTCAGCGGATCGTGGGACGGCACCGTTCGTCTCTGGTGGCGCCCTGACCACTCCCCCATGGCCGTCCTCGTTTGTAGCAGCCCCACTACCAGCACAAGAGCTCTCGGAAGCAGCACTGGCGTGGGGCAGGGGTTGGGTGCGAGTGGGGGTGGGAGTGTGGGTGTGGGTGGGAGTGTGAGTGTGCGAGCAGTGGTGGTAGATGAGGAGGGGGATTTGATTCTGTGCGCGAGGGAGGATGGGCGGGTAGAGGTGTGGCATGGCAGCAGCAGCATCATGCTCTTGAATCCCAACCATGCCATGCATGTGACTGCTAGCAACAGCAGCAGCGGCAGCAGCAGCACCACCACCACTGGTAACACCACAGCCACTACCACCACCGCCACCACCAGCAGTGCCAGCAGCAGCAGCAGCACCACGAATGCTTCGTCTCCGCCGCCCGCGCTGCTGTCGCTGGCAGTGTGCCGCCCGCTTCTGGCTGCAGGCTCTGCTGATGGCTCCATCATGGTATGGACGGATGTGTGCTGTGGGGTGTGGTGCTGTGGGATGTGTGCTGTGGTGGTGTGGTGGTGCTGTGGTGCTGTGGGTTGTGGTGCTGTGTGTGGGGTGCAGTGGTGTGGATGGGCGGTGGTGGTGTGGAGGGATGATGGTGGCATGGATGGTGGGACAGGTGGTGTTTCTGATGTTGTGCCACATGCGCCGCTCTTCTTTCTGTTATGAGGTGACTTTTGAGTCGACTCAAAAGTCACCTCTTTGGGACAGGTGGTGTTGCTGATGTGCTGCCACATGCGCCGCTCTTCTTTCTGTTATCATATGCGGTTGACGTGATTCCGGCAGTTATGCATGTCCCCATGCCATGCCCACATTTTTAGATTTCTTAAAAATCGTCTGCCCTCTGCCCTGCACACCCTGTCGTGCCCCTTCATCCCACCAGCTATGGCACATGCATGGGCATGGCTCTGATGTCAGCTTAACCCTGAAAGCGACTCACACACTGCCCTCTGCCCTCTGCCCTCTGCCCTCTGCCCTCTGCCCTCTGCCCTCTTCCCTCTGCCCTCTGCCCTCTGCCCTCTGCCCTCTGCCCTCTTCCCTCTGCCCTCTGCCCTCTGCCCTCTTCCCTCTGCCCTCTGCCCTCTTCCCTCTGCCCTCTGCCCTCTTCCCTCTGCCCTCTTCCCTCTGCCCTCTGCCCTCTGCCCTCTTCCCTCTGCCCTCTTCCCTCTGCCCTCTGCCCTCTTCCCTCTGCCCTCTTCCCTCTGCCCTCTTCCCTCTGCCCTCTGCCCTCTGCCCTCTTCCCTCTGCCCTCTTCCCTCTGCCCTCTTCCCTCTGCCCTCTTCCCTCTGCCCTCTGCCCTCTGCCCTCTGCCCTCTGCCCTCTGCCCTCTGCCCTCTTCCCTCTGCCCTCTGCCCTCTGCCCTCTGCCCTCTGCCCTCTGCCCTCTGCCCTCTGCCCTCTGCCCTCTGCCCTCTGCCCTCTTCCCTCTGCCCTCTGCCCTCTTCCCTCTGCCCTCTGCCCTCTTCCCTCTGCCCTCTTCCCTCTGCCCTCTGCCCTCTGCCCTCTTCCCTCTGCCCTCTTCCCTCTGCCCTCTGCCCTCTTCCCTCTGCCCTCTGCCCTCTTCCCTCTGCCCTCTGCCCTCTTCCCTCTGCCCTCTTCCCTCTGCCCTCTGCCCTCTGCCCTCTTCCCTCTGCCCTCTTCCCTCTGCCCTCTGCCCTCTTCCCTCTGCCCTCTTCCCTCTGCCCTCTTCCCTCTGCCCTCTGCCCTCTGCCCTCTTCCCTCTGCCCTCTTCCCTCTGCCCTCTTCCCTCTGCCCTCTGCCCTCTGCCCTCTGCCCTCTGCCCTCTGCCCTCTGCCCTCTTCCCTCTGCCCTCTGCCCTCTGCCCTCTTCCCTCTGCCCTCTGCCCTCTTCCCTCTGCCCTCTGCCCTCTTCCCTCTGCCCTCTTCCCTCTGCCCTCTGCCCTCTGCCCTCTTCCCTCTGCCCTCTTCCCTCTGCCCTCTGCCCTCTTCCCTCTGCCCTCATCCCTCTGCCCTCTGCCCTCTGCCCTCTGCCCTCTGCCCTCTGCCCTCTTCCCTCTGCCCTCTGCCCTCTGCCCTCTGCCCTCTTCCCTCTGCCCTCTGCCCTCTGCCCTCTGCCCTCTGCCCTCTGCCCTCTGCCCTCTGCCCTCTGCCCTCTGCCCTCTGCCATCTGCCCTCTGCCCCCTGCCCACCCTGTCGTGCCCCTTCATCCCACCAGCTATGGCACATGCATGGGTATGGCGCTGATGTCAACATCACCCCATGGAGGCGAATCTCACATGCTCAACCACAGTCACACATGCACGGGCCGTGCACTGCCCTCGCCTTCGATCCTTCCAATGCTACCGCCGCTGCGGCTGCTACTGCTACTGGCGGCACCACCGGCTACGGCAGCAGTGAGTGGGGGAATGGACTCGCGGCCCTGCTGCTGCTGTCAGGAGGGTTTGATGGTCGGCTGTGCGTGTGGGAGAGAAAGGGCATTCAGTGAGGGCACCACGGACTCGTTCCCATCCCACAGCTTCATGGCAGCAGTGAGTGGGGGGGAAACCTCGCAGCCCTGCTGCTGCTGTCGGGAGGGTTTGACGGTCGGCTGTGCGTGTGGGAGCGAAAGGTGTCTGGCCCGGCCCTGTCACTGGCCATGTCTAGTGTGCAAGGTGGTACTGTACTGTATGGCTTGCATGTCTGCTAACAGGATTGTTCACATGCACTTGAGCTCCATTGGGATGCTAGAAATTCCTGCCCGCACCGCATCTCATAGCAGCACCGCATAAATATTGCCGTCAACTAGTTCCTTGACGTCTTTTGCCTGCCAATTATTTTGTGTGCTCTGCTCTACCAGAGTCATTTCTTTATCCTCACCTGCTCAAGATTCCAGGAAACCACACTGGGAGGTAACACATCTACTGCAAACTGAGAGATGCAATGCAAACCAACCATACATTACAAAAGAGCCACAACAGAGGAACAAACGCAACACAAGCCTCTACACTACACACTAAAAAGCAGAGTGGTCGGGTCGAGAAGGCTGTGTTGTTGAGTCCAAGCCTCTACCATGCGAACAGCAGGCTCTGCAAGAGCCAATCAGAAGCCAGTTAGTAGCCAGCCAGCCAGTAGCACAGCCTTGGAACGTAAGGGTGAGCAGAGGAACAGGGAGCAAAAAGGGAGCCGGAATGAAGGGAGGAGATGATCAAAGGAGGAGGAGGCGAGGAGAGACCGGGGGAATGCTGGCAGGTGGGGTGACCGGCCCAGGGTTGGAACCACTGGATCCAGCCAAAAGTGGGGGCGATAAGCCGCGGCTAGGCAGAAAACTGTTGAGTCGACTCAGAGATGACTCTCGAGGCGAGCTTTGAGGCGAATATTGAGGCGCCTCAAAACTCAAAAGTGGGGGATGATGAGGTGAGACACGGGACAGAAACCTTTCCGACTCAAAAAGTGGTGAGTGCAGGTAGGCAAAAGTGGGGAGGATGGGATGTGGAGATGCAGGGGACAGTGGGAGTGATGTCACGATGCAAATGGAATGACGGGAAGTAGGATTGGAGCGAGGAGTGGTGTGATGCTGTGAGATGCCGCCACCGTCACTACTGCTGCTGCTGTTGCTGCTGATGCTGCTGATGCTGCTGATGCTGCTGGTGCTGCTGGTGCTGCTGGTGCTGCTGGTGCTGCTGATGCTGCTGGTGCTGCTGGTGCTGCTGGTGCTGCTGGTGCTGCTGATGATGGACGGTGGTGGCAATGGCGATGCTCTAAAGCCGGCTAATCAGGCCTGGGGAAAGCCCAGCCCCAATAGCTGACTCGGGAAAAAAGGCCATCAAATTGGATACCAGGTGAGCAGCGGCAGGTGCAACTGCTGAAAAAAATCACATTATTTCCACCCGTCCATCCATCTATCAGCAAGGTGCGCGTTGCAGGCCATTGATCCATCCATTTAGCAGCGATGCGGCATGTGCTGCTGTGCTCAAGCACTTGCTTGCTGCAGTGCAGGCACTGGAGCAGGCATTGGGAACCTCCCAGACAATGCGCAGTTCCAAGCGATCTGCTGCATTGGGAGTAGAGTTTGAGACGCAGCCCCAGGAAGCTTTGGAGCAAGCAGGCTGCTGCTATGAAACGGATTATTATGATGATGATGCTGTTTGAGACGCGGAGGCTGCTGCTGGGGAGCAATTTTCCCTGGTGAATGCTCGGATCTATTGAACTGAGTAATTCGAGCGAAAGAAAACAAACTGGTAGGTGGTGGCACTGAGCTAGAGGAGCGACAGGAGGAACGGGACGGTACTGGGGAATGCCAAGACTGCTGCTGATGCTGCTGCTGCTGCTGCTGCTGCTGCTGCTGATGCTGCTGCTGACTGTCCAGAACAAAGAACGTGGGCTGCTGAGACATACTGCAGCAGGCTTCGACCCATCCATCTGTCGCTTGGGCAGAGCCAAAAAAAGTGATTTCGCGTCATGTGACTTGGAAACACGCAGAGCAGAAGTTGCGCGTGGTAACAATGACGGTCAAAACGGCTCTGGTTACTCCGCTGGTTACGCCGCTGGTTTCGCTGCTGGTTACACCACTGGTTACAGAGTCAACACGTGTTCGAGCAGATTGGCTTTCTCTGCCTGCAAGTTGCGGATTTTGGCCTTTAGTGCGTCAATGTACGTCAGCGTCTCGCACAGCAGTGTCTCCGTGGTGATGCGCGGATTGCACAGCGGAATGGCCGCCTTCAGCTGCTCCAGACGGTGGCTGCAGCGCGGGGAAGGGGGAAGGGGGAGGGGGAGGGGCACATAGTGGAGAAGAAAGATTTCGTTAGATGGGCGACAACGTGGAAGAGGGAGGGTTTAGATGAAGAAAGCGCGTCGATAAGGACAGCGCGCACGGCAGACAGCGCGCGGGCGGGACAGGCAGCGCGCGTGGCGAACAACGCGCGTGAAAAACAGTGCGTATGGCCGCAGACTGTGCGCATGGAGCGGAGCGACGAACATCGCAAGCCCATCTATTGTGTCCGCGTCGATAAGGACAGCGCCATACCTGATATTGTTCCGCCTCTTCCGCTCCGCCACAGTGCGCGGACGCACCGAGCGCGCAGCGTCTCCCCCCAGTCCGTCCAGATCCAGCCCCGACCCCAGCGCGCCCGCGCTCCGCTTCATCCCCGCCCTGCCCGCTCCGCCGGTTCCGCCGCTGCTCCCCCCCGGCCCCCCGGGGCTACAGTTTCCCGCGGGGCTGTCGTTCCCCGCCCCCGCGCCTCGCTGCTGCCCCGGACAGGTCTCTACGTTGCTGTCGCCCGAGCTGTCGCCAGCGGCGTCGCCGGCGACGTGCGTGCGACGCTGGGCGTGATCGTCGTTAGCGTCGTCCTGCTGCATTGCACGGTGGCGATGATCTTCGCGATTAAAATCATCGTCACGACATTCCCCGCCAGGAGACCCGCCAGTTGCCTGCATTCCGACACTCAGCTTCAACTCCGCCGCCTCCGCCGCCTCCGCCGGCCCCGCTGCCGACGCGCAAAGGTCCCGACCGATCGAACCGCGTTTTGGGGAGAGAGTGAGACCCGCAGACGCGCCGACAGCACCGCCGACGCCGGCAGGAGCGCCGAAAGCGGCGGCGCCGGTTGCGCGGGCGATGTCGCGGAGAACGGCTTGCTGAAGAGCCGACGAGCCGAGCGCGCCACGTGCTGCGGTGTTACTATCGAGTCTGGCTCCGTGTAACCCGGCGGGGGCGGCGGCGGAGCCATCTTGCTGACGGAAATTGCGGGCGAACGACGGTAGGTTGGCGTATTGCTGGAGCAGCGCTGGCAGAAGCGCTTGCGCCTGCGCTGCTTGCGCCGCCGCAAGCGTCTGTGCAGGTGGCTGCTGCTGCTGCTGCTGCTGTTGCATCCCAAATCGAACTAGCGGCTGAAGCGCCAAAATTGCCTCGTCCATTCTCATTCCACCGCCGCCGCCGCCAGTTGCGGGGACTTGAAATCCGCCATTTAATGCGGCAGTTGCGGCGGTGGTGTTTGGAGCGGCTGCAGAGTGACCGGCGGCGTTAGCAACGCCGGCAAGCTCGGCAAGCAGACTCGGGGAGAGGTTCGACGGGAGGTTCGACAACAAGCCGTTGTTAGAATGGAGTTTCGTGCGCGCGTCGAGCGACGCTTTGAACGCCGCGAGTGACGCAGGCGGCGCGAAGATCGGAGACGGTTTTCCCACATGATCCGCCGCCGCAGGTGCCGATGCAACTACGGTGGCGGCCGCCGCGGGATGGGCGACATTAGGAGGCGCAGCCGCGCGAAACGCGACGGGGGAAGGCGAGACTGTCAACGGCCCAGGCTCGTTTCGCCCTGCATTTTTATTGTTAAAAAACTCAAAATTTTCTCGCGGGGGCTCGTTCCGCTGTGCTGAACGAGGCGGCTCAGATGTCGAGCCAGGGCACGCGAGCTCCAGAAGCGTGTCGGCCATGTTGGAGAGGAATCACAGAAAAACGTACATGTGACGATGAAACAGGAGATTATCGCACCTTCAAGAACAGAAGCAGGGGATCAAGCGAGGAGTCGGCGTTTGCAAGAAATCAAGCTCGTCGAGCTCTGAATTTGAGGACGAGTGAGGAGTTATCGTGGCGAGGCGAAGCAGTGTGCTACCCACCCGCTGGTGTGAGTCGCTGCTGCCAACCAGCCAGCCACTGGGATGAAACGGGAGGGAGTTGGGTTGGGGGGGTCGGGTCGGGTCGGGGGTTGATGTGCGGGAGATGTGGGCGGGAAACAAGATGGGTTGGTGGATTGAACAAAGGCTACAGTGATTGATTGACACCACGGGGGTAGTTTACCCAACTTGACTGCCCACGCCCTGCCACGACAGAGAAGCACAGGAGGAAGCAGCATGGAGAGGGCGGGGATTGGGGAGTTGGCCCTAGTGGGGAACAAGCGGGTTGATTTGGCGGAAGGAGCGTTGCGTAAGCTCATGGGAGTTTGTCGAAAAGGAACGGGGGTGGATGGGTGGGCGAGCAGCAGTGTCTCTCATCTGCCCTCCTCCTCGCGCCTGTGTCAGTCCAGCATCACGGGAACAATTGGATGTGACACGCGCACCTTGCGCTGGCAGTGGTGACAGTGGCACGAATTGGCAGCACGCAGGAGTGCGACTCAAGTGTTATGATTTGGGAAATTAAATGGGTAGTCACAATTAGGCCCGATATATCACATTTGGTTAAGGGGCTATCACAAACAGTCACAGTACACCTCGTAACTATCGCGTGTGATCGCAGTGCTATCACGGATAGTCACACCTTGCCCCGCAAGTCTATCACGTTTGGTCACAGATGAAACGCCCAATCGAGAATTGTAACTACTCGAGTCACTGTAGGGATTCAGGGGAGATTTTATCCCGCGCGCCGTTTTGTCCGTAGTATCACGAAAAAGTTTCGCGACAGCTCTCGGTAACTCGTTAAAAACATCTGCAATTTCTTCTTTACTATTCGAATGTCCACTGTTCGAACGATGCATAATGTCCCTAAGAATAACACTTTTAGACGGGTGAAAGTCTAAGGTTCATTTTTGCTCCCAGTACAAAAACTAAAACCCGTTCGGATGGGATATAATTCGGGAGCATCAACCCTAAACATATTGTCGCACAGTGTTTAGGGTTCATGCCTCCCGAAGGACGTGCTATCCAGTAGGGGTTTTATTTTTTTTCTTCAATTCCCTAAATGTCAGGGCTAGAATAATGCGCGGGGTCACAAGCAATCAAGGTTGGGATTCACTAAAATTTCTACTGTTTCTTTCGTGGTTTCAAATTAATTATGATCGTTTCATCGAGTGACCATACGTGTTAGCTTTTCGGGGGGAGGAGTGACCATTCGTGATAGCACTGTGATCACCCGCCATAGAAATCTCCTGAACTGTGACTTTTTGTGATACCCCTGTGATCAAACATGATAAAACGGGCATAATTGTGACCTCCTATATAATTTCCCTTATGATTTCCCCCCCCAGGGCGATTCGCCATTGTACTGTACAGTACGACGACGACGACGACGACGGACACACCTTATACACCCCATTCTCGATAATTGCACACCCCCTACCCCCTATTTCGAAGGTACCCTGTACGTTTTCTGGCTCGATGTGACGGACACCCAAAGATTGACGAGGGTAGTTATCGAGCCTCGCACTTAATTTTTCGAGTGAGTAGTAGGGGTGGATGGCTGCCCTTGGAACTCTGGTTTCTTTTCTTCCATTCGCGAGCAGGTTGCGAGACTCCCTCCTCCTAAAGTCTACAATCGTTGCTTGCTACCCAACTTTAACGTTTAACCAAGAGTAATTACCCCAGGGTGTGCGCTTAAGGGGTGTGAAATTATCGAGAATAGGGTGTAAGCTGAAAGACAGCAGAATTTGCCATATTATCAAGCCCGCCAACGTAGTTGCATATCATCATGAAGGGGCTGCCTTCGAAAAACGTCCGTTGATACACCCTCTTTCGCGCTAGTAGAGCATCTGGTTGCAGAACATACACGGATTGTAGAACGTCACCACGTTCAGAATGGTCTTGTCACAACTGTACAAGCACAAAGCGACGAATGCGGTTAGGTGAGGTGATGCACGTTACAAACAAAATTTGTCCGCGTTTTCATTTGGTTGGGTCAGGTATACAGCGATAACGGAAATTTTACACCCTTGAGCCAGTTTGTCACGTGGTTCAGCTTTCCCCCCCAGATTGCTAGGAACATTTTATGGCACCTGACCGCACGAGACAAGCACTGTAGCAACGAGTCGCGCTAGGTGAAATGTTGAGAAAGTGGGTGTATCGAAATATGGCGGGCACCAGTGCACACAACGAAAGGGAGTCACCTCATCAGAATGGGAATGTTTGCCGTGCCTGCTCGCAGCTTCACATGCGACAGGGAGTACCTCAGCGCGATTATGAGCCACCATGTTCACTGCACAGGTGTCACCGTCGGCATTACTTGTTTTGACCACTTTTGATTCGACAAATCTGAACGATGTAACTTCGAAAACCTCGAGAAGTGTACCACCTCGGCTGGAGATTCATTTGCAATTGTACGGTTGCGTTCATTATTGCTGCTCGAAATTCGATAATTTCTGCGGAGAGCACTTCCTCCGGGCACTTTGAAAATCACTTGTGGGCTGCTAACATTTGCTTCTGTACCACCCTACTCACAACAGCCAAAATCTGAACAGTTCCGTACAGACTCAACGAAACGTAACGCGTTTTTAGAAGCCGTGTTCAACTGTTCAGACTCACAAGCCTGCTGCTGAGGTGGCTAGCGAGCAACTGTAGTGACCAAGCCGAAACCAGGGAGCAGCGCATCTTTGGAGATTTCTGCTGCAGAACCAATTCAGGCTCACACGCCGCCAACCTAAGTGCACGTGCCCATCATTCTACAGAGCAGTACAGTGCCTCACCACACCACCAGCCTTCCCCGCCCATTCGAGCGGACAAGCCTATGGATGGCATACAGTGTGACACTGCACCAAAAAGGGGTGTCCATCACATCCAATCCAAGGACGGCCGGGTCAGCATGTTTTGGAGGAGCAAGAAGATTTTCAGGCAGGTCTCTCCATGACAGTGGGTCAACCGGAAGTTCTTGTAGAGCACTCGGATGCAACTGCCCACCGTGTGGGGCCTGGCTACTCCCCCTTGCAATACAGTAGTCAGAACAAGTCTTTCAGCAGAAATAAGCATTGAAAATTTCATTTAAAAATCTCCACACTCTGCAATTCTACTTGAAGCCGAAATTCTGTAGAATGTTGCACACTGTACGTGACAACAAACATACTGTACCAAAATTCTCCAGCCATTCCGTTGTTCGTGACTTTCGTCACCCTGGGCACATTGTGGTTACCTACTATACACCTTGTGCACACTGAACCGCCGATTCCATTTCTCGCATCCCACAGGGGCGATGGATAATGTTGCCGGGCAAACTGCCCAGACGTTACAAGCCCAGAGTCAAAGCACTTGTCGCCTTGACCACGAGAAGTTACCCTTGTTTCTCATACAAAACATGCTGGGCTGCCCAGATTTCGGAAACTGTAGTTGAAGTGGTAACCCTATAACCGTTTACAAGCCCTTCCTTGTCCTGAATGATGCATGTTCGAGTGGGGAACAAGTTTATGATCAGAAACGGGAAGTAAAACAGGCAGAAAGTGTACATTGGGCTGGAAACAACACAACAGAAGACCCCAAAAAGGACAGCGAGCAATATTCGACCACGACAATGCAGGTAAGACAAAATGGTCCCACCACCGCTACCACATGCGCTCATTTCCCAACCAAATCGTCCAGCTTACGGCGGAAAGGCTGATCGTGAAAAGGGTAAAATACACTTGACCTTCAGTACGGAATCAACAGCTGTGGTCGCCACAAAAGGACTCGCGTGCCTTCGGCACCTTAGTAAAAATGGCGTTGAGTGTAGTGTTGCCATGCACGCGCTACAAGTCCTTCGAGGTCGCAAACTGGTGAAGGTCGTTGATCACGTGACTGTAAACTAGGTGCTGTTCCCCGTGATGTGCTGCACAAGGGACGCTAGTCTAGTTTCGTTTAGAAATTGTAGAGAACAATGGTTGGGCATCCAGTGTACCCACCACACTGACTCCCCCCTCGCCAAACACACCCTACACCGACAAGTCAGACCAGATTGAGGCCCTGTTCGGCTGCACTTTGGCTGCCAAGCTCATCTGACCAACAACACAACAAACCGGAACGACAACGGAGCCTCGGTCCGAAGCTCGACTGGCTAGAATACAAAACCATCGTGCGTCACTGTTCAGCCCTTCCACCTGTGCAACCAGACACGAAAACGTGGGGGTTCTGGCGCATGTTGCCCGCAACAGACAACAACCAAAACAGTGGAAAACGAAACCCAACCAGCACAATTACCTTATCCTTGCTTCCAGGAACCTGGGCAACAAATTCCAGGAAGGCACACATTCTGTGCGATAGCCAATAGGCTGTCTGCATACATCGTTCAATGAACCAACAACCAGGCCCACCCACGTTGAAAGCAGGATCAGCACTGGACCGAGACCCAACCAGCAATGCACATCATTTTGCCCGTGAATTACTGTGCACTTCGGTTTGGTTGGCACTGTTGGGTGGTAATGGATCCAACAACAAACCCAAAACAAATACGAAACAGGTTGTGAAAGACGTTCGGAAGTACGACCAATCATAGGAGAGTTTCACACGTCACCATGAGTCAGCATGAGTGCCGAGCCTTCAATCACTGTTTGGTTTGTTTTGTTTGCGGTTGGTTTTCGTTTGGTTCTGATGGCTTTTTTGTGCTGCCGAACAGGGCCTGATTGTGGAGGTCACGGTGCACCCAGAGCAGCATACCCACCAGGCATGTCACTACACACGCTGCCCATTACACTCACTTTTACCTTATATGGCACCTGGGACTGAAACGTACATACATGTTTCTCTTTACTTCGCGGCAAGGGCCACGGCGTATTTGGAGAATCCGTTCTTGTGACGTATTTGGAGAATGCGTTAGCAATCGAGAGTGTTTCATACAAGTTACATGCTATATGGTGTCCTTTAGGCTGGGCGATAGAACGTGCAGACAAAACCGTGAGCATATTGATCCCTAGATATCATTGATGCATTTAAATCAAGCATTATTTGGAGCTGGACACCTACCGAGCTATAGAACGTGCACGCATGCATAATATATTGGTGGCGTTTGGTTGAACATACGATACGAACAAGATTGGGTCTGGAAGGAGTAAGGCCGCATCCCTAGCTCGTAACAGCCTGTTATGAACAAGTTTTTGGCCTTCGCATCGCACACCTGGAAATTGGAGTTCCCCAAATCCCCAAAAGTTGAATCGGGTACTGTACGTACCGATTGGGGGTCATGCAGATATGTAGTCGACTGTTCGTACCGTAACAGCCCGAACACATAATGGGCAGTCCATAACTTCTTTGGAGCCACACCATTGGTAACTCCCTGACACCAAGGTTTGTTCCTTTGCCGCAATGCACTCTAGCGTCGTGGTTGTCTCATTTGTTCCTCTCGTTCCTCTCCTCCCTTGTACTCCTCCCTCATGGCCCTCCGTCATCTGCCGGCCATCCCTCTAACCAGGCTGCACCTGTATCCTCCTGGTCTCCTGAGCATTTCCCGGCAGCACCACCACTTCCACCGGCTCCTCCGTACAATGCATCTATTTGAGCCCCCCTCCCTGTCAAACTATATTATTTCTGAGACAACTCACAGGTCATCTTTTGAGACGGTATCAAAAGTCGCTTCCTAACAGCAGCACCACTTCCACCGGCTCCTTCGAATAGAGCTTCCATTCGGGTGCCCCAACCTCGGCTGTCATTATAAGCAGCACGTGCATTTGAGGTGCCTCAGAAGTCGTCTCCTGGCAGCAGCAGCACCACTTCCACATGCTCCTTCGAACCGGGCATCCATTTGGGTGCCCTTCCCTCGGCTGTCGTTATAAGCATCGTTCCATCAAAAGTCCAGCCCCATCCTTCCCTTTCGAGGCGCCTCAAAAGTCCACCAAAAGTCCAACCCCCTCCTTCCCTTCAGCCGGGGCACGCTCAAACATCCGCATTTATGGATATTCAGGAACCGAGGACAGTAATGTACAGACTTCCTTGCTAACTTTACTGCGCAGATGCAGACGAATGGTTTCGAATCCGAAGCTCGTGATCCAAAGCAGGGTCCATCTTGGCAGGCGGTTTACTTGCCTCCGCCACCTCCTGTACAGGCCAATCGACAGCACATGGTTATTATGGGAACACAATCACAGGAAAGACAGATACCAGTCTCTTATGGGAAGCGGGGTTGACCATGGTCCACCCAAGATTTGATGCTGCTCCGACAAGGAGTTGGGGCAATAAGTGGCAAGGGTAATTCACCCAGTCACACAATCACCTGCAGCGAATCATAAAGCCGCACCTCAGGGAGAACCCTCATCCTCGCACACTCACCCCCGCAGGGCCAGGCACCCATTCACTCACCTCAGCGGCCCATCTTGCATCTTCCAAAAGGTTCACATCGCGGCCCAGCCGCGCGAGCTAGAATCCCAACGAAACACCCAACGTCTCTTGCTTCAATCACCATTAGTCATCATAACACCACGCTCTTCCTCTTCCCCTCCTCCCCCTCCCTCCTCCTTCCCACCCAACGCCACTCATCTCAGCGACCCGTCCCGACAGGCATTGCTCAGAATGCCCACATCACAGTCCAGCCGCGGCATGTTGAACCCCAACACCTCTGCACCCACTGACCAATATCCCAGACCCCCCCACAAATAACCTCCACTCACCGCCCAAAGCTTCCTCTTCTCACCTCAGCGGCCTGCATGGCATCATTGAGAATGTCCAAATCATGGTCTAGCTGAGCCAGGTTGACCCTGAATGAACACCCACCATTAACACCTCTTGACCCCCTCACCAAACTCCACGCACCTCAGCGGCCTGCATGGCATCATTGAGAATGTCCAAATCACGGACTAGCCGGGCCAGGTTGAATCCCGACAGCACCACTCACCTCACCAAGTCTACGCACCTCAGCTGTGGTGTCGTGGGCGCCATCAAATTAACAACAACAGATTCGTTTATTTGATGGTGCCCACCAAAACTCCACGCCCCTCAGCAGCCTGCATCGCTTCGTTCAGAATGTCCACGTCATGGTCCAGCCAAGCCAGGTCGAATCCCAATGACCACCAAGTGTCTCTCGTTCCCTCACCAATCAGCAGTAACAATCCCATCTGCCACCCCCACGCACCACAGCAGCCTGCATCGCTTCGTTCAGAATGTCCACATCACGGTCCAGCCGCGCGAGGTTGAACCCAAACGAACACCAATGCTCTGGCACCCCTCACCAACATCCTAGACCCCCCCACTAACAACCTCATCTCACCTCAGCAGCCTGCATGGCTTCATTCAGAATATCCACATCTCGGTCCAGCCGAGCCAGGTTGAATCCCAATGAACCAATACTCGGCCTTCCCCTGTGGTATTGAGGGAAGGGGGGCCCTTCCCTCTCCAGGCATCCTGAACACCACAGGGCCCCCCTAAACCCTCCCTTAACCCCTCCACCCAGCCCCGCTTCCTCTCCTCACCTCAGCAGCCTGCATCGCCTCGTTCAAAATGTCCACGTCTCGGTCCAGCCGAGCCAGGTTGAATCCCGGCAGCCGCCCCGACTGCTTGCTCCCCAGCAGCTCCCCCGGCCCGCGCATCTTGAGGTCCATCTGAGCCAACTCCATGCCGTCCTGATGGGAGGAGGGTTGGGAAAGAGACGCACATAATGGTGATGGCAGAGGGGAATTTGCTGCTTTGAATCACCTCAAATCACTTTTGAGAATTCTCAAAAGTAATTCGCTGCTTTGAAGCACCTGAAGTTCTTTCCCAGCAGCTCCCAGGCATGCGCACACCCACACCCTATTCCCTCCCCTTTTCCCCACTACACACGTACGACGTTTCCAGCAGTTTCAGCTTGTGCCGCGCACGCTTACTGCTGCCCACCAGCAGGCAGCGCGAGGGGCGCTGCCCTCTGCCCACACACACATGCAGGCACAGGCATACGCACACCCACACACCCCCACCCCGCCTCTCCCCCTCTTCCCCCCGTCCCCCGTACACACGTGTGACGTTTCCAGCAGTTTCAGCTTGTGCCGCGCGCCCTTGCTGCTCCCCACCAGCAGGCAGCGCGAGGGGCGCTGGCCTCTGCCCACGCGCCCCCTCAGCTGGTGCAGCTGCGCCAACCCGTACCGCTCCGCATGCTCCACCAGCATCACCGTCGCCTCGGGAATGTCTATCCCCACCTCAATGACGGTCGTACACACGAGCACCTGAGAAGCACATGGGAGGGAAACGTCAGTTTTGTATGTCCACTGGTAGGCCGTAGCGCTCCGCATGCTCCACCAGCATCACCGTCGCCTCGGGAATGTCTATCCCCACTTCTATGACGGTCGTACACACGAGCACCTGCAAACATGGAAGGGAGCACAAGATAGATGAGTGTGTGTATGTATGTCAGGCCGCGCTCTGCATGCTCCACCAGCATCACCGTCGCCTTGGGATTCGGGAATGTCGACTTAACCAATCACTGACGTGTGCAGCAAACGAACAACACCAAACCAAGTGCACCTGTATGGATCCTTCTTGGAAGCTGCGCATGACGCCCTCCTTCTCCTCCAGTTCCATGCGGCCATGCACGAGCCCACAGCGCAGCACTGCTGCCCCCTCTGAACCATCACCATCAGCACCATCATCACCAACATCATCATCATCTTCTTCTTCCTCCTCATCACTGCAGTAGTCTTCGTCGGACTGGGGACCATACATCGCATCCAGCTCGCAGTTATACTGGTCTGTGTCATACCCGTCAGGAGAGTTATCAATCTCACAAAGCTCATATCGGCTGTAATCACTGCTACGCCGCGGCCGCTCTTTTCGGGCAGCAGCACTACTACTGATACTGCCATCCCTCAATGCACGGCCCAGCAGCTCGCCTGGTTCGGTCAGCAGCTGAAATTCTTCCGTGGCTGCCCGCACTTCCGGGAGCTCCTCTGAGGCATCAATGATGGGGAAGACGATGAACGCCCGCCCGCCCGACTGCACCTCCTCGCGAAGAATCTGCGATGGGTTCAGGAGGAGAAGGGGAGAATGTGGGGAAAGTGGAGAACCAGGCGAGTAGGTGCTAGAGCTAGTTTCCTCCGCCCAAAGAGCTCAAAATGACTCAAAGTAGAGTCAACAGAAACAGAAGGATACGTTGGGATGGTTTGGGATAGTGTGGCTGGCATATCTATCCTTGTCTTTGCAGGCAGTTTTGGATATGCCTGCACTTCTTACGATTTCTCAGTAACCAACTGCACCGAAAATTCCATGTTCATCAAAGCATAGAAGGGTTTGGTTAAAGCTGGCTGGTATTCACACAAAGCTATGGCGAATTCCGGTTTGAGATATTCAAAAGATAAACCAGCTTTAGTGCTGCAAAAATTGCTCCATGATTGCATGTGAGAGCAGAGAGAATATAATTGACCTGACTCTAGTCCTTTCCCCGTTCCGCTCTCTTCAACTCACCTTGTAAGCCGCAGCTCTCTCCTTCTCCTCCCCACCCTCCTCCTCCCACTCCCCCTCACTCTCCTCCCCACCGCTGCCGCCCTTCCCGTCCCGGTCATAAAAGACAAGAGTCTCCACCGGCGTGCGCCCGGGCGGCAGCTCAGCAATCCGGGAGATGTCGGTTTGGCCGTGCAGCACGAGGGCGAGGGAGCGCGGGATGGGGGTGGCGGTCATGGTGAGGGTGTGGGGCTCCGAGAGAAGCCGGAGCGCGGAGGGGGATGAGGAGGAGGAGGCGTCAGTTCCAGATTCAGTAGCGTCTTCTGTGTCGCTGCTGTCGATTGCTTCCTGCTGCTGCCGAAGTGCGTCAAGACCCTGCAAGAAACACCGGGTGGGGGGAGAAGGGGCGAGAAGATGGGGATGCGTGAGGCGTGGCAGCAAGCGATGCCTTCTGGGTTCAGCCAGGCCTTCTGTATCACTTCTCTCACTTGCTTCCTGCTGCTGCCGAAGTGCGTCAAGGCCCTGTGAGAATCACAGAAGTGGAGTGGGGGGAAAGGATGGAAAGAGGCAACCTCGGCAATGAGGGGTCTGTCTGTCTGATGAAACATCCAATTTCACCCGGTCCTTCTTGTTCCAGTTGTAGTTTAGGGAATTTCAAAATCCGCCAAGCCAGCATAACCAATCTCACACAGTCACCCACTCCCACCTTCTCGTGCAGCCTGGCGTGTGGATTCATCCTAAAGCGGTGCTACTTGTCCACAATTGCCAGCCCGTGGAGGTGGAAGGCAGCAGAGAGACAAACAGACGCCCACGCACAGCCCCGTCTGATTCTCAGCGCGCTCTCTCTCTCCGCCCACCTTCTCGTGCAGCCTAGCGCGTGGATTCACCCCAAAGCGGTGCTGCTCGTTCACAACACAATGGCCCAGCCCCAGACGGTGGAAGGCAGGCAGATAGGCAGACAACGGACAGATAGAAGGACAGATAGAAGGACAGATAGAAGGACAGAGAGAAACAGACAGACGCCCTAACCAACACCCTCATCCTCTCCCACCTTCTCGTGCAGCCTTGCCCGCTGCTTGACTCCAAAGCGGTGTTGTTCGTCCACAATCGCCAGCCCCAGGCGATGGACGGCCGACAGACAGACAGACATGCAGGGAGACAGACAGACGCACACGCACAGCCCCATCTAATTCTCATCTCAGCCCACTCTCTCTCTCCCACTTTCTCGTGCAGTCTGGCCCGCTGCTTCACCCCAAAGCAATGCTGCTCGTCCACAATGGCCAGCCCCAGGCGATGGAAGGCCGGCAGGCAGACAGAGAGACAGACAGACAGACGCACACGCACAGCCCCCCCATTTAAGTATCAGCCCAACCTCTCCCACCTTCTCGTGCAGCCTCGCCCGCTGCTTCACCCCAAAGCGGTGCTGCTCGTCCACGATCGCCAGCCCCAGGCGGTGGAAGGCGGTGGCTCGCGCGATGAGCGCATGCGTGCCGATGATGATGCTCACCCTGCCCTCCTTGATGTCCTGGAGGAGAAATTAGGTGCAGTGGAGTATGAGCGAGGGGGGAAACAGCAGGGTGAGTGCACAGCACAGAGCAACTGAAGCGAGGGGGGAAATAAAAGGGTGAGTGTAGAAAGCAGTTCAGGCGGTGGAAAGCCGTGTCCCGTGACCTGTGGCCCGTGGTGGCCCGTGGTGGCTCGTGGTGGCCCGTGGTGGCCCGTGGTGGCCCGTGGCCCTGGCCACCCAACAGCTTACGACGCGCGTCTGGAAATTCTAGAAATTGTCTGTCACGAGGACTCACTCATAAGCCACAGTGCCGTGAATCGTTTCACCGTTGCAATCAGCAGGTAAACCATGGAACTTCTTTCTGTTGTAACATCTCACAGTCAACTCACAACACCTTGATTACCTGGTTACCTAATTGGTTCCCTGGTTAGCTGGTTACCTTCCACCACCCACTAATCCCACTCACCAGCCTCAGTGCCTTGGCGCGATTCACACTTCCAGTCAGCAGGCAAACCCTCGGGCGGCGCGCGGGCGGCAGCGCTTGGAGCCACTGTTCAAACCTCGCCACGTGCTGCTGAGCGAGAAACTGCGTGGGAGCCATCACAGCCACCTGATACCCATGCGCCACTGCCTCCATACATGCCAGTAGCGCCACCACCGTTTTCCCACACCCCACATCGCCCTGCAGCACTCAAATCACTCTATTTTTTAGGCGCCTAAAAAATAGCACTCATCCCACTCACCATCCGCAGTGCCTTGGCGCGCTTCACGCTCCCAGTCAGCAGGCAAACCCTCGGGCGGCGCGCGGGCGGCAGCGCTTGGAGCCACTGTTCAAACCTCGCCACGTGCTGCTGAGCGAGAAACTGAGTGGGGGCCATCACAGCCACCTGATACCCATGCGCCACTGCCTCCATGCATGCCAGTAGCGCCACCACCGTTTTCCCACACCCCACATCCCCCTGCAGCAGCCTTGACATCGGCACCGGCCAATTCATATCGGAGATTATTTCCCGGGCAGCCTGCATCTGCTCGGCGGTGAGCGTGTAGGGCAGCGCGGAAAGAATTTCCTGTGTGAGCGGGGACCACTGCTCGGCCGTCAGATCTCTGCGGGTCCACTCGATGGTGCCTCCTCCCCCTCCGGCTGCTGCTGTTGCAGCTGCGGCTGCGGATGCCAGGTGGCCGAGTTTGATTCGCCGGCTCTGCAGCAGGATGCGGAGCTGGTAGAAGAAGAATTCGTCAAAGACAATGCGGCGCCGGGCAAGGGGAACGAGAGCGCGGTCAGACGGGCAGTGGATGGTGGCGAGGGCGCGGGGGAGGGGGAGGAGGTCGTAGCGCGCGCGGAGGGCAGGGGAATGGTATTCCAAGTCAGGAGGTATGAGCTTGATTAGACTGTGATTGAAAGGGGGAGAGGGTGGGAAGTGGGAAAGGCAAGAGGGGGAGGTGGAAAAACAGAAGAACTCGTCAAAGATGAGGCGGTGGCACGGCGCTGCAGCAGCATGCCTTTTGAGGCACCTCAGCAGGATGCGGAGCTGGTAGAAGAAGAATTCGTCGAAGACGATGCGGCGCCGGGCATGGGGAATGAGAGCGCGGTCAGACGGGCAGTGGATGGTGGCGAGGGCGCGGGGGAGGGGGAGGAGGGTGTAGCGCGTGAGGAGGCCGCCCTGCTGGCCGCGCGTCGCGCGTTTATTTTTATTTTTTCTCGTCCTAGAGCCCGGCCCCGCCCGTCGCGTCACCTTAGGGCCTTCGCGCCGCCCACGGGAGCCAGTCGCGCTGCCCTGCTGGCAGCGCGCGACCCCGCCTGGCCCGTCGCGCACCTGTAGAGCCCGCGAGCCGCCCTTCCCTGCCCGCTACGCCGCCCTTTTTGGCAGCACGCGGCTCGGCCCCGCCCTCGCGCACCCCTACGTCGCCGCGCTGCTGACACAGCCGCCCCTGGACCCTTGAGCAGCCGCCCCTGGACCCAGAGCAGCCGCCCATGGCCCCTGAAGCAGCCGCCCCTGGTGCAGCCGCCCCTGGACCCTTGAGCAGCTGCCCCTGGACCCAGAGCAGCCGCCCCTGGCCCCTGAAGCAGCCGCCCCTAGTGCAGCCGCCCCTGGACCCTCGAGCAGCCGCCCCTGGACCCAGAGCAGCCGCCCCTGGCCCCTGAAGCAGCCGCCCCTGGTGCAGCCGCCCCTGGACCCTTGAGCAGCCGCCTCTGGACCCAGAGCAGCCGCCCCTGACCCCTGAAGCAGCCGCCCCTGGTGCAGCCGCCCCTGGACCCTCGAGCAACCGCCCCTGGACCCAGAGCAGCCGCCCCTGGCCCCTGAAGCAGCTGCCCCTGGTGCAGCCGCCCCTGGACCCTCGAGCAGCCGCCCCTGGACCCAGAGCAGCTGCCCCTGGCCCCTGAAGCAGCCGCCCCTGGTGCAGCCGCCCCTGGACTCCGTGCAGCCGCCCCTGGACCCCGCGACGCCGCCCCTGGACTCCGTGCAGCCGCCCCTGGACCCCGCGACGCCGCCCCTGGACCCGCGACGCCGCCCCTGGACCCCGTGCAGCCGCCCCTGGATCCCGAGACGCGCCTGCACTCGGTGCTGCCGCCCCTACCTCACCTCGCGCCTGCCTTCGTGCGCCTACCCTGCCGCCGCCCGCCGAGCGCCGGCCCACCACTGGTGAGCACCTGCCTTGTTCGTGCGCTGCCGCGCCATCTGCCTGTCTGCCTGCCTGCCTGCCTGACTGCCTGCCCGCCTGCCTGCCTGCCGCGCCTGCCTTGCCTGCGCTGCTACTGCTGCTACTGCTACTACTTCTGTTACTGCTGCTAGGCTGCTGCTGCTGCTACCGCTACTGCTACTACTACTGCTACTGGCGGTGGCCAGATGCAGCTCCAACGACGTTCACGCGAGTCTCTCACGCCCCAGCAGCTTAGTGAGTGGTACGCTACTGTAGTTGGGGTTGTGGCGGTCGCCGTCGTAGCTGTCGCCCTGGAGCTGGTCAGTTGGGAGCGTCTGGCAGTGGCCAGCTGCAGCTGCAGTGGCGTCCACGCGAGACACTTACGTCCCAGCAGCTTCACGAGTGGTACGCTCAGAGTAGAGGGTCTTTGAGTACCGTTCGCTGCCCGTACGTCATTCGCACAGGTGATCGGGTCGGTCAGCCTTGCGAGACGCTTGGTCACACACAGTCCCGCTGCTTCGCCCGTCTGAGCGACGCCTGGCGTACCGAGTTTGGCGACGAGGCTGAGCTCCCCTCCTGGCTGGAGCTGCTTGGAGAGAGGGTAGATATCTTTGCTCTTGACTATGATGCTATTCTCACTGCCATGTATGCATTGCCTACTAGTGCTGACCGTGCCTGTTCCCTGTGCGTACCGCCTGACCCAGGTATAGAGCCTGCTGCTCTAGGTGCGAGTGCGTCTCCTGCTCTTGGTACTAGTGAGGCTGCTGCTCCAGGTGCTGGTGAGTCTGCTCTCTCTGGTACTGCGCCTGCTGAGGCCGTGTACACCTTCACACTTGACTCAGGTGCTTCCCGCTCCTTCTTCCGCGACAGCACCACACTCACGCCGCTCCGTCGGCCGGTTGCAGTCTCCCTGGCAGACCCCTCTGGGGGTCCAGTCCTTGCGCACTCCTCCACGGTCCTGCCGTGTCCGGCGGTCCCGTCTGGCTCCCTGTCAGGTCTTCACCTCCCCTCGTTCTCTACAAATTTGGTGAGTGGAGCTGACCTACAGGATGTGTGGGTTGACCAGTTCACCCCTGGAGGTCAGCGTGTGACGCACTGTACGTGTTCCCGGACTGGTCGGCACCTGGCCACGTTCACCCGAGAGCCTGGCTCGAGTCTGTACACACTCACCACTGTGTCCCCTCAGGTAGCTGCGTCTGCGTCTGCGTTTGCGTCAGGTCAGCTAGCGGCCCCCTGCTCGTGTCGCGCTCTGTCGCACCAGACCCTCCTTTGGCACCACCGCCTTGGTCACCCCTCGGTGCAGCGCCTTCGTATCATGCACAGCCGTTTCCTTGTCTCTGGACTTCCAGAGACTCTGCCTCCTCTACCACCCTCGCCCGCTCCTCCCTGTCTTCCCTGTGTCGAGGGGCGGCAGCGCGCCGCTCCTCACTCCTCCTCGTTCCCTCCCACAGAGGCTCCCCTGCAGACTCTCCACCTGGACGTGTGGGGCCCAGCCCGCGTCCGTGGACAGGGCCACGAGCGGTACTTCCTGCTGGTCGTCGACGACTACACGCGTTACACCACGGTCTTCCCCTTGCGCAGCAAGGGGGAGGTCCCTGATGTTTTGATCCCCTGGATCCGCGCTACTCGTCTCCAGCTCCGCGAGCGGTTCCAGTCGGACTTTCCTGTCCTGCGTCTGCACTCTGACAGAGGTGGTGAGTTCTCCTCAGACCTCTTGGCAGCCTACTGTGCGGAGCACGGCATCCGCCAGACGTTCATGCTTCCGGCCTCTCCGCAGCAGAATGGGGTTGCTGAGCGCCGCATTGGCTTAGTCATGGAGGTTGCTCGTACCTCCATGATCCATGCGGCTACCCCCCATTTTCTGTGGCCGTTTGCGGTCCGGTACGCCGCGCATCAGCTCAACCTCTGGCCCCGTGTCTCCTTGCCGGAGACCTCGCCCACACTGCTGTGGACGGGGAAGGTTGGCGATGCGTCGCGTTTCCGGGTATGGGGTGCTCGTGCCTTTGTCCGCGATACCACCGCGGACAAGCTCTCCGCCCGCGCTGTTCCCTGTGTCTTCCTTGGCTTTGTCCCTGACGCGCCTGGTTGGCAGTTTTACCACCCCACCTCGCGTCGTGTCTTCCCCTCTCAGGACGTCACGTTCGACGAGTCGGTTCCCTTCTACCGCCTCTTCCCCTACCGCACTGCCCCTCTCCCCCCCCCGCCGCTCTTCCTCGCTCCAGGTGCTCCCCGGGTAGACCCCCTCCCCGCTCCCGGTCCTGCTCCTTCAGGTGTGTCTCAGGTAGACCCTCTTCCCTTGACTGAGCCGGTTGAGGTCACTGGTGACTCAGGTCCTGCTGAGGGTGGTCCTGCTCGGGTTGCTGCTTCTGGGGGTGCTGAGCCTGGGGGTGCGGAGCCTGGGGGTGCTGAGCCTGGGGGTGCTGAGCCTGGGGGTGCGGAGCCTGGAGGTGCGGAGCCTGGGGGTGCAGAGACTGGAGGTGCTGAGCCTGGGTGTGAGGAGTCTGGGGGTGCTGAGCCTGGGGGCGCTGAGGCGTCAGGTGAGCAGTCTCCCTGGGGCGACCGTCTCCGTAGTCGCTCCGCTAGTGCCTCGCCGCTGCACTCTCGTCGTCGACTCCCTCTCTCCCCACAGCAGCTGCTTGAGTGGTACGCTGGCCGTCAGGGTCGCGCTGCTGGAGCTAGGGGCCCTGCTGCGGGAGGCGCTGGAGCTGGTGACTCTGCCACTGGAGTTGTTTCTGCTGGAGGTTCTGGAGCTGCTGAGGGCGCTGGAGTTGGAGGTTCTGGAGCTGCTGAGGGTGCTGGCGCTGGAGGTTCTGGCGCTGAGGGTTCTGAGTCTGCTGTTGCGCGGCTTCCTTGGAGTAGCCGCCTCCGTCCGCGTGTGCCTCTCACCTCGCAGCAGCTGCACGACTGGTACGGTCGCCGCCAGGGTCGCGCTTCTGGAGCTCGGGGCTCTGCCGCTCGAGGTACGTCTGCTGCCGTCACTGGAGCTGGGAGTGGTGCTGGTCCCGGAGGTGCTCGTACTGGAGGTACTGGAGCTGCTGGGACTGGAGGTGCTGAGCCTGAGGGTGCTGCTGCTGGAGGCACTGAGGCTGGAGACCCTGGGACTGGAGGTGCCGGTTCTGGGGGTGCTGCTGTTGGTGGAGCTGGTACTGGAGGAGCTGGCGCTGAGGGTTCTGGAGCTGCTGGAGGTGCTGGCGCTGGTGGCGCTGGAGCTGGAGGTTCTGGAGCTGCTGAGGGTGCTGGCGCTGGCGGTTCTGTAGCTGCAGGAGGTACTGGCGCTGGTGGCACTGGAGCTGGAGGTTCTGGGGCTGCTGAGGGTGCTGGCGCTGGAGGTTCTGGAGCTGCTGGAGGTGCTGGAGCTGCTGGGGGTACTGGAGCTGCTGGTGCTAGTGTCACTGCACAGCCGCACCTATTCTTCGCTCCACCGTCTCCGTCGTCTCAGCCACCGCCTGACTCTGTGCTTCGCCAGGTTCTTAGTCTCCCTTCGTCTACTGGTCTTCCGTTACAGCCTGGTTCACCGCTGCCTGCTCCTTCTCCTTACACTGAGCAGCTAGGGAGTCTTACTGAGCGTCGTGAGCCTGCGTCGCGTCCTGTCTCGCCTGTCTGTTCTGGTCGTTCCGGTCGTCGTGTTCCTCGTCCGCGTCTGCCGGCTGTCCCCGACACCCACCTCGTAGTCCGTCGTCCTTCCTCTCCTTCAAAGCGTGTTCCTCTGCCGTCCCCTCCTGCGTCTTCTCTGCCTGTCGTTGCGGACCCCGAGTCTGACCGGTTTCGTGCTGAGCACCCTACTGTCACGCGTCTACTAGCCACTGTTGTCACTGACCCGTCGTTTGAGTCTGCTGCTACGTCTGCCTTAGTTGCTGAGCTTGTTGACTTTGCTGCTGCCTGTCGTCTAGACTACGCCGCTAGTCTTGTTGCTGAGTCTGAGTCTGTCTGTCCTCCGTCTGTTGGGGGTGAGTGTGCTCTTGGCACGGACGTCCTTGAGGACAGGCACGAGGACCTTGAGTGTCTTGCAGCCGCTGCGCCTCATCTCGTGTCCATGCTGCTTGCCCCTGAGGGAGACCCGGATGCTCCAGACATCCCGACCCCGCGCTCTTACGCTGAGGCGATCGCGGGTGAGTTCTCCTCTCAGTGGCAGACAGCCATGGATGCAGAGATGGCATCCCGGAAGTCCACAGGCACCTACGTCGACGAGGTTCCCCCACCTGGGGCGAACATCGTCAGTGGCATGTGGATTTTCAGGGTGAAGCGGCCGCCAGGTTCTCCGCCTGCCTTCAAGGCGCGTTACGTTGCACGAGGTTTCAGTCAGCGAGAGGGAGTAGACTTCTTCCAGACCTTCTCCCCCACCCCGAAGATGACCACTCTTCGGGTGCTGCTGCACGTTGCCGCTCAGCGAGACTACGAGCTTCACTCTCTTGACTTCAGCATAGCCTTCTTACAGGGCAGCCTGCACGAGGAGATCTGGCTGCGCCGCCCACCTGGCTTCTCTGAGTCGTTCCCTCCTGGTACCCAGTGGAGCCTCAGGCGGCCGGTCTACGGTCTCTGCCAGGCGCCACGTGAGTGGCACGACACACTGAGGACGACACTTGCGGCTCTTGGGTTTGCTCCGTCGACTGCTGACCCGTCGCTGTTTCTGCGCACCGACACTTCGCTGCCGCCGTTCTACATCCTCGTGTACGTCGACGACTTGGTCTTTGCCACTGCTGACACTGAGGCTCTCGCCCAGGTGAAGTCGGAGCTGCAGAAGAGACACACGTGCACAGACCTGGGTGAGCTGACAAGCTATCTTGGCTTGCGGATCACCCGGGACAGAGCACGCCGCACCATCACACTGACTCAGTCACACATGGTGCAGCAGGTCCTTCAGCGCTTCGGCTTCACCTGGTCCTCGGCACAGGCCACTCCTCTGGGTACAGGTCACTCGCTCTCAGCTCCACCTTCGGACGAGTCCGTAGAGCCGAGTGGTCCTTACCCAGAGCTAGTTGGCTGCCTCATGTACCTGATGACCTGCACTCGTCCTGACCTTGCGTACCCTCTTGGCCTTCTGGCTCGCTACGTGGCTCCTGGTCGGCACCGAAAGGTGCACATGGATGCTGCTAAGAGGGTACTACGCTACTTGTGCAGTACATCGGGCATGGGGCTCGTGCTTGGAGGGCTGAGCCCAGTTGTCCTCACTGGGCACTCAGACGCTTCTTGGGTTGACGACCAGGCTACGCAGCGGTCGTCACAGGGTTACACCTTCAGCCTTGGCTCTGGTTTGGTTTCTTGGCGTTCTACACGCTCGTCTTCAGTTCTCAGCTCCAGTTGTGAGGCTGAGATCTACGCCACAGCCATGGCTGCACAGGAGTTACGCTAGCTCACCTACCTGCTGACCGACTTGGGAGAGAGGCCTCGTTCTCCTCCAGTGCTGTACGTCGACAACAAGGCTGCCATTGCCTTGTGTCAGGAGCACAGACTGGAGCACAGAACGAAGCACATCGCTCTGCGTTACTTCCTGGCTCGAGAGTTGCAGCAGCGGGGTCAGCTTCGTCTTGCTCACGTGGCCACTCGGGCCAACACTGCTGATATATTCACCAAGGCACTTCCGTCAGCGTTTTTGTACTTTGTTGGGCCTTGTGCCTACGTTTCCACACTTGCTGTAGTCTCTGCTTGTACTGTGATATATATATATACCTGCATGCTTGCTCTTGCTAGCTAGAGATCACTGTGCTGTTCTTGTTACATATATATCTCTGCATGTGAACTGGCCTTGTGGCCTTTTGCTTGTGCTCAGACTGCGTGGTGACGTTGTGATCCACCCTGAGCTTGCTTTGCACTTCCTGCCTGGCCTTGTGACCCTTTGTTCTCCCCCACTTTGCCTATGGGGGTGTGTCAAACATATGTTTATATGTTATAGTTTAGGTAGGCTTTAGTGGGGTACTCACTGTGGGGTACAACCCCTTAGGTTCCACTTTTGTACCAAAACCTTCTCGATAGTCATTATCCTACTTTAACACTTCATCCTCGACTTAGTCGACCCCGCTAATCTTTAGCGGATGTAGGCCAAGGGGCCTAACAACACAACACAACACAAGACCATCACTTAATTCTCATCCAAAATATATTTGACGATTTCATCGTATTGCTTGCCAGGATGCATAAGCACGACATCACCACACCTCAAGCACCAGACTTTGCTCTTGAGCTCGTAGAGCTCATGCTAGTTTAATACATGAGCTCGAGTCATATGCTACAACAGGGAGCTTTCACACCTCACCTAGTCATCCATTGGTCAATACAGCAACCAGCAGTATTGCCATGTCCTACAAGTCATACTCATGACACATGAGTCAACATACTCAAGACACCATGGGTTCTGGTTGTTGCTGCTGCTGTTGTTGCTGCTGCCGTGCAGCTTCCACCAAGTCCCTCAGAAGCTTCCCGCTGGTCCAGCTACCGCCCAGGCTTTTCCGACCAATGCCACCATTCCCAGCCCTCATCATTGTCACAAATTCGTTGTAGTCAATCTGCCCATCCTGCTCGAAGAGAGACAGCCAAAGCAGAAAGCCAAGCACAAACGTGGATGTTTATTTGTTGGAACTGTACAGAAGCTTACGGTGTTGGTGCGTACAATGGTAGTGCTTACCGTTTTGGTGTATAGGTGTTTCCAAGTGATATTTGATGCTAGTGCTAAAAAAGTGCTTACAATAGTGCCTAAACAGTTAGAGCTTACTATGCTAGTGCTTCCAATGTCAATGCTACAATACTTACTCTGACAATGATAATGCTTACCTTTAGTGCTCACAGAAACTGTTGCTTCCGATGGAACTGCTACAACATTAGTGCTTACAGTATCGGTGCTTACAACGTTAGTGCTTACAATGTAAGCGCGTATGGTGTATATTCTTATACTGTCGATTCTTACATAGTTGGTGCTTAGAGAATTAGATCATAACTTGTTGGTGCTTATATTGTTAGTGCTTTCAGTATCGGTGCTTACATTGTTAGTGTCGACGTCGCGCATCGTCTCAACAATGCAGTCCTCATCGATGCTGTACTCCCTACAAGCATGCTGCAGCTCGTCCACTGTAATGAATCCCGAGCTGTCCTTGTCAAAGTGCGAAAACGCCGCAAACAGCGTCTCCTCTCGCTCAATCTTGTTCAGATGCATCGTGGCCGCTAGAAACTCTCCATAGTCAATCATCCCGTTGCCGTCAAAGTCAGCCTGTTACGAGCAAAAGGGAGAAATGCGAGAATTGGTTGAATGGAGTCTCCTCTTCAATCTTCTCATGTTCTAACTATCTTGCTTGAATGCATCCTGGAAGTTCTAAACTCTGGACAGTAAATCATGCGGCTGCCGTCAGATTTAGCCTGTCGGGGAAAAAATGCCCATGCCCATGGCTTTGCCCACGCCCCAATCCCACCACACTTGGTTGCGCTGCCCATGCCCCCTTCCCCCCATTCCCAGCAACAGGGACTCACCCGCGTCCATCAGCTCTTGCACCTCGCTGTCTCACCTGTTTCCTCGAATGCACTGCTGCAGCCCCACTGCGCTGCTCTGCACATAATACTTCGCCGGAATCCCCTTTCCTCTTTCCCCTCTGACTCACCGCGTCCATGAGCTCCTGCACCTCGCTGTCCTGCATGTTGGCTCCGATGCGCTGCAGCCCCGCCTTGAGCTCCCCTTCCCCTTTCCCATGCCCCAGTTCCCCCCCCTGCCACTAAGGATGACTCACCGCGTCCATCAGCTCCTGCACCTCGCTGTCCTGCATGTTCACACCCATATGGTTGCGCCCGTCCCATTCCCCACTTCTCCCTCTGCTAATAAGGACTCACCGCGTCCATGAGCTCTTGCACCTCGCTGTCCTGCATGTTGGCTCCGATGCGCTGCAGGCCCGCCTTGAGCTCCTCAAACGTGATGGTGCCGCTCCTGTCCGTGTCCATCATCTCAAACGTCTGCTTCAGCCCCGATATCTCCTCCTCTGACAAGGACTCAGCAATGACCTGAGGAGGGTAGGGCATGTGCATGAGAGAGGGGGGAGGATGAGTGGGGTGGGGGTGCTTGGTGGTGATGGTGCCGCTCCTGTCCGTGTCCATCATCTCAAACGTCTGCTTCAGGCCGGAGATCTCCTCCTCTGATAGCGACTCTGCAATCACCTGTTGGAGTGAGTGGAGGAGTGGGGTTGGGGTTGGGGTTGGGGTTGGGGTTCATGAACTCATAAGTGAATCTGCTCTCACTCTCACTCACATTCACACTCTCACTCACATTCACACTCACACTCACACAGTCACACTCACTACAAGAGCATTTCACTCACCTCACCCTAGCCATTGCAAAGGCCAGTTTCACTGTGAAGCTGTGAAAGGCAATCTCACTCACCTGCGGAGCCATCTTCTTGACTTTGTTCTTTGCAAACAATAGCTTGAGGCAAGACAGGACCCCCCGCCCAGAGGCCGCAACTTAAAGCCCAAGACCCGAATTACAAAAAACGAAGGCAAACTGTGCACAGTTTGCCTCCCGCAGCCCACAGTTTTGCCCCGCGTTGACTTGCGTTGAGCAATTCAGGTCTTGGGCTTTAAAGGCCAGGGAAATCCCTTAGAGCATTGCTCTTCCCACTCACCCGCAGAGCCATTTTTTTTAGTTTGTTCATTGCTGAGAATTGCTTGAGGCGAGATATGACCCCCGCGTCCAGAAGCCGGTCGGGCGCCACTCCGTCCTGTGCCACCCACGGGTGGGCTGAGGGGGAGGGCGGAAGGAGGAGGGAATGGGATGCAAGGTGGAAAAAATAAAGAATTTAGATAGAGAGGTGAGACAAAATGCCTGGTTCCAGAGGCCGGTCAGGCGCCACTCCATCCTGGGCCACCCAGGAGAGGGAAAGGGGGGCGGGGTGAGGGGAACGAGGAAATATAGGGTTTTGAAGGGCGAGACAAGACAACCGCGTTCAGAGGTCTGTTGATTTGGGGAGGAGGATGAGAGATTTGGGGAGTGGAGCAGCAGGGGCGGGGGCGGCGGCAGCAGCAGCAGGTGCATGTGACTCACAGAGCACTTGGTAGGCGATGAACGGCAGGTTTTGAGGCGTCTCAAAACAGAAGCAACAGGAACAAACCACTCACAGAGGACTTGGTAGGCGGTGAGGCAGCGGGCGGGGTCGAGGCAGCACACGCGGAGGGAGCAAGAGGAGCAATATGAGCAGCACTTGACTCACAGAGCACTTGGTAGGCAGTGAGGCAGCAGGCGGGATTGAGGCAGCACACGCGGAGGGAGCAAGAGGAGGAATATGAGGAGCACTTGACTCACAGAGCACTTGGAAGGCGGTGAGGCGACGGGCGGGGTCGAGGCAGCACATGCGGCGGATGAGGTCCTTTGCGTCTGAGGAGATGGCGGGCCACGGCTGTGTGGAGAGGCGAGCAGTGCGCACAGCTACTCCTAGGTGCAAGGCAAGGCACTCACAGAGCACTTGGTAGGCAGTAAGGCGGCGGGCGGGGTCGAGGCAGCACATGCTTTGGATGAGGTGCTTGGCGTCAGAGGAAATGGACGGCCACGGCTGCACGGCGAAATTCATCTGCCCCCTCAACACCGCCTCGAATATTCCCTGCTCCGTGTCTGATGGGGGGGAGGGAGTGACACGGGGGAAAGCACAGGGGGAGAAACAGGGGGACAGGAAGGATGGAGGGTAGGGAGGGGCGCAAGGGGGGAGGAGGCGAGGAGGGAAGGTAAGGAAGAGAGGGAGAGCAAGGGAGCAGGGAAGGCAGGGAGGCAGCACATGGTTTGGATGAGGTCCTTTGCATCGGAGGAGATGGCGGGCCACGGCTGTACGGCGAAGTTCATCTGCCCCCTTAGCACCGCCTCGAATATGCCCTGCTCCGTGTCTGGTGGGGGGTGGGGGGGGGGGGGGGCGGGTGAATGTGGAAGGGCGAGGGGGAAGGGCAAGATGGAAGGGCGAGAGGGAAGGGGGAGGACGAAGAATGGGGGAAAGGAGTGGCGCAGAGGGGGGGGACGGGAAGAGGGAAGAAGGGGGGAGGGGGAGAGAGGGAGTTGGGGAAGAGGTAAGGCAGGAAGGAAGGCAGCACATAATTTGTATGAGGTCCTTTGCGTCGGAGGAGATGGCGGGCCATGGCTGCACGGCGAAGTTCATCTGCCCCCTCAGCACCGCCTCGAATATGCCCTGCTCTGTGTCTGGTGGGTGGGGAAAAGAGGGGCGAGGGAGCAGGCGAGTAGGAAGGGTGAGTGAACAAGAGGGTTCTGAGAGGTCCGGAAGTTTATCTGCCCCCTCAGCACCGCCTCGAATATTCCCTGCTCCGTGTCTGGTGGGGCAGGGAGGGATAGATCGAGGGCGATTGGAAGCAGAAGTGGCGAGAGGGAACAGGAGAACGACAAGGGCGAGTGGAAAGATGGAGTGGAAAGAGCGATTGCGTGAAGAGGGCGAGTGCATAGAGGGTGCTGAGCTGAGAGGTCCAGAAGTGGAAGGGGCGAGAGGGAAGGGGGGGAGGGAAGAACGGGGAAAAGGGAGGGACGCAAAAATGAGATGCACAGGGAAGGGGGGTCAGGGGAGGGTGGGGGGAAGTCATGAAGTTGCTGTGTGTGTGGTATGTATGTGCGATGTCGTGACGGCTTGTGTTGAAATGTGGATGTGAAGGTACCTCTTGTACTTGGTTGGTATTGTTCCCTCTATGTTTGATTTCACATGCCTCGTGACATTCCATGCGCCCTGTCTCACACTCACCAGCCCAGAATGGCGGCACCCCCGACAGCAGGATGTAGAGAATGACGCCCATGCTCCAGATGTCCGCCTCCTTGCTGTAGCGCTGTGGGAGTGAACATGCGTGCCTGCCTGCCTTGCCTCCTTGCATTCACCCCTCTCACCTCTCCAGACGGAAACATTCACCACTCTTACCTGCCCAGAAGGGCGGCACCCCCGAGAGAAGGATGTAGAGAATGACGCCCATGCTCCAGATGTCCGCCTCCTTGCTGTAGCGCTGTGATTGTAAAACATGCATGTCCGCTTCCTTGCATTGACCCTGCTCACCTGCCCAGAAGGGTGGCACCCCTGACAACAGGATGTAGAGAATGACGCCCATGCTCCAGATGTCCGCCTCCTTGCTGTAACAGTGCGATTATTAACATGCCTGCCTGCCCGCCTCCCTGCATTCAAAAGGGAGCATTCACCCCACTTACCGGCCCAAAAGGGAGGAACTCCCGAGAGCAGGATGTAGAGAATGACGCCCATGCTCCAGATGTCCGCCTCCTTGCTGTAGCGGTGTGGGTGGGTGAACATGCCTGTGTGCCTGCCTGCTTGCATTCCCCCCACCCACTCACCAGCCCAGAAGGGTGGCACCCCGGACAAGAGGATGTAGAGAATGACGCCCATGCTCCATATGTCCGCCTCCTTGCTGTAGCGCTGTGGGTGGGCGAACATGCTGTGTGCCTGCCTGCTCGCATTCACCCCACCCACTCACCTGCCCAAAATGGCGGCACCCCCGAGAGAAGGATGTAGAGAATGACGCCCATGCTCCAGATGTCCGCCTCCTTGCTGTAGCGCCGCCTCAACACCTCTGGTGCCACGTAGTAGGGGCTGCCCACCACGTCCGATAGGAACTCGCCTGGTGGTGGGAGCGAGGGAGGCATGGTTGGAGCGGGCATGCACGACGGTATGGTTAGGAAGGAAGAGGGTTTGAGAGGGAACACCTCCGGTGCCACGTAGTAGGGGCTGCCCACCACGTCCGATAGGAACTCGCCTGGTGGTAGGAGGAGGGATGGAGGGACGGATGCGCGGTTGCAGAGGGCATGAGGATATGACCAGTAAAGGGGTTGAAGGGGATACACCTCTGGAGCCACGTAGTAGGGGCTGCCCACCACGTCCAATAGGAACTCGCCTGGTGGTGGGCGGGATGGATGCATACATGGTTGCGCCCAGGGGGTATGATATGATGAGTAGAGGGAGTGAGGAGTTGGAAGTGAGGAAGCAGCAGCCCCCCACATCCGTTAGATTTAGCCTGAGAGTGAATGAGGGAATCCGGGTAGTGAGAACGAGAAGAATGGAAGGGTGGGTGGGCGGAAGAAAGAGTGAATGTGCGTGTGAGGGGAAGGTATGTAAGAAAGAAATGGTTATGGCGGAGGGGAAGAAAGGGAGGATGCATGGAGATTCCACGTGGCACGTCACATCACATTTAGGTTCTGTAGTGTCAACAACAACCTCTGATTCGTTCCCCCAAATCTCCACTCCAAAATCACACAGGCCCACGGCCAAGGACAACACAGCCCCCACCCACCTGGCTTGAAGAAAGTGGAGAGCCCGAAATCGGTGGCCTTGAGGTGAGCATTCTCCAAAATGACTATTCAGTCGACTCAGCAAACAGGCCCACCCCACGGTCAAAGACGCACACCCCCCACCGCCAAAGACACATACCCCCCACCGCCCAAGACACACACACAGCCCATGACCCCAAAAGTACTCAGCCGCCCACCTGGCTTGAAGAAGGTGGAGAGCCCGAAGTCGGTGGCCTTGAGGTCGGCGTTCTCCGTCCTGTCTGCGAGGAGGAAGTTCTCGGGCTTTAAGTCGCGGTGCACCACGCCCAGCGAGTGGCACGTCTCCACTATCCGCGCTATCGTGCGAATCGACGTGGCTGCCTGGCGCTCACTGATGGGGGTGGTGATAGCGTTGTGTGGGGGAAAATGGGGAGAGGAAGAAAAAAGAAGGGGAAGAAAAATGAAAAGGGGAGGGAGGGGAGGGAAGGGGCGGGGGGTGGTGTGGGAGGCGGGGTGGGGTGCACGACGTGCAGCGTGTGGCACGTCTCCACTATCCGCGCTATCGTGCGAATCGATGTAGCTGCCTGGCGCTCGCTGGCGGAGGTGACGTTGTTGACAAGGAAAGAAAAGGGCGGGCGGGCGGGAAAAGGGTTGGAAGCCGGAGGAAACGAGGGGAGGAGGGATATTGGGGGAAGGGTGGAGGGGGGGAAATGGTAGAGTAGAGAGGAGGAGAACGGCCACATAATGCACATATTGATACTTAAATATACTGTGACGCTGCATTACAACTTGACCCGCATACGGTTCCTCCTCCTATCCCTCCCTCGATTCACTCTTGTCTCATTCGTCGTACGTACAGCAACGCACGCACCTGAAATACCCCCTCTTGATGATCCGGTCGAACAGTTCCCCGCCCGAGCACAACTCCATGACGATATGAACCGCGTACGCGTCTTCGTACGCGCCCTTGATACACACGATGTTCTTGTGACCCGCCAGATGATGCATGATCGCCACCTCGCGTTTCACATCTGCCACGTCCTCTGCTGTGATCAGTTTCTTCTTCGCGATCGTCTTGCACGCGTACTCTTTGCCCGTCGTCAGCTCCGTGCATAGATATGTAACGCCGAATTGGCCCTGGCCTAGTTTCACGCCAATTTTGTACAGCGATTCCAGTAATTCTGCCGTGGGATTTGTCGGGAAGAAAGGGGAGACGAATGAAAGAGAGGGAGGAGGGTGAGAGGAGTGCGCGGATGGGAGGTATGCGGCGCGAAGAACGCGCGGGAATGAGAGAGGAATTGTACGGAGCGCGTACGACGGTACGAAAACATTGGAAGGTTCTATACGAAATCGCCACCGTTCGATTGCACCAACAATCGCAGCCGTACAATGCTCTCAACGGGTGCGATGAGAGATTGGATTAGAGGAGTCCGAGTACGTTTCTCCGTAAAGCAGAGGGAGCGTCACCTGTTGGTCGTCCGAGCACGGACGCAGTGAGCACGCGGCCGGGCGAGACGAACTGGTCGAACCACACGCGTCGCGCGGAGAGCGACTTGGGCATGGCGGACGCCATCGCGGCGCACGACGGCGGAGGGCGCGAGCGCCGCCCGGTGACGACGGCGGAATAAGTTAAGCGCGAGCGCCGCCCAGTGACGACGGCGGAGTGGTTAAAGAACGAGCCCGATGATAATGGCGGGAAGTGTGTCACGCGTTTACACGAACACGAGCTTGGGTACAGACCAGCACTCGCTCACTCGCGCGAAGTGAGCGGTAGCAGTCGCGCAAAATGGCAGTGTTAGTACACGCAGCACTTGCGGCGTTACACACGAGTCGTCCAAAGCTACTAAAAGTTGAAACTTGTTGTCTCAACTTGAACGTCGGAACGGCAATATTTGAACCTGAAAGCCGGAACCAGATAATAGGATCGCTCTTTCTCCTTCACTAGCTAAAACTTAGTTAGGTTAGGTTACGGAATGGCAAGAACTGTGTCTCAGGTCATGACTTGTGCAAAGGCGAGACACAAATTCGAGCAACCCTGATAGGACGGTCCGGTTGTGACAGAGAAGACAGAATAAGGAGCAAGATAAGATAATAGACGGTGTCGCGACGGCAAGCAGCTTAGTCGCCAGGTAATAATCCTGGACGGCTGTAGTTGGAGCAGTATGAGCGGAGAAGGGCGGAGCGAGAGGTTCCGGGAAATGCTAATGCTGCCGATGCGTTATGGCTGCTGCAGTGATGCTGGCGAGTGGTAATCGGCAAATATCTGGAGAAGTAAGTCCAAGGAAAGTGTAGGGAAAGGAGGGTAGGACGGGACGGGATGAAGGGATAGCCGGCTTAGGGACCTTCGCCGTTCGCGCTCTGGGATCTTCGCCGTTGGTCTGAAGAGTTTTACGCTGTTTAAAGCCGGCGGCCCAAATTGTTCATGCTTTTAAAAGTTGACCAGAGGGAGTTTTTCTGGTGTGGGCTTTGGCGAGAGTTTCCGATTTCGTCTAGGTTCGTTTTTTTCGCGAGACCCAGCCAACCCTCGGTTTTCCCCCTGGTGAGTGAATCTGTCTTCGTAAGTCCCAAATTGCAAGTGCGTGACTTTCAAAAGCTTGGACACTCAACTTCGTCAAGTTTTAAAAACTTGACCCTCGCGGCCCGCAATTTGGGACGCGGGCTTTAATCCATCAGCGACATTTCTGAAGATTTCGGTTCGGTTCCGTACGGTACATCCATCGCGCCGGTTTCATTGCGCCCAGTGGTTTACAGCGAGGATGTAAACTGAGCAACCAATCCGTGTGCGGGAACTTTGTTCTTACTAAGATCTAAAATGTACAAAAGGGTCTCATTTTAGGGATTATAATTTACATGTCACTAATTTGAGTACATACATATGTACACTCTTAGCATCCATGTATCCATGGTTTTAATCTCTGAACCGGTACTAGAGCAGAACCTAATCTGACGGAAAAAATGCTACTGAACTGCTGCTCCGATCAAGTCCACGGGTGTACCTCCGTGATGCAGACTCAACAAAACGAGCCGAATTGCCCTCACACTCATCCTCATCCTCATCTTCACAACAGTCAGCCACCCCACTTCCATAATGTGATACATGTGGGGCCATACTCATGCTCATGTGCCTGTGAAGGCCCACCTTGGCCATACCCATGCCCATGTTCCTCCCATGCAGGTTCACTCCACCATTCATGGCCATTCCATAACCCCCGAAGGCCACACCAGAGCCCCCCATACTCATTTGCGCAGCTCCCATGTGCCCCCTTCTAGCCACGCCCATGGGAGGACCTCCGGAAGAGTACGGGCGCTGTGGCATGCTGACATAAGCCGGCCCGTGGTTCCACACTGCTGACTCAGCACCATCCCCCCATCCATCTTCCGTACCTACACCCCACGTTCCATCCACGTCAGCATGCGATTCTTCTTGGAACTCGTCCGCGTCATCAGCATGACGAGCCCAATAAGGCGCGTCCACGTCAGCAGACATGTTCAAGCTGCCGCACCGCCTCATACCCATCCTGCTCATGTGTGCATGGCGCATGGGCCCCATCCTTCCAGCACCGCCTCTGCTTCCCATGCCGGCAGCACCACCCATGCCCCCACCACCATTCATCCCATGCCTCTCCACTATGCCCATGCTCCCTCCAGCCGTCACTAGCCGCATCAATCTCCCATCTCCAATACCTCCTCTCCCTCCTCCCCCTCCTCTCCCTCCCCTACCTCCTCTTTCTCCTCTCCCTCCCCTTCCTCCTCGCCCTGCTCCTTCCATTCCACCAGCCATCCCTTCTGCCCGGACTCCCACCATCCCCCCGCTCCTCATCCTCTGTATAAACCGCCTCTCTCCGTCCATCCCCTGTATAAGCTGCCTCTCCCCGTTCATCCCCTGTATAGACTCACCCATCAAGCTCATACTGGTGCTACGAAGTGGGGCTGGCCGCATGTGGGGAAGCAACGGCACGCGAGGAACGTGCTCTAAAGGCATCCCAGCAGTTCTTGCTGCTGCTGCACTTGCTGCTGCTGCACTTGCTGCTGTTGCACTGCTACCTTCACCTGCTGCAGTGCTGTGGGAACGGGTCAGCTGGGAGTGTGAATGCGAGTGCGAGTGTGGGTGTTCATGGGAGCGTGAGCGTTCAACAGCACTGCCACTCCGCCAGTGCACTGACCGCCTCTCCCCCCTCGGAGGCTGCAGTGGCCCGCTGCGTGCCTTCCCATGCACCTGCTGCATTGTCTCCTGCTCCACTTGCCTATGTTCCGCCTGCTGCCCCTGCTGCCCCTGCCCATGCTGCTGCTGACGCCCATCGCACCCGTCAAGATGAGCGCATGTCTGACTGGTAGCATCACCACGCTCGCGCGCGGACTCTGCACCAGTCTCGTTCAACACATCATGCCCCATGCACCTCGCCCCATCACACTCTCCCTCCGCCCCATCACACTCTCCCTCCGCCCCATCACACTCTCCCTCCGCCCCATCACACTCTCCCTCCGCCCCATCACACTCTCCCTCCGCCCCATCACACTCTCCTTCCGCCCCATCACACTCTCCCTCCGCCCCATCACACTCTCCCTCCGCCCCATCACACTCTCCCTCCGCCCCATCACACTCTCCCTCCGCCCCATCACACTCTCCCTCCGCCCCATCACACTCTCCCTCCGCCCCATCACACTCTCCCTCCGCCCCATCACACTCTCCCTCCGCCCCATCACACTCTCCCTCCGCCCCATCACACTCTCCCTCCGCCCCATCACACTCTCCCTCCGCCCCATCACACTCTCCCTCCGCCCCATCACACTCTCCCTCCGCCCCATCACACTCTCCCTCCGCCCCATCACACTCTCCCTCCGCCCCATCACACTCTCCCTCCGCCCCATCACACTCTCCCTCCGCCCCATCACACTCTCCCTCCGCCCCATCACACTCTCCCTCCGCCCCATCACACTCTCCCTCCGCCCCATCACACTCTCCCTCCGCCCCATCACACTCTCCCTCCGCCCCATCACACTCTCCCTCCGCCCCATCACACTCTCCCTCCGCCCCATCACACTCTCCCTCCGCCCCATCACACTCTCCCTCCGCCCCATCACACTCTCCCTCCGCCCCATCACACTCTCCCTCCGCCCCATCACACTCTCCCTCCGCCCCATCACACTCTCCTTCCGCCCCATCACACTCTCCTTCCGCCCCATCACACTCTCCTTCCGCCCCATCACACTCTCCTTCCGCCCCATCACACTCTCCTTCCGCCCCATCACACTCTCCTTCCGCCCCATCACACTCTCCTTCCGCCCCATCACACTCTCCTTCCGCCCCATCACACTCTCCTTCCGCCCCATCACACTCTCCTTCCGCCCCATCACACTCTCCCTCCGCCCCATCACACTCTCCCTCCGCCCCATCACACTCTCCCTCCGCCCCATCACACTCTCCTTCCGCCCCATCACACTCTCCCTCCGCCCCATCACACTCTCCTTCCGCCCCATCACACTCTCCTTCCGCCCCATCACACTCTCCTTCCGCCCCATCACACTCTCCTTCCGCCCCATCACACTCTCCTTCCGCCCCATCACACTCTCCTTCCGCCCCATCACACTCTCCTTCCGCCCCATCACACTCTCCTTCCGCCCCATCACACTCTCCTTCCGCCCCATCACACTCTCCTTCCGCCCCATCACACTCTCCTTCCGCCCCATCACACTCTCCCTCCGCCCCATCACACTCTCCCTCCGCCCCATCACACTCTCCCTCCGCCCCATCACACTCTCCTTCCGCCCCATCACACTCTCCCTCCGCCCCATCACACTCTCCTTCCGCCCCATCACACTCTCCTTCCGCCCCATCACACTCTCCTTCCGCCCCATCACACTCTCCTTCCGCCCCATCACACTCTCCTTCCGCCCCATCACACTCTCCTTCCGCCCCATCACACTCTCCTTCCGCCCCATCACACTCTCCTTCCGCCCCATCACACTCTCCTTCCGCCCCATCACACTCTCCTTCCGCCCCATCACACTCTCCCTCCGCCCCATCACACTCTCCTTCCGCCCCATCACACTCTCCTTCCGCCCCATCACACTCTCGTTCCGCCCCATCACACTCTCCCTCCGCCCCATCACACTCTCCCTCCGCCCCATCACACTCTCCCTCCGCCCCATCACACTCTCCTTCCGCCCCATCACACTCTCCCTCCGCCCCATCACACTCTCCTTCCGCCCCATCACACTCTCCTTCCGCCCCATCACACTCTCCTTCCGCCCCATCACACTCTCCTTCCGCCCCATCACACTCTCCTTCCGCCCCATCACACTCTCCTTCCGCCCCATCACACTCTCCTTCCGCCCCATCACACTCTCCTTCCGCCCCATCACACTCTCCTTCCGCCCCATCACACTCTCCCTCCGCCCCATCACACTCTCCTTCCGCCCCATCACACTCTCCTTCCGCCCCATCACACTCTCCTTCCGCCCCATCACACTCTCCCTCCGCCCCATCACACTCTCCCTCCGCCCCATCACACTCTCCCTCCGCCCCATCACACTCTCCTTCCGCCCCATCACACTCTCCCTCCGCCCCATCACACTCTCCTTCCGCCCCATCACACTCTCCTTCCGCCCCATCACACTCTCCTTCCGCCCCATCACACTCTCCTTCCGCCCCATCACACTCTCCTTCCGCCCCATCACACTCTCCTTCCGCCCCATCACACTCTCCTTCCGCCCCATCACACTCTCCTTCCGCCCCATCACACTCTCCTTCCGCCCCATCACACTCTCCTTCCGCCCCATCACACTCTCCTTCCGCCCCATCACACTCTCCTTCCGCCCCATCACACTCTCCTTCCGCCCCATCACACTCTCCTTCCGCCCCATCATACTCTCCTTCCGCCCCATCACACTCTCCCTCCGCCCCATCACACTCTCCCTCCGCCCCATCACACTCTCCCTCCGCCCCATCACACTCTCCTTCCGCCCCATCACACTCTCCCTCCGCCCCATCACACTCTCCTTCCGCCCCATCACACTCTCCTTCCGCCCCATCACACTCTCCTTCCGCCCCATCACACTCTCCTTCCGCCCCATCACACTCTCCTTCCGCCCCATCACACTCTCCTTCCGCCCCATCACACTCTCCTTCCGCCCCATCACACTCTCCTTCCGCCCCATCACACTCTCCCTCCGCCCCATCACACTCTCCCTCCGCCCCATCACACTCTCCTTCCGCCCCATCACACTCTCCTTCCGCCCCATCACACTCTCCTTCCGCCCCATCACACTCTCCCTCCGCCCCATCACACTCTCCCTCCGCCCCATCACACTCTCCCTCCGCCCCATCACACTCTCCTTCCGCCCCATCACACTCTCCCTTCCGCCCCATCACACTCTCCCTCCGCCCCATCACACTCTCCCTCCGCCCCATCACACTCTCCCTCCGCCCGATCACACTCTCCCTCCGCCCCATCACACTCTCCCTCCGCCCCATCACACTCTCCCTCCGCCCCATCACACTCTCCCTCCGCCCCATCACACTCTCCTTCCGCCCCATCACACTCTCCTTCCGCCCCATCACACTCTCCTTCCGCCCCATCACACTCTCCTTCCGCCCCATCACACTCTCCTTCCGCCCCATCACACTCTCCTTCCGCCCCATCACACTCTCCTTCCGCCCCATCACACTCTCCTTCCGCCCCATCACACTCTCCTTCCGCCCCATCACACTCTCCCTTCCGCCCCATCACACTCTCCCTCCGCCCCATCACACTCTCCCTCCGCCCCATCACACTCTCCCTCCGCCCCATCACACTCTCCTTCCGCCCCATCACACTCTCCCTCCGCCCCATCACACTCTCCTTCCGCCCCATCACACTCTCCTTCCGCCCCATCACACTCTCCTTCCGCCCCATCACACTCTCCTTCCGCCCCATCACACTCTCCTTCCGCCCCATCACACTCTCCTTCCGCCCCATCACACTCTCCTTCCGCCCCATCACACTCTCCTTCCGCCCCATCACACTCTCCTTCCGCCCCATCACACTCTCCTTCCGCCCCATCACACTCTCCTTCCGCCCCATCACACTCTCCTTCCGCCCCATCACACTCTCCCTCCGCCCCATCACACTCTCCCTCCGCCCCATCACACTCTCCCTCCGCCCCATCACACTCTCCTTCCGCCCCATCACACTCTCCCTCCGCCCCATCACACTCTCCTTCCGCCCCATCACACTCTCCTTCCGCCCCATCACACTCTCCTTCCGCCCCATCACACTCTCCTTCCGCCCCATCACACTCTCCTTCCGCCCCATCACACTCTCCTTCCGCCCCATCACACTCTCCTTCCGCCCCATCACACTCTCCTTCCGCCCCATCACACTCTCCTTCCGCCCCATCACACTCTCCCTCCGCCCCATCACACTCTCCTTCCGCCCCATCACACTCTCCTTCCGCCCCATCACACTCTCGTTCCGCCCCATCACACTCTCCCTCCGCCCCATCACACTCTCCCTCCGCCCCATCACACTCTCCCTCCGCCCCATCACACTCTCCTTCCGCCCCATCACACTCTCCCTCCGCCCCATCACACTCTCCTTCCGCCCCATCACACTCTCCTTCCGCCCCATCACACTCTCCTTCCGCCCCATCACACTCTCCTTCCGCCCCATCACACTCTCCTTCCGCCCCATCACACTCTCCTTCCGCCCCATCACACTCTCCTTCCGCCCCATCACACTCTCCTTCCGCCCCATCACACTCTCCTTCCGCCCCATCACACTCTCCCTCCGCCCCATCACACTCTCCTTCCGCCCCATCACACTCTCCTTCCGCCCCATCACACTCTCCTTCCGCCCCATCACACTCTCCCTCCGCCCCATCACACTCTCCCTCCGCCCCATCACACTCTCCCTCCGCCCCATCACACTCTCCTCCGCCCCATCACACTCTCCCTCCGCCCCATCACACTCTCCTTCCGCCCCATCACACTCTCCTTCCGCCCCATCACACTCTCCTTCCGCCCCATCACACTCTCCTTCCGCCCCATCACACTCTCCTTCCGCCCCATCACACTCTCCTTCCGCCCCATCACACTCTCCTTCCGCCCCATCACACTCTCCTTCCGCCCCATCACACTCTCCTTCCGCCCCATCACACTCTCCTTCCGCCCCATCACACTCTCCTTCCGCCCCATCACACTCTCCTTCCGCCCCATCACACTCTCCTTCCGCCCCATCACACTCTCCTTCCGCCCCATCATACTCTCCTTCCGCCCCATCACACTCTCCCTCCGCCCCATCACACTCTCCCTCCGCCCCATCACACTCTCCCTCCGCCCCATCACACTCTCCTTCCGCCCCATCACACTCTCCCTCCGCCCCATCACACTCTCCTTCCGCCCCATCACACTCTCCTTCCGCCCCATCACACTCTCCTTCCGCCCCATCACACTCTCCTTCCGCCCCATCACACTCTCCTTCCGCCCCATCACACTCTCCTTCCGCCCCATCACACTCTCCTTCCGCCCCATCACACTCTCCTTCCGCCCCATCACACTCTCCCTCCGCCCCATCACACTCTCCCTCCGCCCCATCACACTCTCCTTCCGCCCCATCACACTCTCCTTCCGCCCCATCACACTCTCCTTCCGCCCCATCACACTCTCCCTCCGCCCCATCACACTCTCCCTCCGCCCCATCACACTCTCCCTCCGCCCCATCACACTCTCCTTCCGCCCCATCACACTCTCCCTCCGCCCCATCACACTCTCCTTCCGCCCCATCACACTCTCCTTCCGCCCCATCACACTCTCCTTCCGCCCCATCACACTCTCCTTCCGCCCCATCACACTCTCCTTCCGCCCCATCACACTCTCCTTCCGCCCCATCACACTCTCCTTCCGCCCCATCACACTCTCCTTCCGCCCCATCACACTCTCCCTCCGCCCCATCACACTCTCCTTCCGCCCCATCACACTCTCCTTCCGCCCCATCACACTCTCCTTCCGCCCCATCACACTCTCCCTCCGCCCCATCACACTCTCCCTCCGCCCCATCACACTCTCCCTCCGCCCCATCACACTCTCCCTTCCGCCCCATCACACTCTCCCTCCGCCCCATCACACTCTCCTTCCGCCCCATCACACTCTCCTTCCGCCCCATCACACTCTCCTTCCGCCCCATCACACTCTCCTTCCGCCCCATCACACTCTCCTTCCGCCCCATCACACTCTCCTTCCGCCCCATCACACTCTCCTTCCGCCCCATCACACTCTCCTTCCGCCCCATCACACTCTCCTTCCGCCCCATCACACTCTCCTTCCGCCCCATCACACTCTCCTTCCGCCCCATCACACTCTCCCTCCGCCCCATCACACTCTCCCTCCGCCCCATCACACTCTCCCTCCGCCCCATCACACTCTCCTTCCGCCCCATCACACTCTCCCTCCGCCCCATCACACTCTCCTTCCGCCCCATCACACTCTCCTTCCGCCCCATCACACTCTCCTTCCGCCCCATCACACTCTCCTTCCGCCCCATCACACTCTCCTTCCGCCCCATCACACTCTCCTTCCGCCCCATCACACTCTCCTTCCGCCCCATCACACTCTCCTTCCGCCCCATCACACTCTCCTTCCGCCCCATCACACTCTCCCTCCGCCCCATCACACTCTCCTTCCGCCCCATCACACTCTCCTTCCGCCCCATCACACTCTCCTTCCGCCCCATCACACTCTCCCTCCGCCCCATCACACTCTCCCTCCGCCCCATCACACTCTCCCTCCGCCCCATCACACTCTCCCTCCGCCCCATCACACTCTCCTTCCGCCCCATCACACTCTCCTTCCGCCCCATCACACTCTCCTTCCGCCCCATCACACTCTCCTTCCGCCCCATCACACTCTCCTTCCGCCCCATCACACTCTCCTTCCGCCCCATCACACTCTCCTTCCGCCCCATCACACTCTCCTTCCGCCCCATCACACTCTCCCTCCGCCCCATCACACTCTCCCTCCGCCCCACCACATGCCCTGCCAGTCACGTTCTCTACTACTGCTTCTGCCACACTCCACCTGCGCCGATGCTGCACGCGACGCTGCTGAGCCGAACCTGAACCCGAACCTGAAGTTGAACCTAATAACGAGCCTGAGTCAGGAACCGAGGCATGCCCAGAAAGGGAGGCTGATTTCGGCACAGCAGGGAAAAATCTCTCCACCGCTTTATACCGCACATCAGCCCACGTCACCGCCTTGGGCACTTCACTTGCAGTCCGCCTACTAGCACCCCCTCTCCTCCCCTCCCTTCTACTCATTCCACCCTCTTCACCCCGCAACACCCTCTCCTCATCAATAGTAATACCACCCATGTCACCCGTACCCCTCCCTTCCTTTGCTCCCCACAGCTCCTCATAGCGTAATAAAACACCTGAGCCTGCGACAGCTTCCCTGGCTTCCTCTGCGCTTTTGCAACTACTGCTGCGGCCGATACCACTGCTGCTGGTGCCGCTACTGCTGCTGCGGCCGGCACCACTGCTGCTGGTGCCACTGCTGCTGCGGCCGATACCGCTGCTGCTGGTGCCACAACTGCTGCTGCTGCTGCCTTTCCGAGTGGCGGGCCAGCACAGCCCTCTGCCCCCTGGCACAGGCGTCTGTGGGGTCAATGGCGCTGATCCTTCTGCGAAGCTTCCTCCTGATGCTGGCTCAACTGCAGCTGAGTCGTCTGCTGATGCTGCACTCTGTCTCCTCTTTGCCACCTGTCGTGGGCCTACGGTGCTGTGCTCTTGTCCTCCTTCCCCCCTTGCACCCCCATCATCCCCATCACCTGCATCACCCCATTCACCCCCCCCGCTCCCTGCCTGGGAACCAGTGCTACTCTTGAGGCCTGTTATCGTTTCAACACTCAGCTTTCGCCGCCACACTTGCTGCTGCTGCTGCAGGCGGTGAGAATTGCGGTCAGAGAAACTAGAGGAAGGCGGGAAGGCTGCTGCTGCAGCTGCTGTTGCTGACGCTGCCGCAGCAGTCACAGCAGCAGCAGCGGACGAGCTCAGCAGAGGACCGCTTTTCCATCGTTCCCCTTTCCGCCGCCTGCTACCCTTCCGCCTACCATCGCTCCCCCCCACGTCCCCCCCTTGCGTCTGCCGTTGCCCCCCCTCATTTACCATTTCCTCCACATTCCTCCCTCCCCCCTGCTCCTGTTCCTCCTCCCCTTCTTCCTCTTCCTCTCCGCTACTCCCCCAAGTGTCAGCCACCAATTGGCTCCCGAAAACCGGCATCGCCCCTACTGTGCGTCTGCGCGTTAAAGTGGCATCTCTAAATGCGTTCCCGGACAGATTTCTTGTCACGACACCTGCAGCAGCATTTGCGGCAGTCCCTACAGGAGTACCCGCGGCGGTCCCTGCAGCAGAATCCGCGGTAGTGGCGCTGATATTTTCCGCGCGTTCGCTGAAGGAACCCCAGCCAGGCGCGTACGTTTCCGCGAAAATGCGAGTAGCGGGGGCAGAGGTTCGCAAAGGGGGAGCGGAGGACTTGCGGAGCAGCGTTCCCTGCGCGCCCGCCGTAGCGGGAAGCGCGCGGCTTTCCGCTCCTGGCGGCGTTGCGGGATGTGCGGAGGCTGCAGGGCGGGGGGCGGAGGAGTGGTGAAGGAATCGGCGGGCGGAAGGAGCGGAAGCGATTTGGAAGTTAGGGCCAGATAACGACTTCGGAAAGAGGCTCTTAGTGCTACGGGTGTGCATTGGTTCTCCTTGAAGTGAAGCGGACATTGGGAAAGCCTGTGTAACAGAACGCGCGCGAACACAGTACATGTCGCCTTCCCCCTCCTCTTCCCACTCTTCCGCCTCCTCTTCCCACTGTTCCCCCTCTTCCCCCTCTTCCCCCTCTCCTTCCCCATCTTTTTCCCCCTCTCCCCCCTCCACTTCCCCCTCTTCCGCCTCTTCACCCCCCCCCTCTCGCTCCTTGTCCTCCTCCCGTTCCCCCTCCTCATCTACCAAATACCACTCGCATGGCTCGCTGCCCCGTCTGAACAATCCTCGACGCTGCAAACCAAGCGCGTCTGCTTCGTAACGATAAGATGCCCCCCTTGCCGGCCCTCCTTGATACAAATCGAAACCCCCCCGTCTTCCCGGCTCTTCTTCATACGAATCAAATCCCTCCCGAATTTCCGGCTCTCCATTGTACGGACCAAATTCCCCCTGCCTTCCCGGCCCTATCTCCTGGCGATAACATTCGCCCCAACCTTCGTTCTCGTCACATTCGCCTTTTACTCGCGAAAAGGCCGCCATTCGCGAACCGTCTGGAATGCACACCGCTCCGCTGGTCGTGATCCCCTCACATGCACCGCCTAGGAACGCTTCGTCTGAATAAGTTCCGACATTGAAGGATTTGGTAGCGGAATCGTCGTACTCGTCCTCGGTTGAATACGAGATCAACTCAGCGTTATCATCGGCCGACCAACGGTCAACTAGCGCCATGCGGTGACGATCCAACGGCTACGATCGTCTAGCTTGCTTGAAGGAACGGTTCGTTGAAAAATATCTGCGATAGCTGAGTGAGAATTATACACATGCCCTAGTCTTTGTCGAATGAACAAGAGATATTCAGACGAGCACCTGCCTTATCGCTCTTGGCTACGATTTTCGTGATGCTCCTGTAACTCGACACGGCAACGTGGTGCTAGGCCATGCCACACCATGGCAGTTGTTTTCGCAAAACGGCATTATCAGGACCTCCAGCTGAAGCTGGCAGCAGCTCACGCCAGCCACGCGATGAGCTGTTGAGGGAAGAAGAGACAACGAACGAGCAGCCATTCTCCTCCTTTCTCTGTGTTGACCCGACCACCATTCACGGTGGATGGAGGAGAGTTTTTGTTGTGTTTGCACACCCCACCCTAGGGAGTTGTTTTGGACTTTCCCCAGCGTGGGAAATGTTTAAAGATCGCTGCGCACCTTGGGGCTGGTTGGATGTGTTTGCTGCTTGGTCTGAGTTCACATTGGGATATGCTTGATTTTGCGAATCAAACAATTAACTGTTTAACTGTTTAAACACCCCCGGTAAACTCAATAGTACTGACACACTGGGAAAACTCAAAACTGCCTGGAAGAGCGCGGGAATATGCTTCTGGCGGAGATTGCTGTCAGATGCTTCCGTTTTGGGGGAGGCAAGAGCGTGGAGGGTTGACATTTGCGAATGAGAATGGTGTGCTGCGATCTCCGAGACGATAAGTTGTTGTAGTTGCAGCAGATAAATGTGGCTGACATCAGGGATGGCAATGCTGCCTGCAAGAACCGTACTCTACCTGTTATGAGTTGTAAAAGAGAGTGCGCAGGTAAACGAATAACGAGACTGTGATACAATGAAGGCACAGACTAATGTAGGGACTAGCCTAGCTAGGAGGGAACCTCGGACGAGCGAGGTTGGGTGCAGGTTTGGCAATTGGGGAATGCCGAAGGCGACGCGAGGAGCTTCGGCAGCGTTGAAATCGGCCGAACGTGCTAAGTCCGAAAATCGGGCTGTACGCGAAGCAGTCAACCCCGATGAGGAATTCGGGAAAATTCCTTACACTACCCACCATTACTGTATAATAATGTTATTTTTACCGAACTACAAGCAAACAAGCAAACCACGGACATCTAACAGTATCCTGATCAAGCTAAAAATGTTCCATTATATTTTCTAGGTTAGCTGTACATAACATTGTAAACCTGCATCCCAACAACCAGAGAAGCCAACCACACAATAATGGGCACCTGCAAAAGAAGTCAAACATGGTCATTGAAGCACCTTATGCATAAAAACCCTATAAACAAATATGGCTGCTTCCTTTTCCAGTTTTCATACCTTGCCAGTGACAGCGCTAACAAGCGCAGGTGCTGGGCAAAATCCAGCAAGCCCCCACCCTGAAAGAAGAAGAAGAAGAAGAATAAGAAAAAAACAAACGGTTCAAACGGGAGTTTAAATCAAAGAAAGCACCCGTGAGCAAACAAACAGCAGGAAGGAAACATAGCATGTCTTGGATAAAAATGGCATTCTAGCCAAGATCGCTCACGTACCAAGTCCAAAGATTGCCGACCCAAGGACCAGCTCCTTAGTGATGTCTTTTCGAGTGGGGAGCGCGAAAGACGGGGCCAGTAGCGGATGCCGTTGCTTGAGAATGAAGTGGAATGTGACTATATTGAAGAGCACGGCTCCCCCCATCACGAACGCCAGGCTGGGGTCCCACCCATGGATGGGGTCCAAAAAGGCCTTCACCTTGGCTGGGTTGAGCCTGATGGGGAGGGGGGCATTGAGGATAAGAAGATACGAAAGAAAAAGGTGTCAATAGTGAGTGGATGGAAGTGCCTGGGTCCCACCCATGGATGTTATCCAAAAAGGCCTTCACCTTGGCCGGGTTGAGCCTGATGGGAAGAGGAACGGGGGGGGGGGGGGGGGGGGGTCAACGGTAAGAAGGTACGGAAGTGCTGAGAACAAGGTGGAACGTGACTATATTGAAGAGCCCCGCTCCACCCATCACGAACGCTAGGCTGGAGTCCCACCCATGGATAGGGTCCAGAAAGGCCTTCACCTTGGCGGGTTTGAGCCTGATGGGGAGGGGCATCCAAGGGAGAGGGGTTGAAAGGGGGAGAATGCCACTATTGTCTGGTCATGCAGGAAAAGTGCTCACATGCCGCTGAAGGTGATTTTGAGAATACTAAAAAATACCCCGCTCACATGCCGCTCAAGGTGAGGCCGAGACCCGAGAGCAAAGAGCGCTTGTGACCGAGAGGAGAGGAGAGCAGCAGCACTGGTGGAACTGGATGATTGGCTTCTCATCCAAGAAAGAAACACCTTTGAGAATTCTCAAAAGTGATCCACAGACACTAGATGATTGCCTAGTCATGCAATAAGAGAGTCATGATTGGCATGTGAAGAGTGCTCACATGCCGCTGATGGTGCTCACATGCCGCTGAAGGTGCTCACATGCCGGTGAAGGTGCTCACATGCCGCTGAAGGTGCTCACATGCCGCTGAAGGTGCTCACATGCCGCTGAAGGTGCTCACATGCCACTGAAGGTGCTCACATGCCACTGATGTTGCTCACATGCCACTGATGTTGCTCACATGCCACTGATGTTGCTCACATGCCACTGATGGTGCTCACATGCCACTGATGTTGCTCACATGCCACTGATGGTGCTCACATGCCGCTGAAGTTGCTCACATGCCACTGAAGGTGCTCACATGCCGCTGAAGTTGCTCACATGCCACTGAAGGTGAGGCCAAGCGCAAAGACTGCTCCTGAGAGCACGGAGGAGAGAAGCAGAATGGGCGGCATTGCCCCTGGCGCTGCTGCCTTGGGTGGCTGGAGGGCAGGAGCGGACACATAGGAGAAAAGGGACAAAGGTAGCTTTGAGTTGACTAAAGGCAGAACCACGGGAGACATCCCCCATGACGCTGCTGCCTAGATGGATGGTAAGACTTTTGAGAATTCTCACAACTGTTGGCTCTGTAGATGGTAAGCGAGAGCAGAAAAGGAGGACATAAGAAGACGACGGAAACGATAGAAAAATGGGAAATTTCACAGCATTTGCTGCACGAAAATGGTGGGATGTGGAGGGAATGCAAGAGGCACGCAAGATACAGCCCTCACAGGCTTGAGTGCCTGACCTGGTCCTTTGCGACTGAAGGTGGGATGGGCAGCAAGGCAGGGTTTCGGACGAGGTTTGAGGCAACTCAAGAAGCAAGGGGACACAGCAAGTTACAGCCTGCCAACCAGAGTTGCACAAGCGCCCTACCTCGTCCTTTGCGACTGAAGGTGGGGCGGGCGGCGAAACGATGCTTCTGACGAGCAGCAGCAGCAGCGAGGCCGCACTCACTGGGGTGTGGTGGGGAAAGGGAGGGAGGAAGGGGAGCAAGAGAGGGGAGTGAGAGGTGGGAGGAGGGGAGGAAATATAGTGATCCCTTTTGGGATTAGCGCATCTCGTGACAAGCAGCAGCAGAAGAGAGAGGGGTGGGGGATAAGTGTGTACTCGAGTGCATTGACACTATTTGAATCAGGACGTTACAGCAAAACTAGCAAGTGCTATGGTGTTCCGAAGCACTTGTTGCGTGCAAAAGAACCTAGGCGAGACAGCAGCACCTGAGAGAGGAAGCACCTGAGAGAGAAAGCACCTGAGAGAGAAAGCACCTGAGAGAGAAAGCACCTGAGAGAGCAGCACCAGAGAGAGCAGCACCTGAAAGGGCAACACCTGAGAGCGTGATTTTTTAGTCTACTCAAAAGCCGGCACCTGAGAGAGCAGCACCTGAAAGAGCAACACCTGAAAGAGCAACACCTGAAAGAGAAACACCTGAAGGGCAACAACTGAGAGCGATTACTGAGTCTACTCAAAAGAAAGCACCTGAGAGAGCAGCCATCCAGGCGTTAGCAGGCGGGGCAACGGATGCGGCAGAGGCGACAGGTGGCAGCAGCGCATTGGAGAGCATGGAGGCGATGGCGCCTGTGGTCATGAAGGTGCAGACCGCCACGAGGCTGCGGATGGAGAGGCGCGGCAAGCCACACACTCCGTGGCCCGACGTGCACCCGCTGCCGAGCTGGAGAAGGGCGGAGCAGGAGGGAACAGGTGGGAAAGAGAGAGCATGGATGCAACGGCGCCTGTGGTCATGAAGGTGCAGACAGCCACGAGACTGCGGATGGAGAGGCGCGGCAAGCCACACACTCCGTGGCCCGACGTGCACCCGCTGCCGAGCTGGAGAGGAAATGAGGGGACGAGGGAAAGGGGAGGAGCAGTTGGGAGAGAGTGAGACGAGGAGAGGGACGGTCATGAAGGTGCAGACCGCCACGAGGCTGCGGATGGAGAGGCGCGGCAAGCCACACACCCCGTGGCCGGACGTGCACCCGCTGCCAAGCTGCAAAGAAAGTGAGAAGGGGTGAGCAGTGAGGAGAAGGCGGGAGCAGAGAGGAGACGGGGAGCAGTGAGGAAAGAGCGAGCGATGAGGGCAGGGGCGGTCATGAAGGTGCAGACAGCAACAAGGCTGCGGAGGGAGAGGCGAGGCAAGACACACACACACCGTGACGTGCACCCGCTGCCGAGCTGCCAAACGGGGGAAGGGAGGAGAGGGGAGGGGAGGGGGGGTTGGGGAGGGAGGGAAGGAGAAGGGAGGGGAGGGGAGGGGAGGGGAGGGGAGGGGAGGGGAGGGGAGGGGAGGGGAGGGGGAGGGGAGGGGAGGGGAGGGGATGGGGAGGGGAGAAGAGGGGAGGGGATGGGGAGGGGGTGGGGGGTTGGAAAGGGGAACGGAAGCCGACCAGCACGGTTGCTTTGAAATTTCTCAAGTCCATTGCGGTTTGTAGCTTTGAGTATTCCAAATGAACAACAGCAACAAGCACGAGGCAGCCACACAAGCCACCATGGCCTGAAAAGCACCCACGCACCCACCCGCCCACCCACCCCCCAGCTCACGCACTCCCCCACCCACCTACCCACCCACCCGCCCACCCGCCCACCCACCCAACCACCCAACCACCCACCCACTCGCCCACGCGAAACTGATTTATTATGACGTCGTCGAGCGAAAAGGGCACCCACCTGAGAGCCGAATCCCGCGAGTACACCGGCGACTGCGGGGAGAATGACGGATGCGATGGGGTCTTGCGCGGGCGAGGGGAAGGTGGGCGCGCCGAACGCGGAGGGCAGCGCGGAGTGCGCTGCGCATCCGACGGCCAGCATGGACGCGAGGAACGCGACGCGGAATGGCCAATCAGAAGCGCCGGAAATAGCGCCTGGAGGGAGGGGGAAAGAGTAGAAAGGGAGCGAAAGGGGGGAAGGGGGAGGGGGAGGGAATAGGGGGGAAGAAGGTGGGCTCGTTCAATCCACTGCATGACAATACACCATGCGATTATTATGAAAGGTTACCGTTTTTACGAAGTAGCAGGTACCGTTAATTATTCCCGAGGCGCCCATGATGCGGCCCGACATCAGCAGGTGCAGCGTCGCCGCCACGCCGATAAGCACTCCACCGAACAGCGAGCTCCACGGCGTGAAAACCGGCGCGCCGGCCGCTTCCGCCATGGCTTGGAAGCTTTTAGGAGCTGCTACAGCCGGCACGATGGAAGCGGCAAAATTTGCGCCGGAAGATACGGAGGCAAAGGAGGCGGACGAAGTGGTCTGCGAGCTTTCCGGAGCAATCATAGGCTGCACGGAAAAGCCAGCGGGAGTCGCGGCGCGGTTCCCGGGAGAAGAATCTGCGCGAATCGGCAAAGGAGCACTGCGAGTTGCTCTGCTGGAAGGTAAGAACGCGGGCCGTAACCCTAAAGCCGGGCCTAAAACTAAGCTCGATAGCCGAGTGGCAAGGATCCGATGCCGGGTAGCAGCAGTTGCTGCTTTGTCCGATGGTGCGCCGAGCGCATGGGTCTGAAGGAGGGCCCGCATTGCCAGGCGATAGCGCCTACCAAGAAAACGCTCTTTACACGACGAGTGTGTGGTGTGGATGGACGGAGGCGGACAGGTGGACAGGCGGACTGGTGAACAGGGAGCGTTTTTTCAGGCTCAATTTCCGTCGGAAATCGACGATCAAGAATTCCCTGCTTTCGATTTGCTTTGCATCGATTGCACCTTCCTTGCGATGCGATGGTGCATGTCTACGATTGTGCGATGCGCGATGGCGGCGGCAGTGAGGGGGGGGGCAGATATGGTCCGTTTTGAGCCGAGATACTCGAATCTCGAGATTTCCGCGCTCCTACAGTTTGGAAAGTCGATAAAGCCACATTTGCCCCCTTGTATGTGACTGTAGAGAGGACTTCCCTGTTTCGACCGAAGTTTCGTACACGGAAAGAAAGTTCCACAGTGGGTTCCCATACTCGATAGCGGAATCCTTAGAGAGTGCTCGGGTATTTTTAGCAAAAGAGCGCAACATCACTTAGCTTCCCACAGTATTCATGTGGTTTTTCACTTGCTCCAACTCATAATCAGCACATAAGTGATCATACATTTTTTCTGCAAAGCCCTGTGTGCCACATGTTTTCCCTTCCTGGTTTCCCTCCACATTTTCTTTTTTCGAGTATGTCACAGACCCTTTCGTCGTGATGCCGCGATCCAGCAATAGCTTCTGTGTTTGTTTCTGCTGAGACCGCTTCTGCCCGCGTTCAGACGCAACAATCGCACAACCGCCTTTCCTGCCCCTCTCCCCTCCTTTTCCCCACACCCTCCCACCACCACTTTCCCCTCCTCCTGCTCCTTCCAAACGACAAACACAACCCCTGGGTGGCGAATACAGTTCTTATCATGTCAATGCTTCTCCCCATCACCCACCCACCTCTATGTCGACAGCTGTCAACCATGTCATCTCCCAACAGTCACCTTGTCCCCATTCCCCCTTTCCATGCCAACAGCGGTCAGCCGTGTTACCTCACAGCAGTCACCGTGTCAACAAGCTATCCGATCAGTCATGTCATCCCCTCCCTCCCAGCCATGGTATCCGGCTGAAACCGTCACACACAGGCATACATACTGCCGCCCACCAGCGTCTTGACGAGGTGACTCTTGAGTCAACTCAACAGTCACCGTGTTACCGTGTTACCGCCCAGAAGCCACCTTATCAGCTGTCCCAGCACTCACATCAGCCCCAACTCTCCCAGCCTTGGTCCCCGGCTGGAAGCGACACACACAGTCGTACATGCTGCCGCCCACCAGCCTCTTGACGAGGCGACTCTTGAGTCGACGCAGCAATCACCGTGCTACGTCCCAACAGTCACCCTCCCAGCCTTGGTCCCCGGCTGGAACCGGCACACACAGTCGTACATGCTGCCGCCCACCAGCCTCTTGACGAGGCGACTCTTGAGTCGACGCAACAATCACCGTGCTACGTCCCAACAGTCACCCTCCCAGCCTTGGTCCCCGGCTGGAACCGGCACACACAGTCGTACATGCTGCCGCCCACCAGCCTCTTTGCCAGCCGCTCGTTCTTGATCATCGCCAGCTGGCAGAGATTGATTGGACGGAGGGTTGAAAGTGGGGGAAATGAGGCGGGGGGAAAGGGAACGAAATGTCAGTAAAGGGAGCACGGCGAGGAATATGGGGGAGGGATTGGGTGCGAGGGGAAAGGGCTGGGGAAAGAGGGGCAGGAGCTGCAGCTTCTGGAAAGAGCACAGTCGCAGACCTCACATGTGCACGTATGCAACTCTATCCACATGAAAGCATTTTTAGGCAAGGCACAGCAGGAAGTCGCGTGCGTTGGAGCACTCCCTCTCATGTGCACGTATCCAACTCCAATGCCATGCTGTAAGTTGACAAAAAAAATGCTTCACCACTGAGCGCAAAATGAGCCCAGGGAGGGAATACCTTGAGGGAGTCGCAGGTGAAGCGAGTATATTCTTTTTGTAGGCGCCTCAAACACTACATGTCCAATGCTATGCTGTAAGTCGACAAAGAAGATGCTTCACCATTGATTGAGCGCAAAATGAGCCCAGGGAGGGAATACCTTGAGGGAGTCGCAGGTGAAGCGCGTGTCATAATTGGTGTGCAGACTGCGACCCATGCCTTCCAACACAACCTGCATGGCATGGAGACAGGATGGGATGTTGGAAACTTGATTCAATGGCAAAACCTGAAGGGCTGGGGGACAGGATGCCTATTGAGACGTCATTTAAGGATGCATGGCTAAGAGCACAGCATACAAGGCCAACTGACACAGCACCCGTCCCGCACTCCCAGCACTACCAATTTCGCACGCACAAGCAGCACTATCCTTCCCAAACTCACGAGATCAGCCCCCTGGCAGGCCTGAGCCAGCTCCCATGTGACTTGTCTAAAGTCGATGCATGGACTGCCCGACCCACTCGCCACCACCGATAGAAACACCTGCCGCTGCTGCCCACCCTCCTGCTGCTTCTGCCCACCCTCCTGCTGCTCCTGCTTCTGCTGCTCCTTCTCCTGCTTCTGCTGCTCCTGCTGCTGATCTTGCACTGCTGCTTGCTCTGACTGCACTGGTGTAGGGTCTGCCTGCGATGCTGTTCGCCTCCCCTCCCCTTGCTGCTCGCTCCCTCTCAGTTGCGATTCTTGAGTCGACCACAAAGCAGCCTGTGCCATCACCCCTCCTGCCTCTGCTGCTGCCCTCAGCACAGGGCAGTACTGGTCATGGCAGGAAGAGGAGGGGGGTGTGACGGGCGGAGGGTTGGTGGGAGGGGAGAGAGACAACTTGTGTGAGGCGGATTGGTGGCAGCTGCGGGTGGGAAAGCATCAGCCCACAAACACCCTGACTAGATGCTGAGTTAAGGATCAAGCTCTAACATGAGGAGCCCCGGCTACCACTCAAGCAGAGGCGCTTCAACCACGGGAGTAGAGTTGATTTGATAGTTGGATTTTGTGCTCTACGGATCAAGCTCTCACCTGCGCAGCCTCTGCCACCACTGCTGTCAGTTCATCTGCTGTGACGTCATTGATGGCTGGGAGCGAATTGGCCACCAGGACCACCTGCAGGGGGAGAGGGAGCAATGCGGAAGGGAGGTGAGGTGAGGATTGAGGATTTGAACGCGTCAAGCACCGCAATGGGCATCCAGTTCATCTGCTGTGACGTCATTGATGGCTGGGAGGGAATTGGCCACCAGGACAACCTGCAGGGGGAGAGGGAGCGGTGTGGGTGGAAGAGTGGTCAGGGCACGGGGGAGAGTAACGGTCTTTAAGTCGGTTGTTTTTGAGTGGGTAAAGAGGGCAGGCAACATCAGAGCGCATTTAAGGATCTAGCTCGTCTGCTGTGACGTTGTTGAGGACACGGGAAGCAAACATAAAACACCACATTAAAGATGCGGTCTACATTCATCGAGGTATTTTCCGGGGTTATTTAGGATCCACACCCAACGACGCACGCTGATTTGCTTACGAATGACCCGCTTCCAGTATCAGTAGGTGCGAGGGAGTCAAACAGAACTGGCGAAATCAGCCAGTTTCGTGATCTGGTTCGGTTGGGAAACAACCCTCGGCGACTTCGCGATAATTTCGTGAGGCTGGGTTGGGGAGGGGATTGGCGAAATTAATCAGCCAATCATGAGCAGGGAAATTACAGGCGGGGGTTGTGCTGTCACAAACTCGGAAACACACCTCGCCACTGAAGCGGAAGGCTACCTGGTTTTCAAGTGATAAACCAGAGCCTCTCCCGCCAGGTATGTAGACGACAGCTTTAAGAATCCAGCTACTGTCACATTGTTCCCTCCAGCTCGTGTGCAGGCAGCCGGCATCGGCATCAGCATCAGCATCAGCGCATCGGCATCAGCATCAGCATCAGCATGAGCATGAGCATCAGCATCAGCATCGGCATCGGCATCAGCATCAGCATCAGCACATCAGCATCAGCATCAGCATCAGCATCAGCATCAGCATCAGCGTCAGCGTCAGCGTCAGCATCAGCATCAGCATCAGCTCATGAGCAGGGTTTTAGGCATCACACCCATGCCACTCACATTGGTCCCAGCTCTGAGCATCTCCCGTGCTAGTGGCAGCATCCCCAGCACCACATCCGCTCCAACGTTATCCACAAACAGCAGCGCCTTGCCGTACGGGCGGTGCTGCCAGCGCTGGTGAAAGGCATCAAAGTCGTCCACCCGCCACGGGCGCTTCATCTTGTCACGGCTCATGCGGTAAATTTCCAGGATGGTGCCGCTGCGGTAGAGCTTTACGCATTCGCGCGAGCCCCAGTCGAATATGTTGGCTGCTAGGACGCCCCCCACCACCGTCAGCAGCCGCTCTTCCTGATGATTGGGGGGGTAGGAATGGGGGAGGGGGAGGAGGGAGTGGGGTGGAGAGAGTGGGAGAGAGGTGGATGGGGCCACAACTCAAACCAACACCAAGCAGCACTCCCCCTTGGTGCTGCCAGCGCTGGTGGAATGCATCAAAGTCGTCCACCCGCCACGGGCGCTTCATCTTGTCACGGCTCATGCGGTAAATTTCCAGGATGGTGCCGCTGCGATACAGCTTCACGCACTCGCGCGACCCCCAGTCGAATATGTTCGCTGCTAGCACGCCCCCCATCACTGTCAGCAGCCGCTCCTCCTGGTGATGGGAGGGGTGTGGGGGTGTGAGAGGAGGGATGGGTGGGATGGGGGGAGGAGGGACGGGCAGAATGGGGACAGAAGGGGTGTGCTGCATCTTATAGGAGTGACTTTTGAGATTTCTCACGAGTGGGGAGGGAAGAGGTGGAGGAGAGGTGTCTCTGAGGCAGTGTGCTGCATCATACCAAAAGCATGGTGTAGACAGATTGAGGAAATTATACCTCCGAAGTATCCCAAGAGGATTCCACTTTTGAAGGAAAATAATAAAATGTGAAATCATCGCCAACCCAACCACGTGCTCATTCGCCGCATCTAAAGGGCTCAGCTTACAGGAGGAATGCTGTCGAGCTCGGCCAGAAGGTCAGGCAACACTGATAGCGAGACACCATTCTCCCTGGTGTTACAAGAGGGAGGGGGTAGATTGAGGGAGGACGGAGATCACAGAGAGAACGGAGGTACCCGACGTTTGGTTGGGGGATTTGCAAACGGGAAAAGTTGAAGCTGTGATCAAAATGTGAGTGTATGAAGCCACAACTCTGAATAGACAATGCAACACTAGCTTGGAAGCCAAGCATGTAAACGTGGCGGTCCTGCTACCCTGCTAACTCTGTGTCAGAGGTGAAATCCCCTTTTTTTCAGTCAATCAAGAAACGTGGCGGTCCTGCTGCCCTAATACCTCGGCACCAGAACCAAATCTGAATCCTTCCCTCTGCTCCACCTCCTTCCCCCTCGCCTTTCCCCATCCTCCCCTCACCGCTCTTTCCCCGCTCTCCTCACCTGTTTCCCCTGCTCTTCACACCACTCACCGCTGCTTGACAGCTCGATAAGCATCAAAGAAATGAAACTCCCTCAGACACTCCTCTCCACTTTTGAGGCATCTTGAACAGGTAGAGCTCAGCCCTCCTCCCCCATCCTGCTCCCACTCACCGCTGCTTGACAGCACGGTAGGCATCAAAGAAGTGGAACTCCCTCAGACACTCCTCCCGCATCTCCAGCAGCGTTGCCAGCCCCAGCCGCCCATACGCTGCTGGCTCCTCCCGCAACCTGCGAGAGAAGGGGCAGTGGGGTCAGATGGTGGGATGACATGGTGGGGGCAGGTGCCTGGTGGTAGAAGAAACAACACTAGGAAGTGGCAGTGGGGTCAGGTGGTTGGGTCACATGGTTGGAGGCAGGTGGATCACGAAACTTATCACAGGCCAAGGCGCCTGCATCATCCTGTAAGTAGCAGCAGCAGTGGCAGTGGCGGCAGCAGTGGCGGCGGCGGCGGCAGCAGTGGCGGCGGCGGCGGCAGCAGTAGAAGCAGAAGAAGGAGCAGCAACATCAGCAGCAGTTGTGGCAGGGCAGCAGCAGCAGGCACAGCCCACCCACCTGGTGAGATGCGCCCGGAACGCCAATGCAAAGGCGTCTCCTCTCCGCTTAGCATCTTCCGTTGCCCCCTCGCTTCCCACTGCCTGGAAGGGGGGGAAGGGCACGAGAGAGGGAAGGAGTGATTGAGGAAAAAAATGGGGAGATGGAAGAGGGAAGGAGTGAGGGTAAGAGTGGGGGAAAGACAGAATGCAAAGAATTGGTGTTAACCTATACATCCCTTGGTGTTGTTTTCCAGCAAACCTGTTAACTCGACTGAGAGCACACCTGAAAAGAATGTGGCTATGAAAAGTCTCAAAAGTCTCCCCTCTCCCCCGGTTGCTGCACTGCACCCACTCACCTTCTCCACCAGGTTGGAAATGCGATACTGAATAGGGCTTTTTGAAGCGTTTCAGACACCCCCTAGGGTGCTCTCCACTAGATTGCTCCTCTCACTCACCTTCTCCACGAGATTGGGAATGTGATCCTTCAGAATCCCAAGCCAGTACCTGATGGGGCCCCGCATGCATGCAACCATGCAGGCAGAACACCATGCCACCACACCACGCCACCACGCCATGCCATCATGCGATCACGCCACCATGCCACCATGCCATCATGCCATCATGGCATCGGAAAAAGTGATTCAAGCCAAGCAAAACGTACACACCCATGAGAAGGGATAAATGCATGATAGGTGGGTGGATGGGTTATATTTATAACTGGAGAGCACCCAAAATAACATCACTAAAAGTCTGAAGGAGCTCAACTTATGAACATCACCATGTGACGCTACTCATCCCCGTCAACACGAATTCTCTCTTTTTCACCTCCCGCCCAATTCCGTCGGCCTGTTGCATACCTCCTCCTCGTCTTCCCTCGTCCCACTCACTCCCTCCCTCTCCCTCCCCCGTGTCCCATCCATCCACTCCCTCCCTCTCCCCCCCCCGTGTCCCATCCATCCACTCCCTCCCTCTCCCTTTCCCCTGCAACACTCCCTCCCTCCCCCGAACCCCACTCACTCCCTCTCATCCGGGTCTGCAAGGTCCACTGTGTTGGGCTCGTAGCTGTTAGGGTTGACCGTGAGGGGAGGGGAGAGGGGAGGATGCGGGAGGGGAGGAGGGAAATAGAGAAAAAAGCGGAGGGCTTTTGAGGCGCCTCAAACGCATCGGGTTCTGCGAGGTCCACTGTGTTGGGCTCGTAGCTGGTGGCGGTGGCAGGAAGGGGGATGGGGGGCAAGGGGAGGAGGGAAATAGAAAGAAAAGGAGAGGGAGTGAGAAAGGCAGAACAAAGGGATCTGCGAGGTCCACTATGTTGGGCTCGTAGCTGGTGGCGGTGGCAGTAGGGGGAGGGGAGGGAGATAAGAGACAAGGGGAGAGAGTGAGAAAGGAAGGGAAATGGGAAGGAACGACAGAGGGAGGGAATGAATAACACATGAAATATGAGGAGGCACAAAGCGAGAGAAAGGGGAAAGGGGAGCAGAGGGTGCGTTTTTAACCCTGTATCTCACCTGAATGGGTCTGCGAGCAGCGGGAAGACCTCCAGTGAGGGCACGAGGTGCAGCACTCCCACACTCAGCGCCGACTCATCGGATCGCAGCTCCCTGCCCTGCTCCCTGGGCCAGAGGACCTCGAGGGAGGGCACTAGGCGCAGCTCCCTGCCCTGCCCCCTCGGCCTCACCCCACGGCCAAAGGAGGAGAGAAACGGGAAGGGGAGTTGCAGGAGGCGGCTACCAGGCACGGGGGGCAAAAAGGGCCCCTTTCACTCACCTGACTGGGTCTGCCAGCAGCGGGAAGACCTCCAGAGAGGGCACGAGGTGCAGCACTCCCACACTGAGAGCCGACTCATCTGATCGAAGCTCCCTGCCCGCCCTATCACCCACCCAGAATGACCCACTAGCCACCCCCCAGCAAGCAAGCGCACAATACCTGACAGGGTCTGCGAGCAGAGGGAAGACCTCGAGGGAGGGCACGAGGTGCAGCACTCCCACACTGAGAGCCGACTCGTCTGACCGCAGCTCCCTGCCCTGCTCCCTTGGTCGCGCAAAGCCCCCCAGCCCCGTGGTAGTGGACGGCTTTCCTGTTGGGGTGGGCGCTGTGATGTCACTCCCCACCTGCACATGTGCATGTGGGCGTACTGAGAGAGGCTCAGATGCTGCTATGAAATGTCACTCTCCGTTTACACACATGTGGGTGAGGGAGAGCACCGTCTCTCACCACCACCCCACTCCATTCCCCTCCCACCTGCACCACGCCCCCCTTACCTGAACGAACTTCTCGACCCAGGAAACTTTCTCCTTCAACCCCCTGATCACGGGCCCACGGATCTCCCCCTTAGAGAAGGGTGCGCCCATGGGGAAGCGCTCCACCAGCTGCCCCATTCACCTTCCACCTGCGCCCTGCACACCCCACCTGCGCCCTGCACGCCACACCCACCTGAACGAACTTCTCGACCCAGGAGACCTTCTCCTTGAGCCCACGAATCACGGGGCCACGGATCTCCCCCTTGGAGAAGGGAGCGCCCATGGGGAAGCGCTCCACCAGCTGCCCCATTCCCCACCCACCTGCGCCCCACCTGCACCTCTCACCTGCACAAACTTCTCGACCCACGAGACCTTCTCCTTCAACCCCCGAATGACCGGCCCGCGGATCTCCCCCTTGGAGAAGGGCGCGCCCATGGGGAAGCGCTCCACCAGCTGCGACGGCGTGAGCGAGGAGAGAGAGGCGATGCCGGGGGTGAGGGAGAGCCCGCGGCCCTCTGCGTGTGCGTCCTCCTCGTGCGCTAGGAAGGCTCCCAGTGCTCCTAGGTACCCCTCGTGCCGCAGAAACATGGCCTGCTTCTCGCCCTTGGACCTAATGGGGGAAGAGGAGAGTGAAAGGGTAACGGGAAGAGAGAGTGGGGAATCTGTGACATAGAAACATGGCAAAGGAGATGGTGTTCATGGTGTACAAATGCCCTCGTTTGAAATAACCCCAATGCCACATGCCATGGGCTCCTTGGAGAATCCAATTCAATGTTTGAAGAAACCACCTCGAACCCACCAGAACTTGATGGCGAAAGAGATGGTGTCCATGGTGTAGGCGTGCCCGCGGATGAAGAACTCCCCGAAGAAGATGTGCTTGAGGTTGTAGCGCAGGGCTCACTCAGGAAAGGATGAAAATGCTTGAACCACCTTGGGTGAATAAACCTACCAGAATTTGATGGCAAAGGAGATGGTGTCCATGGTGTAGGCGTGCCCGCGGATGAAGAACCCGCCGAAGAAGATGCGCTTGAGGTTGTAGCGCAGGGCGTTGAGGTAGGCGATCTGCCCGATGTTGTATGACACCATGCGGAGCAGCGAGAGCGCTATGTCCTCCGGGCGGTAGTCTGTCAGTTCCTTCTGCTCCCCCACCACTCGCCCAAAGCTAGAGGCGATTGTAGAGGCCGATAGGCCGATCTGGGGAGGCGAGGGAAGGAAGGGGAGAGAGCAGCAGGGAAGGGGGAGGGGGCGCTTGAGCCTGTAGCGCAGGGCGTTGAGGTAGGCGATCTGCCCGATGTTGTACGACGCCATGCGGAGGAGGGAGAGGGCTATGTCCTCCGGGCGGTAGTCTGTCAGTTCCTTCTGCTCCCCCACCACTCGCCCGAAACTGGAGGCGATTGTAGAGGCCGATAGGCCGATCTGGGAGGGGAGAGGGAATATGGGGTGGGAGTGACGTGGAAGGTGGGGGGGTTGTTACGTTACGTGACATGTGGGGGGGTTGGTACGTGGGTTGGTTAGGGGATGGACAGCATCGCAAAGCACCTGCGGCACAAAGTCCTTCCGGCGGGATGGTGACCTGCTCACCTTCTCATCGTTGCCTCACCTTCTCATCGTTGCCTCACCTTCTCATCGTTGCCTCACCTTCTCATCGTTGCCTCACCTTCTCATCGTTGCCTCACCTTCTCATCGTTGCCTCACCTTCTCGTGGTTGAGCCCGCCGTGGATGTCCCCCACCAGCATGTCCACAGCCGAGTGCACATGGTGTGTGTGCACAATGTGCATGTATGGTTGACCTGCTCACCTTCTCCTACTCGCCTCACCTTCTCGTAGTTGAGCCCGCCATAGATGTTCCCCACCAGCATGTCCACGGCCGAGTTGTCTCACATGGTGGTGGTAGGAGCCACAGATGTGAACTGCTCACCTCCTCATGCTCCACTCACCTTCTCCTACTCGCCTCACCTTCTCGTAGTTGAGCCCGCCATAGATGTCCCCCACCAGCATGTCCACGGCCGAGTTGTCTCACATGGTGGTGGTAGGAGCCACAGATGTGAACTGCTCACCTCCTCATGCTCCACTCACCTTCTCCTACTCGCCTCACCTTCTCGTAGTTGAGCCCGCCATAGATGTCCCCCACCAGCATGTCCACGGCCGAGTTGTCTCACATGGTGGTGGTAGGAGCCACAGATGTGAACTGCTCACCTCCTCATGCTCCACTCACCTTCTCCTACTCGCCTCACCTTCTCGTAGTTGAGCCCGCCATAGATGTCCCCCACCAGCATGTCCACAGCCGAGTTGTCGCCCTCCTGACTCAGCTCCAAAATCTTGTCAAAACTGGTGGTTGGGGAACGAGGTGAAGGAGGGGAAGGAAGAGGTGAGGGTGTGAGAGCGCAAGTCGAGGGACGGCACGCAAAGGGGAATGAGGCTAACCCCCCCAGCCCAGAATCCTCTTAACTGAGGCCCAGGATCTTTTGAGGGGAGGGTGTGCAGGAGCAAGACGAGGGACGGCAGACAGCCCAGCAGCACTTGACTCGTCCTATAAGTGCGATGCGCGATAAGCGCATCTGCAGGAGCAAGACGAGGGCCTGCAGAATGAACTGTAGGATGTGAACAGCGCCGTGAGCCTCCCCTCTCTCACCTCTTCATCGTTTTTTGAGGCGCCTCAAAAATACGATGTGAACTGCGCCGCGTGAGCCTCCCCTCCCCTCTCACCTCTTGCATCCCGTGAGCAGGCTGCCAAGACCCCAGAACGTGCCGCCCCCCAGGTTGGTGCCGCTCACTCGCTCGTACTGCTGTGGCCCGTCCACCTGCCACCGTGGGCAGAGGGGGATGGGGGGACGCAGAGGGATGGGGTGGCGCGGGGCAGAGGGAGTTCGAAGGGCAAAGGGGGACGGGTGAGTAGACGTGGATGGGAGGGCAGAGGGGGTGGGAGTGCAGAGGGGGTGGGAGTGCAGAGGGGATTGGGAAGAGATGGGAACAGGCAGCCACACCTTGCTTTGAGACGTCTTGAGAACACAGTAACGCACGTTAAAAAAACTGGAACAGCTGGTTGGTTACGTACCTTGAGAATGCTGACACCCGAGCCGATGTTGACGAGGAGGTAGGGGAAGATGTTTCCGCTGTGCATTGTACGATGTTACAACTGGAACAGCTGGTCGCACACCTTGAGAATGCTAACGCCCGAGCCGATGTTGACGAGGAGGTAGGGGAAGATGTTTCCGCTGTGCATTGTACGATGTTACAACTGGAACAGCTGGTCGCACACCTTGAGAATGCTAACGCCCGAGCCGATGTTGACGAGGAGGTAGGGGAAGATGTTTCCGCTGTGCATTGTACGATGTTACAACTGGAACAGCTGGTCGCACACCTTGAGAATGCTAACGCCCGAGCCGATGTTGACGAGGAGGTAGGGGAAGATGTTTCCGCTGTGCATTGTACGATGTTACAACTGGAACAGCTGGTCGCACACCTTGAGAATGCTAACGCCCGAGCCGATGTTGACGAGGAGGTAGGGGAAGATGTTTCCGCTGTGCATTGTACGATGTTACAACTGGAACAGCTGGTCGCACACCTTGAGAATGCTAACGCCCGAGCCGATGTTGACGAGGAGGTAGGGGAAGATGTTTCCGCTGTGCATTGTACGATGTTACAACTGGAACAGCTGGTCGCACACCTTGAGAATGCTAACGCCCGAGCCGATGTTGACGAGGAGGTAGGGGAAGATGTTTCCGCTGTGCATTGTACGATGTTACAACTGGAACAGCTGGTCGCACACCTTGAGAATGCTAACGCCCGAGCCGATGTTGACGAGGAGGTAGGGGAAGATGTTTCCGCTGTGCATTGTACGATGTTACAACTGGAACAGCTGGTCGCACACCTTGAGAATGCTAACGCCCGAGCCGATGTTGACGAGGAGGTAGGGGAAGATGTTTCCGCTGTGCATTGTACGATGTTACAACTGGAACAGCTGGTCGCACACCTTGAGAATGCTAACGCCCGAGCCGATGTTGACGAGGAGGTAGGGGAAGATGTTTCCGCTGTGCATCTCCACAAACTGCTTCTCGCCCTCCAGGTGCGTGAACGCCTCGTCTCGGATGGACTGGGGTTGAGGGAAGTGCAAGGAAGGGCAGACGGGAGGGCGAAGGAAAGGGCATAAGCCATTGCACATGCATCTCCACAAACTGCATCTCGCCCTCCAGGAGGGTGAACGCCTCGTCGCGGATGGACTGGGGTTGAGGGGGGTTGCAAGGAAGGGCAGACGGGAAGGCGAATGGAATGGCATAACCCATTGCACATGCATCTCCACAAACTTCTTCTCGCCCTCAAGGTGTGTGAATGCCTCATCTCGGATGGACTGGGCGGAGGGGAATTGGCACAAGGCTGGAGCAAAGAAAGGCAGATGAAAGGACGAGTGGAAGGGACAAAGGGATTGTGTGCATGCAGATCCCTTCGCGAATGCCTTTCTACAATCTGCTTCTCGCCCATGAGTGTGAGTATGTGCCTCTTCGCGAATGGACTGGTCACTGGGGTAGTTGAGCAGGCGTGGTTGGGGGGGAGCGAGGAAGGGCCGATGGGAAGGCGGAATGGAAGGGCATCAGTCATTGCAAATGCATTTTAGCAAACTGCTTCTCGCCTTGTCGCAAATGAGACACACAGTTAGGCAACAATGAGCAACAACACACAACTTTACGAATACTGGTATGCAGGGGCGGGGGTGTGAGGGAGGGGAGGAGCAGAGATGGGGGGAAGGGAGAGGGGGGGCAGACTCGGAGCATATCAGGGAGGGCGGGCATACGCGCAGGAGGAAGTTGAGGCCGAGCACGAGGCAGCGCATCTCAACTCTACAACCACCGATGTGTGCAAGCATCAGTGCTCACACAGGCAGAGAGGTGTATGTGCAGCATGTAAGGGCGAGCGCTGAGGGAACATACGCGCAGGAGGAAGTTGAGGCCGAGCACAAGGCAGCGCATCTCATCCTCCTTGTCCAGCACCACGCCCAGCTTCTCCTTGAACAAATCCGCATATTTAAACGCCCCACCCCCTGTGGCCTGCCCACACATGACGACAATGGTGCAAGGCAGGGGTTTAGAGACGTCTCAAGGCAGCGCATCTCATCCTCCTTGGCCAGCACCACGCCCAGCTTCTCCTTGAACAGATCCGCGTACTTGAACGCCCCTCCTCCTGTGGCCTGCACAGTACACACACACACACAGGGGTGATGGTACAATGCAGGGTGGTGTATGGCAGGGGGGGGGTTGAGACGTCTCAAGGCAGCGCATCTCGTCCTCCTTGTCCAGCACCACGCCCAGCTTCTCCTTGAACAGATCCGCGTATTTAAATGCCCCACCCCCTGTGGCCTGACCACACACACATGAGGACAATGGTGCATGGCAGGGGTTTAGAGACGTCTCAAGGCAGAGCATCTCATCCTCCTTGGCCAGCACCACGCCCAGCTTCTCCTTGAACAGATCCGCGTACTTGAACGCCCCTCCTCCTGTGGCCTGCACAGTACACACACACACACAGGGGTGATGGTACAATGCAGGGTGGTGTATGGCAGGGGGGGGGTTGAGACGTCTCAAGGCAGCGCATCTCGTCCTCCTTGTCCAGCACCACGCCCAGCTTCTCCTTGAACAGATCCGCGTATTTAAATGCCCCACCCCCTGTGGCCTGACCACACACACATGAGGACAATGGTGCATGGCAGGGGTTTAGAGACGTCTCAAGGCAGAGCATCTCATCCTCCTTGTCCAGCACCACGCCCAGCTTCTCCTTGAATAGATCCGCGTATTTAAATGCCCCACCCCCTGTGGCCTGACCACACACACATGAGGACAATGGTGCAAGGCAGGGGTTTAGGAAGTCTCAAGGCAGAGCATCTCATCCTCCTTGTCCAGCACCACGCCCAGCTTCTCCTTGAATAGATCCGCGTACTTGAAGGCCCCGCCCCCTGTGGCCTGCACACACACACACACGGGGGTGATGATGGGTGGTAGGGGTGGTGCGTGCATGGCAGGGGTGGTGCATGGCAGGGAAATATTAATGATGACCCACAAACGTCCACGACGGATGGACACACACATGACCATCCGCCATTGACCATCTAAGCGAGTGTAGAAAGAGGAACCTCAAAAGTCATTTCGCTATCCGCGGTTCCGGAATCTAAACATTCTTTCAGGCGGATCGGAAGCTCAGAACACAATCTGGATGCGCCTCAAAGGGTGTCACAATGTCATTGCTTCTGAATTCTCAAGTGCAAGCATGCCTGAACACACCTTGATGCGAGGCGAACTAGCTCCATAGCCCCATAAGCTCTCCTCGTCTCCACCCATTCCTTCAGTCAATAAAACACGAGAGGGGTAGCGCAAGACAAAGGTTGGAGAAGGCTAGAATGAGACTAGGGAAAGGGGAAAGAGGAGGTAAGTTGATCGGGATGAGTGTGTGTACTTGGGTACCGATCTTGGCACCTAAGCACCTTCAAACAGCAACGACCAAGTTGAGAGGGACAGTGTGTAGTAAGATGGGTACAAATCCCCGAGCATAGTGTGCCCGAGGATGTGGTTGGACGAGATGAAGGGTGGGAGAGCAGGATGGACAAAAGATGAGGATGGAAGAGGATGGATGAGGATGGAACATGGAAGCTTACCAGGCCCTTCAGCCAGCACACTAAACACCGCACCAATTTCTATGGGCGTTTTTGCAAACCCACCAATCCTTCATGCCATTCGTTTCCCTGGCCGAACCATTCCTTCCCATTCATTCCTCACCCACCCTCTGTACCGCCGCTCTCATCCTCTGTACTTCCACCAGTATCCCTCATCCATTGCATCTCCGACTCACCCAAAATATCAAAGGTGTGAAGCCTCTTCGATTTTATGAAGTCGATGCACTCTGCGATCCTCGACGTCTCAAACTTGACAAAGTGCAGCCGACCGCCGCCGCCCGACCGAAAGGAACCCCCTCCTCCGGAAAAAGAAGCTCGCCTGTCAACCGCCCTGGCAGCAGCCGCAGCAGCTGCTGCTGCAGTAGCTGTAGCAGAAGCAGTGGGTGGAGCAGCGGCAGCACCACCACCACCACCACAATTGGTCTGGTTGGTGTCGTCTGTGTTTTCATTACCAGCAGCAGTGCTGGTAGGAGCAGCAGCAGCAGCGGCACTAGGGGATATTAGAGAGGAGAAGGAGCCCCCGTGTTCCAGGTGGGGAGGGATGCGGGAGAAATACACGAGCTTGATGAGCGAGCCTGAGGGGAACAGTGAAGAAAGGGGTACCGGAGAGAAGTATGAGATGAAAATATGAGAAAACGTGGGCAAAAAGCATGGCAGAGGGAGGAGCAGCTCAGCGTGCCTTCTTGTAGTGACTGGACATTCGATTCTGGCGCCTGGAAAATAATGTTGGAAAATGGCTGGATAGAGATTCGTGAACACGCCGGGACACTTATTCCTGAAAACCGCAGGAGATTGTTTTTTGAAAAACCGTGGGGGGAGCTGGAAATGCATGGACATGAAATTGTAGAGTTGCCTAAGGATTGATTCGTAAAATTTCCTGAAATTGCATAGACATTGATTCCTTATACAATGATTGCTCTGTCAATGGATCAATGGATGAACATGGATTCCTGGACATTACATTCATTCCTGGAAACAAAATTCTGGAAATTCCAGGACAATCACACCTGAAAAATTCTGGACATTGATGGCTGGAAATGTTAGGAGAATCGTGGAGAAGGCTATCCGTTGATTAAAAGTACTGTAGTAAAATTTTTGAAGGCAATCGTGAAAATTATTCCTGGAGAAGGCTGGATATAGTTTTCTACATTTGCCTGGACACTGATAAGTGCGAGTGGCACGCAGCCGACCGTTGATTAAAAGTACTGTATCGACGCGGCTCAGAACAAGAGTTGGAACACACCTCCAATGTCCAGCGCGAAGTGGAGCACATCCGACCGTTGATTCGGGAGCACGATGGTCGTCTGCGCGCCAGCAGCGTCCCGCGGAAACGTCTGAATCGCAGCTCCGCGCAAATCCAGATGCGGAGGCATCGCCTGCGTTCCGCCTAGTCCCGCCGCCACTGCTGGACTTGTTCCCCTTCCCCCTGCGCTTCCCCCCGAGCCCATTCCGCCAGTGTCGCCCACTGCGCCCCAGGGGCCTCCCCCGACCGCGATTGCCGCCGGGATTTCGCCCGAGCCTGATTCCGAACATCGCATTCTCGTATGGTTCCCGTTGCTGCCAACACCGCTGCTGCTAGTCACGTTGTCCGGGTCGGGACCTGCGGGTGGGACCTCCGCATTTGGCGCTGACTCTGTGCTACCAGCGTCGCGCGTGTCCATTCTCGTGACTATATCGAAACGCGACCCGCGATGTGCTTCTGAGGCTGTCGACGCAAGACGCAGTACTCCTCTGTGGTCTCAGAGGCGTCGCGAGACTCCCGGGGGTTAGCTGAGGTCAACACGAACACGAGTCCGCGTAACAATTATAAGCCTGTTACCACCAGCGGGTTCTAGCAACAGCCTTGCAACGCATATTACCGACGACGCACCAACGGCTATTGGTGACGACGTGCTAACGACTAGTGGTGACGACGTACAACGGGTATTAGAGACCAACGGCTAGTAGCCACGAAGTATAAACGGCTTCTGTACGTAATTCTCGGATCCTACCCTGTCTTCCATAAAGCTACTCTACTGTCCAAGTGACTAGGAAGTCATGACGGTGACGTGACGTGATGTTCATGAGTCTGATTGCTGGAGTTCCCAAGGCTGCTGGAATGGCGACGTTGGGAGTGCCGAAACGGAGTTATTGGCTGCCTCTTTACAGCGCTCCAGGACGTCACGGAGAAATCTGTAATTCTAATCATGGACAATATAGATCCCCCCTGCACTGTACACCAGCTTTGTCAGGACTCGCATTCATGATTAGACTTGCCATGTTTCTTCCATTTTGGCACAGCAGAGCTGTGCAAACCAGAGACAAATCACTATACACACATAACTTACAACACACAAACCAAGGTTTTTTTAAACAATAAAAACACCTAGCATTCACCAACATTAGTGCAACGTCGGACTGCACGTTAGTTGGGCCTATGGTCAATCATGCCTAAAGCACACCCGTCTCCTTCAAGCCTCTGTTTCACGTGGCCGAACACGCATGTTTACTCCACCTGCATCAAGGATAAAAGTTAAGAGAGTGTTCCATGTCAGGAGGCTAACACATGGATGATGAAGGGGTAAAAGAGGAAGATAAAAACAGAACTTGGTAGGCAAGCATGCATTGCGGTTACGGTACCTGGAAAATTCATTGTAATATCGTAGGCGAATGGGAGGTCCTTGCCGCTGGGACTGATACCCTCGAATTCAAAATGCTGAGGTAAGGAGGGAAGAAAGTGAGGGGAGCAAAGGAGAGGGAAGGGGAATAGGGGAGGAGTGGAGCATGGGAGGAAGAGAAGAGGGGAAGAGAAGCGGGAGCAAGAGAATGAGACACAAGGTTACATCTTGTTCAACACACAGCGAGCCACACATATGGATGCAAGCATGCACAGATACCCTCCACACATTCACCTCCCCCCACTCCCCCCCCCCCTCCCCCCCTCCACATCACCCTTCCACCCCAACTCCCATTCACACCTGCAGCAGAGTGGCAACGACTTGAGTGGCTGCATGCACAGCGGAGTTGGTGCCCAGACACATGCGAGGGCCCGCCCCAAACGGCACCCACAGTTGCCCTCTAACTCCCCATCCCAACCCCCTCCCTCCAACACACTTTTGAGTCGGACTCAAAACACACACCTGCAGCAGAGTGGCAACGACTTGAGTGGCTGCATGCACAGCGGAGTTGGCGCCCAGTCACATGAGAGGGCCCGCCCCAAACGGCACCCACAGACGCCCTTCCCCCCCTCTCCACCCCACCACCGAGTCAGGCTCAAAACACACACCTGCAGCAGGGTGGCGACGACTTGTGTGACAGCCAGCACAGCAAAGTTGGCGCCCAGACACATGCGAGGGCCCGCCCCAAACGGCACCCACGCAAAGCGCGGCCGCGCTGCCTCCGCCTCGGGAGTGAAGCGCTCCTGTGCGGGGGGAGGGAGATGGCATGGGAGTGCAGGAGATGTTGAAACGCTGCACTAAGGGAGCAAGAAGCATTTGCAACATAGTACGAAGGGAGTGAAAAGAGAGACTTCTGAGCCTACAGGGAAACAAAGAGGCATGCAGCAATCCTAAAGGGAGCTTTTCCAATATAGTAGTCTGAAAAAGGGAGGGAGAGCATCGCTGGTGTCAATAGTGTTACCGGTCGAAAGGAGAGGGGCTCAGGCCAGTAGACAGGGTTGCGCCCCATGGCGTAGGTGGACATGAATACGACCTGGGGATGGGCAGGGAGGGAGGGGAATGGCGAGCGAGATGGAGAGGGAGATGGGTGGACAACAGGTGGGTGCGTGGCTCATACTCAGTCCACCACGCTGCCAGTAGACAGAGTTGCGCCCCATGACATAGGTGGACATGAATACGACCTGAGGTTGGGCAGGGAGACGGTCAAGTGAGATGGGGATGGAGGTGCGTGGGCGGCAGTTTCTTAGGTGCCTTAAAAGCAGTGCGCGCTAGGTAACCAAGGTTGTGCCCATGGCAGAACGAGTAACCGTCAGGCATGCGGGGGCCGTTTCCCTCAGAACGCGTGGGATGGTTGGGCAATGGGGTAACGGGGATGTGGGCGAGAAGGGAACAAGGCACTCACATCGCCACCAGGAAGTTCGTATCCCCCGGGTAGTCGGTCAGTGTGGGCGACCTCCCGTGGGAAGAGCGGGATGGGCGGGTACATGCGGAGGGTCTCCTTGACGGCCATCTGTGTGTATGGCAGGCGCCCGCTGTTGACGTCGCTGAATGAGGGCATGCGCCCGTTGAGGGCCCGCAGCTCCTCGTGCACCTGGAGAGGGGAGAATGGGAACGGAGGGGAAGGGAAGAGGAGGGGTCGAGAGAAGGGATTAATTTCAGGGGGTGCATGCAGAGGTGCTGCGAGATGGGGAAGGGGCGAGAGGGCGGAGATCAGCCCAGCATAGGATTTCCCACCACCCTTTTGCCCCCCATAGCAACCACCCGCCTTGCCTTTTAACCACCTTGCCCACCTTGACTTTTAACCACCTTGCCCTTCAACCACCAGTGTCGGCCACCCACCTTGGCCTTGGCGTGAGATGAGGAAGAGCGCCGCAGTGATGGTGGTGGCCATGGTCTCGTGCCCCGCGCCCATCACCTTGCCCTCACCTTGCGCTTCACCCACCTTGCCATTCACTCGCCACTGCCAGCCACCCACCTTGGCCTTGGCGTCAGGGTGTTGCGAGATGAGGAAGAGCGCCGCCGTGATGGTGGTGGCCGTGGTCTCGTGCCCCGCGCCCATCACATCGTGCACGTCCTCCCACAACTCCTCGTCTTGGAGAGGCCGCCCCTGCTCGTCCTGTAGGGTCAGGCAGCACAAGGAGGGCAGGCAGGAGGGGTGAGGGGCGGGACAGTTCAAGGAAGGGAGACGAGACGGGGAAGCACATCTCCCCGTCTCTTCAAGGAAGGAAGGGACGGGTTGATGGCGGTTGCGGTGGTTTCGTGCCCCGCGCCCATCACATCGTGCACATCCTCCCACAACTCCTCGTCTTGCAACGGTCTGCCCTGCTCGTCCTGTGGGCACAGGAGAGGCAGGAGGGAGACAGGGGCGCAGAGGGGTTGATGGTGGTGGCCGTGGTTTCGTGCCCCGCGCCCATCACGTCGTGCACGTCCTCCCACAACTCCTCGTATTGGAGAGGCCGCCCCTCCTCGTCCTGGGGACACAGGGGAGGCGGGGAGGAAGCAAGGAAGGGGGGGAAGCAGGGAGGCGGAGGGGTTGATGGTGGTGGCCTTTGGTCTCGTGCCCTGCTGCGCCCATCCCATCATGCACGTCCTCTCACAGCTCCTCAAAAACTCTTACCCTCCCCAATGTCTGCACAGTCTCCCCCCACCCCGCCCACACGTGTCAGAAGTTGCCTTACCCTCTCCCACAACCCCAAACGCCAAGGCCTGCACAACAACCTCCCCTCCACCCCCCATTTCCAACGGCCGTACCGTGGCGCCTAGCAGCACTCCCAGCCCAGCAGATATTCCCCCGCATCCCCCGTTGCGCGCCATTTGTAACTGCGCTCCTCAATCACACCCATCATAACCCTCTCCATGGCCCTCGAATGATACTTTCAGCCTCGAGAATCGTCCTACCCTCTCTCCCACACCCCCGCACCCCAATACCCGCACAAGCCCACCCCCCCGTCATCACCCTCCACCTCCCTCCCACGCAGCCGTACCGTGGCGCCTAGCAGCACTCCCAGCAGATCATCCCCCGCATCCCCCGTCGCGCGCCATTTCTCTCTCCGCTCCTCAATCACGCCCATCATAACCCTCTCCATGGCCCTCATCGCCGCATCCAACCGCACCATCCCCGGCTCGCCGAACCTCCGCAGCATCTGCAGCACCGGCAGTGGCGTGATGAACACGTTTGCCATCAGCTGCTGCGACTCGTTCACCGCGCCTAGCAGCTCGTCAGCTCCGGCGTCCGCCTCGGTTGCCGAACCTGCGGGGTCGGCTCGGATGCGGTCCAGCTGCCCGAAGTCCTTGGAGAAAGCGACGGCTCCGATGATGTCGAGCGTGAAGCGTTGGATCTGGACCGCTAGATTGCCGTCCAGGACGACGTTGGGGAGCGGTGAGCCGGCGTCAGTGGCAGCTTGATGGCGCCACATTGTGATAAGCTTATCCAACTGCTCACGAGGAAGGGCGGTGTTTACGGGAAGTGGGTGATGTGGGGGAGAGGGGGAAAAGGGGAGAAGAGGGGAGGGGTGAGCCGGCGTGTGTGATGGCTTGATGGCGCCACATTGTGATAAGCTTATCCAACTGCTCGTGAGAAAGGGTGATAGTTGCGGGAAGTGGGTGATGTGGGATAGGAAGGAGAGGGGGGTAGGGTGGCTTGATGGCGCCACATTGTGATGAGCCTGTCTAGCTGGCCATGGGAAGGGGCAACGGGGCGTGGGGTAGGAAGGAGATGTGATGAGATACTGGGGCGGCAGCGGTGAGCGGTGCCACATGTACATTGTGATAAGCTTGTCCAACTGAAGAATTTCGCAAAAATCGGGAGTTTTAGTGAGGACGGGTGGTGCTTGCGGGAAGTGGGTGATGTGGGATTGGAAGGAGGGGAGAGAAGGGGAGGGGTAGGCCGGCGTCTGTGGCGGTTTGATGGCAGGGGCGAGGGGGGGGTTGTACTAGTATAGAGATATGACGAAAGACCGGGGCGGCAGAGGTTGAGTGGGTTGCGGATGAAGCGAGAGAGGGGAGAGTGGCGGCGTGAAGGGTGAGGAAAGGGGATAACATGTGGAGAAGGAGATGTAGAGTACCTACGTGACTGGATGGTATAATAGAAGACGTGGAGATTAGAGACCTCCTTAGGTCGCCAAAAATAATACCCACCTGCGACTGGATGGCATTCGAGGAGACGTGGAGATGAATGACGTCCTTAAAGCATCATAGCACCGACCTGCGGCTGGATGGTATCGGAGAAGGCGTGGAGCAGGTTGGGGCGCATGAAGGGCGGCTGGCACATGCGCCGGTGCGGTTTTGAGGCGTCTCAAAACTACCCTTATCACGTGGCACCTACCTGCGACTGGATGGTATCGGAGAATGCGTCGAGCAGGTTGGGGCGCATGAAGGGCGGCTGGCACATGCGCCGGTGCGCGCGGTTGTACTCCCCTTGCGACCCCAGAATGCCCTTTCCGTGCGTCACGTACTCGTATACCGCCTGGTGGGAGGGGAGGCGCACGCCGTGTGAAAGGAGAGGAGGAGAGGGGGAGGGAGGACGAGCAGGCGGCAGAAAAGAGTGCTTTGATTCGAGAAACATCCTGCGACCTCAAAATGCCCTTGCCGTGCGTCACGTACACGTACACCGCCTGATGTGAGGGGAGGAGCACACCGTGTGAAAGGAGGGGGGAAGGGGACAAGGGAAGTACACGGCCTGATAAAAAGAAAGTGGTGAGGAAGTGAGGAGGGAGCAGGAGCCGGCGGCAGAAGGGAGAGCCATGAGTTAAGAATCGATCTGCGAACCCGGTTCGCGGAATGGGAGGCGAATGCGGACTCACGGGCAGGAACCTGCGCGAGTAGTTTTTGGAGTTGGAGCTGCAGATGTGCGCGATGATATCCGCGTCGTTCACGAACGTCCACGCGCTCACTCCGTGACCTTTGAGTTGACTACAAAAAAACTACTCACAGGCAGGAATCTGCGCGAGTAATTCTTTGAGTTGGAGCTGCAGATGTGCGCGATGATATCCGCGTCATTCACGAACGTCCACGCGCTCACTCCGTTGGCGAACCGGCAGATCGGGCCGTACTTGCGCCCGTACAGCAGCGTCGCCTCCTCGATGCCGCGCAGCGCGATGGCGCTCAGATCGCGCACGTTGCCCACAATGTCCCACGGGTGGGGACCCGGGATGGGTACCGGGAGGTCCGCTTCGGTATCTTCGCGTGAGAGCGACTCGCCCTGGATGCGGAACGTGCGGGGGAGAGAAATAGCACTGGATTGAACGCATGGTTCATGGGTGGGGAACCGGAATGGGAACTAGAAGGTCCGCTTCGGTAGCGTGAGAACGACTGCCTTGGAGGCGGAACGTGCGGGAAAGAAATTGGCGTTTCATTCGAATCAATGCCCCACGGGTGGGGCCTGGGATGGGTACCGGGAGGCCCGCTGCGGCATCTTCGCGTGAGGTACCGGATGAAGAATGTGCGTGGGAAAGGTAATGGTGTTTTTGAGTCGGATCATGGTTCACGGGTGAGGGTGTGGGATGTGTACGGGGGAAACCGCTGCGGTGTCCGCGCGAGAGCGGGGCACGCCATGGATGAGGAGCGTGCGGGGGGAGGAGAATGGTGGAACAGACGCCCGGGGACTCAGAGGGGAGGTTCCTTGCAACGTTTGCAACTTCGGTCGCTTTATCATCAACTCGGTTTGTCACGAGCATGATAGTATTTACCATGGTTGCGATGGCAGCTAGTCGACCAGTGAAGGGGCAGCGGGCCACTGTTGCTGGTGATACTGCTGACGCTGACGACATCATGGGCGGCGCTACGCTGGCGCTCCCGGAAGGTGCAGCAGCTGCTGACGTGGCGACTAAAGTGTTGCTGACGTGGCTTGCATAGGTGGCGCTAGCGGACGTGCGAAGGTCGGTGGTCGAGTTCGATGGAATGGAGAGAGTGCATATGGGTTTCGTAGAACGAGGTGGAAGAGATACGCAAATCCCTGAGACGGACCGTGTTTTGATTGGTTGACGGGTGTAGAGGCTTGGTTGTATTACTGGCGCCATCTTTTACTGAATGTGTTCTAAGTGCTGGACGGAATGTGATAAATAACGGCACCTGGTGGTTTGACGGGCCAACGCTGCATACGATGAGACAGACCAGAGCTAAGACTAGAATCTATTGGAGTGCCATGATCCAGCAGCTTGAGTGCAAGATGGTTCTAGAGGCAGTTTTTCTTAGCATTGGATCGACTGGCATCTGCACCGCCAGACAGACGCTTCTGTGGAGCGGGAGCTGGGGGGAGGCGGAACGCACAATACCGTTCCAAAAAGCTTAGAAACGTACTCTACCGTGCGGATAAAAATGTTGGCGAATTTCCAATTTCAGCAATTGCGGCAGACGGAAAATCAGTGAAGGCGGGGCGCGCAAATGTCTCAGGAAAAGCCAATCTCGAGGCAACTTGATGACCTCGTTAGAATGTCAGAGGATCCGCAGCAGGCAAGTTAGGACGCTGGGTCACACGTGGAAAATCACCTTTTCCAGCAAACACCGAATCACAACAGAGACTGGGATTGACCAGGAAAATGGATAATTGATATTTTTTGTGCGAGGGGCACTTTCGACAATCCCCAACATTGCGGGTTGCTGTCCACTAACCTGACGTAGACGATCGAGCTGTCCAGTGGTGTTGGATTGATTTATCGCAAGCAGTGCGAACAAAAGATTTCACGAGTCCACAGCAGCCTATGGGAAGACTGTGATTTGCCAGCACATGAGATTGGCACTCGAGTGCTCCATTGCCGGGTTGCTGTCCACTAACCCTAAAACCAAGGAAATACAATAACATATGATACACTAGAGTGGACACCCTACATCTACATTTCTCATCCAGCAAGTATGACAATATGTGCCATTTCAACTCAAAGACAAAATTGGGAGTAACTTGATACTACGTACAGATAGAATGGAATGTCAATGTGGCCATAAGCCATGGTATGACAAACCAAACAACCACCCCCACACCATATTCAGTCAAAGCGTACGCTGCGGTCGTGTTAACTAACACCATAACGCATGATATAGGAGCGTGTTCCTACGGGCCCCTATCAGGCCAACCTGTTATCATATTGTCAAAATCGCGTTGTACACGTTTTAAAACACCTCTTGTCAGGCATCGAGCGAAGTCGCGCACGAATCAAAACACTCGCAGCGTATCGCCCGAACCTGCTGACTCGCCTCTGCACGGACTGAGAAGACGCGCGAACGGCAGTTCGTGCACATCTGCCGACGCCACAAACGTCCCACGGTGGTGATGTGGCCGCATTTTTTGCTAGACACATGTGCCAATTTAGCACGAACGATAAAGTATAGGGTTTGGGCGCCACGCGGCAACATTTTTTACACCACGACCCACCAACATTTGACGTCACGTTCCACAACACACACACACACCGTTTCACGTTCCATTTCCCCGCGCAAACATACACACACCGTTTTGGTGAATACATTCACAGAAAGCAATACATATTCCAGTCTGCTCGTCAACAGTCTGCATGAACGCCTAGAACTCACACCTCATGGCTCGGAAACGCAAAGGAAATGGTGACGCCGCAGAGAACCCCGACTGGCGCCCAGAGGACCTCGCTTACGTTGCCTGGATGAACGCCGAGATAGCTGCAGGTCGACCATCGACGAAGCCACTACGCAATGTGCAGTCACACGCTAGGACTGCCGCGCACTCTCATGCCACGCATCGCCCCAACCGCGGTCCTGTTTCGAATGGTTATGATTCTGACGAAACTTACCCCGAGAAGGACACGGACGATGAGGAGGACGAAGCAGCGTCAGACGGAGACGATCCCGTAGCGGCGTGGCATGGAGCTGCGGAGTATAGCGGCCCGGTCGAAGTTCCTTCTTCAACGACATCTGCACGGACTAGCGCAAGCCCGCTCGGCAAGGATAAGCGCCCCGGCAAGGCTCCAGCTCCGTCTGACGCGCGTGGCAGAACGACATTGAGTCCGCAGAAAGGAGCGCGGCCGGAATGGTCGTCCAAGGAGTCAACCATTCTTGTTGTCGCAAGGTGGTTTACTAAGGATGAGCTCCAGCAGATGACGGGGAAGCAAGGGTCGCAGTACTGGCTGCGGCTCATCGAACATATAAAGCTCCAACACCTCGACTGGAGTCGTAATGCAACCGCATGCACAAACCACTGGAAGAGGCTCAAGGCCCTTTGGAAGCAAATTGACAAGGGAGACAGCGCCTCGGGCGGGGGGACGGTGATCAAGCCGCCGTGGTGGGAATAGATGGTGTTATTTTACAAGGACACCTCGGCGGCAGAGCCACACGCGCTCGACGGCGGTGGTGCAGACGACGTTACCGTTGACCCTGCTGTGAAGATAACGACGCCCATCAAGGCAGATGCGACTGGATCACCGAGTAAGAGTCTGCAAATTTTAATGCGCATTATTTTATTAACACAAGGCAGAAGCATACATGATACATGCCGTATATGGCTGATTACCCACCGTCACCATGATCTCCGATAGTAACCCCCATTCACCACTGCTCCGTCCCCTTCTCGCAGTGCGTGGCACTCCGCCAAGCGCTCGCCGCCGGATTAACGAGACGGCGACGATGGCGGCCGCCCAACTCCTCTCCTCCACGCTAAAGGAGTGCTCTGAAGCCGGCGTCGCTCAAATCACGGGAGTGATTAGGGAATGGATGGCGACTCAGCAGTCGCAAACCAGCCGCGGCCTTCACTATTCTGCCGCCCGCCGCGTTGAAGACGATGACTGGACGGACGACACCCCAGGACCCGGTGGCTCCACCTTCAGTGATGGCGTGGAAGAGTGGCGTCGCGTCGACACCTCTTAAGGTAAGCGCCGTGTAACGCCTCGCCAAGCCGTTTCCGCCTCTCCTTCAGTTCTGTCGGTCCGCCAGTAAGGCAAGGACTCCAGTTGTAGTCCGCCAACCCTCCGCGCGTCCACCACGGGTCGCGGTTAAATGCAATCGCTGCCCACTTGTGGTTTGGGTTCTTCATGCGCGCCCCTGCCATTTTTATCCCCATATTGTGCAGGATGACGACGCTGAGAAAAGTAGAACGAGAATGAATGAACTATGAATGAAGTGAGTACATATGGGAAACCCTAATTGGGTTGTACCCCCTATGGGATACCCCACTATAGCCTACACAACAGCATAAGCTATATATATGTTCTGACACACCCCCATAGGCAAAGTGGGGGAGAACAAGGGGTCACAAGACCAGTCAAGCAAAGCAGAGCAAGCTCAGGGTGGATCACAAAGTCACCACACAGTCCGAGCACAACGACAGGGCAACAGGGCCAGTTCACATGCAGGAGTACACATATATATATAGAGCTAGACAAGCAAGAGCAGGTATATATATGTGACAGTACAAGCAAGGTCAAGAAGAGAGCAAGTGAGGCAAGACAGGTACAAGACCCAGCTGGGTGCAGAAGCGCTGATGGTCACAAGGCGCAAGTGCCTTGGTGAACACATCAGCAGTGTTGGCCTCAGAGGCCACGTACGCAAGTCGCAACTGACCACGCTGCTGCAGCTCACGAGCAAGAAAGTAACGGAGAGCAATGTGCTTCGTTCTGTGCTCCAAGCGCTGCTCTCGACACAAGGCCAGCATGGCCTTGTTGTCTACGTACAACACTGGAGGAGAACGAGGCGGCTCTCCAAGGTCAGTCAGCAGGTAGGTGAGCCAGCGAAGCTCCTGTGCAGCCATGGCCCCGGCGTAGATCTCAGCCTCACAACTGGAGCTGAGAACAGAGGACGAGCGAGTAGCCCGCCACGAGACAGAGCCGGAACCAAGACTGAAGGTGTAACCCTGCGACAACCGCTGTGTAGCCTGGTCGTCTGCCCAAGAAGCGTCCGCGTGCCCAGTGAGGACCACTGGACTCCGCCCTCCAAGCACTAGCCCCATGCCCGACGTACTGCACAAGTAGCGCAACACCCTCTTCGCTGCAGCCATGTGCTCTGGTCGGTGTCTCCCAGGAGCAACATAGCGTGAAAGAATGCTAAGAGGGTATGCAAGGTCAGGTCGTGTGCAGGTCATCAGGTACATGAGGCAGCCAACAAGCTCTGGGTACGGGCCACTCGACTCTACGGACTCATCCGAAGGCAGAGCTGAGAGCGAGTGGCGAGTAGACAGAGGAGTGGCCTGAGGCGAGGAGTACGTGAAGCCGAAGCGCTGAAGGACCTGCTGCACCATGTGTGACTGAGTCAAGGTAATGGTGCGGCGTGCTCTGTCCCGAGTGATCTGCAAGCCAAGGTAGCTGCGCAGTTCACCCAGGTCTGTGCACGTGTGTCTCTTCTGCAGCTCGGACTTCACGTAGGCTAGTCCAGCAGTGTCAGCTGTGGCAAAGACCAAGTCGTCAACGTACACGAGGACGTAGAACGGCGGCAAAGAAGTGTCGGTGCGCAGAAACAACGACGGGTCAGCAGTAGAGGGAGCAAACCCAAGAGCCGCAAGCGTAGTCCTCAGTGTGTCGTGCCACTCACGCGGTGCCTGGCGGAGACCGTAGACTGGCCGTCGGAGGCTCCACTGGGTGCCAGGAGGAAAAGTCCCAGTGAAGCCAGGTGGACGGCGCAGCCAGATCTCCTCGTGCAGGCTACCCTGCAAGAAAGCAGTACTGAAGTCAAGAGAGTGGAGCTCGTAGTCGCGCTGAGCGGCTATGTGCAGCAGCACCCGAAGAGTGGTCATCTTCGGGGTGGGAGAGAAGGTCTGAAAGTAGTCAACTCCCTGCCGCTGACTGAAGCCACGAGCGACGTACCGCGCCTTGAAGACAGG